GGAAATTCTTGAGTGTTTTACGATGGGTACTCGTCGATAGCTTTCGCGTTCTGATTCTTTCGAATTAACGCTGCTGCCAGGCCAAACCCATCTTAAATATCGTGGATGCGAATGTACTTAGAATCTGCCTCGAGGCTCAGCTTACTCAGCTTACTCATGACAAGCGAGTAGTAGCGAGCGGAGCCAACGAAGTAACACAACAACATAACAAGGTAAATAATAATGTATACCTTATGAAAGTAATGCAACACTTCATTAGGCTTTCATGTATTTAATTAGCAGTTCCTGCATGATGTTTTTTCACGCGAAAATATGACGGGTGCATTTCGCCACAGCTGCAACTAGGAGTAGGATAGTCCATCGGAGATGTACCGCCCTACAAGTACTCATAGACCTGGACCGGAGGGTCCTCCGTCTTAAGGAAGTTGTGTGTGGCGAACAGCAAATTGCTATACTCGTAGCGGAAGCTGTGCCTTGAGTGCGCAGCGGCTCTCCGTAGTCCCGATGAAATGGAATGTTTGAATGTCTGAATGCCGCTCGAAGTTTGTCCCATGTTGCCGCTGCAGCGAATTGTGTCTTTACGAGGCAGGTCTGTTTGAAGAAGCAAGACAACAACATTCATCAAGCGTGGAAGCTCGGACGCCGGCAAGGTTCAGATTAGCGTGCCAAGGATGTCCTATCAGTCAATCTCTTGGCGTTTGGTCTGCGATTCTTTTCCCGCTGACAACCTGCATCATGGACGCACTGCTAATGGTCCCGGCATACATTCAGGAAGATGCGGCATCTGTGAGCTTGTTGCAAAGGCAAAATGCAAAATGCAAAATGCCGCAATGTTGGCTTGAGGATACTTTATCATACTCTAGCGGAACATGGCCGCACTTGATCTAACCCGGTAGCAGCCTAGTTTCCGCTTACCCGCTCTTTCCTCCTTTCCGAGACGTTGCCGAGAAGGCCTCGGAAAGGAAGACAGAGAAGTCATTCCATTCCGTCTTCATCATATCCTCATATCATCTGATCCTGCACCTGCTCCCCATCTTTCTCTTCTTCTCTATTTCCATTTGAATACGCCATCATGCAGCATGTTCAAGGTATAGATTAAGGACTAAATAAAAGTGTTGCTAGCCTTCTTCAAGGGCTGGCCCCATGTCCTTCCGAGGTCCTTTGCTGGATTACCGCGGCTGATCACCTTACACCAGTCCACACATGAGCTGTTTTCATACTGCGGTTTCTTTGATCTCCTTCAATCTCTTCATTCATTGTACAATCAGACATCATTTAGTCTCCGCCTCTTTCCGTTGTCGTCAAGAGTGATGATGGTGCCTTGCCACTCTCGCTAATGTCGAATGCATAGATCGTTGATCGATCACTGCTCTACATTAGGAAACTCGCTCCAGCCTGGACTTTTAAGGACTCCTACATCATTCAACGTTCTAGTACAACAAGTCTGGCCTCCATCACAGCAGGATGAAGAAAACGGACAAAGAAACTTTCTTACTTCTAAGAAGAAGGGATCGATCCCGCCCTTGTGCTTCAGGCCGCTTGAGTTCCCCATTTCTCCCGGTCACTGGAGCATGCCTGCAACAATACGTGGACCACTAAGCACCCTGCAAAATAGTTAGCTACAGGTCTGCGGCATTCGCTGGCGCGAATGCTTACATGGGGTCGGTAGAATTATTTCAAATTTCCCCCAATCACTATAGGTCCAGACTTTTAGAAACCATGGTGGATGATATTGGCCTCCAGTCAATCCACTGGGATCGCTGTCCTATGCAGCGGAAGTCGGTGGGCCATGCAAAGAGTGACCATGCGCAGCTTCGTTGGCGATCGAGTAGAGAAGACTTCCTTTAGGGTATCGTCTCCATGCTCCATGGCATCTACCCCGCTTCCATTGTTTTCCGAGAGCTGCCCTGCATCCCCAAGTCTCTTTCCTGTCTGCACGCCTTCCGCGACATGCCGCAAGGCGTCCGTTCCGTCTTTCCTAAGATCTGGGCACGTCGTCCGATATCAAGGCACAGGTTCAATCACATTCTCATTTTCAATTTAAAAAGCCTTCGATTGCTTCGCCATTCCACCTCTCAAACTCGTGATAGTTCCTCCTGGCATTCTTCCACCATGGCTACCAACCATACGACTACCCCTCCAGCGGACTACGGACACAGATTGATACCCTCTCTGGTGGATGAATATGCTCGAACCGATCCAGACTACGTCTTTGCACTGGTTCCAAAGGCGGCAAGCTTCGCGGATGGCCTGGAGAAGATCACTATCAGTACCTTTGCTCGGGCAGTGAACGAGATTGCCTCGCGGATCGACTCGACTCTTGGGAAGAGTACTGATTTCGACACGATTGCCTACATTGGTCCCAGTCAGTCACTACGTCAACGAAAATGAACCACTCCAAAGCTGACCCCCAGTAGCGGATCTCAGGTACTTTGTCATTGCCATTGCTGCTTCCAAAGCGGGTTATAAGGTCGGTCTACGCGTCTGAATTCCAGAGACCTTACCATAAAACTAATACATACCCCAGACTTTACTACCCTCCCCACGCAATAGCATCGAGGGCATTCTATCTCTTCTCCAATCCACCAAATGCCAGACCTTGCTCAGCGCCCCCGATACCAAAGTCGACCACATCTTGGAAAAGCATTCCATGCGACACATTGTCATTAGAACATTCAAGGAGTGGGTGGCTTCAGAGTCTGTTGCCCACTATCCATACGAGAAGACTTTCGAGGAGGCAGCTCATGACCCGTTCATCGTCATACATACATCGGGGAGTACTGGCTTACCGAAGCCTGTCACACTTTACCACGGAGGACTCGCAACTCCAGATGCGCATCACATGATGCCTCGGTTGGATGGTTACGATCCTGAGATCATTACTCCACAAGGCCAAGGCCCTACACGCATTTTCACTAGCCTGCCCCCGTTTCATGTAAGTCATATTCTACATCTATCCACCTCACTGCAGACGTTGTCGTGTATTCATATCAAGTACAGGTGGCCGGGATACTGGGTTCACTTGTTCTTGCCTTGTATTACCACCAAACAATCGTTTGGCCGCCTGCTGGCCGACCAGTCAGTACAGATATGGTCGATGACCTTCTCGATAACGTGGAGGTAGACGGTTGCTTCCTTGCACCTTCTGTGTTGGAGGACTTGAGTCAGTCGGAGAGCTCTCTGGAGAAGCTGAGGAAAATCAAATTTGTGGAATATGGTGGAGGTCTGGTCCCTCGCATCCCTTTCATATTCGCCATGCTGACTAAGTATAAGGGCCTCTTGCCAGACGTGCTGGTGATATAGTCGCAAAGTATACCAATGTCATCAACATATTGGGCTCTTCAGAAGCGGCACTCTCACCACTGTATCACAAGGAGCCAGAAGACTGGATGTATTTCCACTTTAATCCTGAGATGAAAGGTGTCGAATTCCGAGAGGTCAGTGACGGGCTTTACGAACAGTTCTTTCTGCGTCATCCGTCCACGGATACCTATCACGCCACGTGGTACACTTTTCCGGACCAGTCAGAGTACTCGATGAAAGACCTCTTCTCTAAGCATCCGACTAAACCCAACTTATGGTTCTATGAGGGCAGATCAGACGATGTGATTGTGTTCTCCAATGGTGAAAAGTTCAATCCCAGCGCAATGGAAGCCACATTGCGTACGCACCCGGATGTCACTCATGTTGTTGTTGTTGGGCAAGCGAGGTTCGAGCCAGCCGCGTTGATTGAGCTCAAGGAATCACCGTTGGAAGAGGCGAAGAAGGATCTACTCGATAGCTTCACACCATACCTCATCAAGGTCAATGAGACCGCCCCAGCTTACGCGAAGCTTCAGCGAGATCACATCGCTTTTATCAAACCAGACAAGCCAATGATTATGGCGGACAAAGGTACTATCAAGCGAGCCGCGACTACGAAAGCGTACGAGGAGGAGATCGATCAAATCTATGCGAATGCTGACGATGCTTCATTACCTACAATCAGTCTGGATGCTGAGGATCTAGATGCTCTAACAGAAGGGTTGCGAGAGCTGTTGGTGGGGACTATCGGACTGGAAGCCATTGCACCAGACCAGGACATCTTCGCCGTTGGAGCGGACTCCTTACAAGTCATGAATCTCGTGCGACAGCTCCGGTCTTCTTTCACAGCTCAGCAGGGACATGGAGTGATCCCTCCTCATTTGATTACGCCAAAGATCGTATACTCCAATCCAACAGCAGCCAGACTAGCCAATGCTCTCCACCAACTGACGGGTCATAGCGCAGAAGTTTCCGAGAAATTGGAGGAAGAACGAATCAAAAAGATGGAAGAAATGCTTTCCAAGTACTCCGAAGACCTACCGAAAGCCTCTGCGAAAGACCTACCGGAAGCCTTTGCCAACGGTATTGATATCAAAGAAGACAACGACAAGCTGACTGTTGTCCTCACGGGCAGTACCGGCTCCCTCGGCTCCTACCTTCTCGACGCTTTGCTGGCCTCTGACCAAGTGTCGAAAATCATCTGCCTCAACCGTGGAATCCACAGCGAAGACAAGCAGAAAAGATTGAATGCCTCTCGAGGCCTTGTTACTGAATGGGGAAGAGACAAGGTCCAATTCCTTACTACTGACCTCGGCAAACCTCGTCTCGGCTTGAACGACCATGACTATGGTCTTCTCGTCAAAGAAGCCTCCTTCATAATCCGTAAGTCAACTATCATCCCCCACTTTGCCGAAATCCTCGCTAATCGTCAAATCAATCAGACAACCAATGGCAGGTAGATTTCAACCTCAGCCTCGACTCGTTCGAGCCCCACATCGCCGGCGTCCGCGACTTCATCACCCTCTCAAGCGAATCGGCGAAGAAGCCCCCGATCCTATTCACATCCAGCGTCTCCACGCTCGGGAACTGGCACGCCAAACACCCGGGCGAGAAAGTGCCGGAAAAGGCGTTTCACGACTTCACGATCCCCTCGGCGATGGGTTACGGCGAGTCGAAATACATCGCCGAGTTGCTGCTCGAAGCCGGCGCGGAGAAGTGCGGGGTCCCCGCCGTCATCTGCCGGGTGGGGCAGCTGGCGGGTCCGGTGACGAAGAAGGGAGGGATGTGGAGTAAGCAGGAATGGCTGCCGAGTGTAAGTTTCCGCCCGTCCTTTGTCCTACGCATCATCAATGTGTCGCCCGAAGAAAAGCGTGGAAGTTGTGATTATCAAGGTACCATCACCTCTACCCCGAGCTGACATCACATTCCCGACGTCAAGATAATAGCAAGCTCGAAATACCTCAACCAAATCCCCACCGACATCCCAAGCCAGGACACCGTATCCTGGGTCCCCGTCGACATCACCGCCAACATCATCCTCGACCTCGTCCTCGCCAACGCCTCCCAACCACCACCACCATCATCGTCAGCCGAGGCCCCCAAATCCCACAACTACAACATCGTCAACCCGCACCCCGGCTCCTGGTCCGCCCTCGTCCCCGCCGTCACCCGCTATTTCCAAGGCGGCAACGACGGCACGACCAAAACCCCCGCACCACCCATCACCCCCGTCCCCTTCACGGCCTGGCTCTCCGCCCTCCGCGCCTCCGCGGCCCTGGGCACCGAGGACGTGGCCCGGAACCCGGGCATCAAGCTGCTCGAGTTCTACGGCGGGATGAGCGAGGACGGGGCGGAGGAGGAGGTGATGCTGGAGACGGCGGAGACGGCGAGGGGCAGTGCGAGCATGCGGGCGTTGGGGCCGGTGGGGGAGGAGTGGATGGGGATTTGGTTGGGGCAGTGGGGGTTTTAGGTTGGTGTAGGGTTGATTGAATTGGGTTGATGAAAATTGTTGATTGATTGATTGATTGATTGATTGATTGTTAGTTGTCCCATTCATGAAAAACACGCATCAATGCACGCATAGGGGCCCACATAGAGTGTAGAGAGTGGTTGGGCCGTCTCACGCCGGGGGATAGCAAGCCTAAATAGGCCTAAATGGAGGCCTGAACAGGCAAATTTCTCGTACCCCAGCGCAAGAAAACTCCCATGCCTATGGCATAGACCTGGAGTGGAATGATAGCTAGCTATGTACAGGTGTGGGTGGGTGGGACAAAAAGTATGCAATGGCTCCGAAAGAGACGAGATCGAGTTGAAGAGCCATTGACGGGTGCGAAACAGGTGGCTATATAGGTAGCTCGTACTGGACACCTGTCTCCTTCCTTACCCCTTGCGGGGGTACCGACAGGGCCATGAAACAGGGGCATGTCATGTGACCCACTAACCCCCAGTCTCACTGTGGCGACTATGCTGGGTAGATACAGTACTGTGCCCCAAGCAGGTCCTTACGAATCTAGCCTTACTTGACCGTCTTACTCGACCGCGATTCACAGAATTCAATTCTTGGTTCATTCAGTGGGCCCGCGTGATCAGAACAGTGAGGCGGAATCCTACCTCACGGCGAGGACCCGTGAGAAGCTTGGTACCGTGACGACCCAGCCTGCGCTCCGCACGTCTAGGAGCAAAAGGAATAGGAAGCCAAATCGGGTGCTCGTGTCCCGTTACATCCACCGAGGTGTAGCGACGCCATTCACAAGCCCATACGTCACCGGTAGGAAAACCTGTCATCGTCGAGCCGATCCCAGAAGGGTGACGGGCGGACCATTTCGCCGTCCATGACGAACGGCATCCGGATGTGAGGGCCCTTGGTCGCTCTTTCGGTCGCGGTGTTCATGATGAGCTCTTGCTGATGGGTCCAGAGAGGGTCTGCCGAGGACAGTTTGGTCCGGAGCGCTTTGAGCTCGGCGCAGTGGACGTGGGCGATGCCGACGCGGGCCTCGTCGTCGCGGTCGGATAGATCGAAGGTGAAGCGTTGCTGGTCTGCTCGCAAGGTGTCCAGGGAATATAGACGAGAGGCTGCGGGACTTTTGGAGCCGGCGATGAGATCGAGGGATCGGAGGCGGGGTGTGGGGATCGGATGGCCTCTGCGAACCCGAGAATTGAGGATCTCCTGCCATAGGTATTGCCAAATTCCTGGGACGCTGTCTTCTGTTGCCTTGGGAGAAGTAGGGTTGTCATGTTGGGGATTTTCGATCAAGATGTTGAGCTCCAGATGGACAAGGAACCAAAATTCATCCGCGATGTATTTGAGCATTGTATATGGCCGTAGATGCCGTCAGCTTGACATTGGAGGCTATGACGACGTGGGATATCGGACTTACCCACTCTTGCCCGTTACATTGAATATCAAGACCGAGGCTACGCAGGTTGCGGCAATACTTTGCTATGCGTCCCATGTCCCCGAAGGATAAAACAAGTCTTTCACCCCCTCTGCCTACATTTTCGTCTTCATGCAGCCTCAGCTTGATCAATGTCTTCCCAGCGTTTTCCCACAAGTCTTCCTCGCTTATCCGGATACAGGAGGTGAATCCAGTCAAGTCCAGGACTTCAAGCTTTTTACATTCTTGCAAAACAATGCCCAAAGGCACACTGTTATCACCAGAGTCTCCGGCTCGCAACAGAAGTGATTTGAGCCCAGCAAAGTCCGGCATGAACGTTGGAAGGTAAGACACACTGTCCAAGGACAGTCTTTCCAACATTTGCCAAGCGATTGGGAGTTTGACGATGCCGAAAATGGGGCCGTAAAGCTCAAGAGATCTAAGCAGAAGGATTTGGGGCTCCCCTTGCACCTGGTCTGGTGAAACGCGAGGAATGTTGAAAGCGGACGCGATCGTAAGGTCGCGCAAATTTGGAGCAGAGGAGAGTACCTTCTTAAGTTCTGTGAAAGCTTGATACTGTCCACTTGTAAGTGTTACGTCTAAAGAGAAAAGACAAGGTGAGGCGCATAGGCGTGGCAGAGTCTGGGCCGAATCCTGACTCCCGGGATGACGGGTATATAACAAGCATTGCGGATGGTGTGTTTGGAGGGTCTTTAGGAGCCAGGACAGTATAGGGTACTGGGCGTCCCAGATGAATGTCTTCAGCCCAGTCAATCTTGGTAAAGCTCGACCGAGCAGTTCAAGATCCTCCTTGCTACCTTCCCCATGTTGGAGTTTGGCGGACGGAGCCCAGAGGATACGTATCTCTCGAACTTTGGCGCTCAAATCGTCGTCAGTCAACAGCTGTTTGACAAGTCGTCCGTTGACATCTCGCCTGCTACGGTTGAACGTGAAATGAATGACACGGTAAATGAAGCTCCTTGAAAAGTGGGACAATGATCTAGAGCTCAGCGCAACATTCAGCAGGGTTTTAGGGGAACTCTTGCTCAGCTGCAAGTAACATTAGAGCCTAGAGTATGTCATAATCCAAAGGTCGGATCTCCTCACCACTTCGAGAATCATCAGCTGGACATCTACGTCCAATGCCAGAAGAGCGTTTGCCATGGTCTGGATGTCAGTGTTGGCTGTTCTGGGAGACTCGAGCTGTGCAGGCACAAGATTTGTTGCCCCGATGTTCGAGGATCTCAAAGTCTTGGCATCGGCCGTCTCGGCTGCCTCCGAACCAGCCGCCCTTGCCGCCGCCGAGTCAGCGAGACGAGCTCAGTGCGTGGCACGCTTATCTCCATCCCCAAAAGCCATCTGCTTATGACCATCGGCAATGCCTTCCTGCTCGAAATGAGATCCTCACGCCCGCATCCCGCAGTCCGGTGCGAGAGCCTCCGAACAATCAGATTAAAAGCTACAACATATGGCTCACGAAGCGCTTTCCAGTGCCTTTCCCGACGGCCATGCTTGCCTGCTTGCTTCTGCTGTTTGCCATCAAGGTTGGAGAAGCGCATATCTAGCTCTTGGCTGGGTGCCGGTATCAAGAGCTTGACTCTCTTGTTCCGCTCCGCTTCCTTGGCTTGCCGGACCTTTGCTCAGTTCTTGCATTGCTTGACTCGAGGTGCCTTTTTAATGTGTGTGCGGCAGCCCGGAATTGAGCTTAGTTGCTGTTATCGAGACCTTGGCTTGGTGTTGCCGGCTCGGGCGGGTCGTCTGGGTTCAGGTCTTGGAGAAGTGGTGGTGGATGCGAAGAAGGAAAGGAGAACTTGGCTTGGGGTGCAAGGATATGCTATGGCTAGGCAATGTATCCAGAAGCCGTCACTATCGATGACGATGTTGTTCTGGAAGAAGTCATTGTTAGAAACAATAATGCCTGCGAAGGAATCCCTAGCAATCAGACATTCTGCCAGGTAACAGAACGCTGTGAGCACTTGGGACGTTTTGGCAAGTTCCCCTCAACTTGCACCTGCAATAAATATCCTCTCAGTGCTGGCCCATTGTTAAGGTGGAGAACAAGCTCGCTCATCTCGCTGACAAGGGTCAACTCGGTTTGATGGAAGGAGTGTTGATGGATCTAGACGGCGGCAGTAGCACGCGCATCATAAAAATTTCGAAAGTTGTTACAGGCAAAAGCGGTGTTGCCAAATGTAATTTGGTGCAGGTGATCCTGAGTGAACTTCTAAAATCCAACCTTTGCAGACCTCAGCCGGCACAATCTCACCCGCATCGCCAATCTCGTGATGAATGCACAATGTCTCGACAACAGCGGCATTCCTCCATCCTCACACCGCAAGGCCTGGAAGGCTGCATCTTGTTCCTCAAGAAAATCAAAGACGTCCACAATTACTATCTCGAGAAATATGACCTTGAGTCTTCAGTGTTCTGGCATCCAGTACTAGTCCTCCAGACTGACGACGATATGTATCGTCCGTGTCTCATTCGCCTCGCAGCAACAAACCTCGATGCTAACCTAGTCCTTGAGACAGCTGACTACACTCAACCATTGCAACGCAGAAGACTGCTTCCCTCCGTCAGACATCAAGCTCTACCTTGCCGTAAGGCCGAAGCATCCGCCTTACCCCGGCCAGCCTCAACTGAACCTCCAAGGTGACGCCACATTTCGCAGGCCAGGTTACATCAGCATACGAAGAGAGTACCTCGTCCATCAAAGCATGCTGCAGCCTTACGATTGGGACCAGCCCCCAAACTACTACCGGCTCACTCAGAGAAGCTTTGCAGTCGTTGTCGCGAAACTCAATACTATTTACTACCACACAAGAGTCAATAAGCTCAACGCTGAGGACTGCGCAAGGAGACTAGCCACATCCAGAGCAAAGGAGTCCGCTGCCAAAGCTGCTAATCTCAACGCCGATGTAATGAGATTGATGACGGTTAGGGACTCACTGCCACCGAGCCGGCCAAGAATAGACCGCCAGCCTGAAAAATCTGACCCTCCGGCTCCATTCGCCGTAATTACTACGAGATCCATTCGAGGAGAGTCTGAGACCTCCACTTCTTTCGGCCAGATCAAGTTGCTTGTATCTGTGGTTCTACTGGCTGCTGCTATGATCTGGGCAAAGGGCAAGTCAGATCCAGCCTGTAGTGAATGGCTTGTCAGAAGATCCTTCGAGATATTAATGCAGGTGTGGATAGTGGCTCTCGGTGTATCTTGGGGACTTGGGAAATTGATCACAATTGGTCTTAGGATGCTTGGAAACGCGGTCGGCGGTTGGGGCGAAGGGCTTCTAAGGAGTATCTGAACTGCGTTGGTGCAAAGGTCAATGGCGGCGTGGAAGAAGCCCCCGGGGGAGGGGATGTTAATCGAATGATATTACAGAGTACTGGGAAAAGCAGTCAAAGAGCTTGTGGATGGGGAGACTTGCCTGGTGGTCTTCTGGCTTGACGTTGCATGGAACCCGAGGGTGTTGAGGTTCACTTCACGGTCTGGCTGGCGGGGAACGAATGAGAGAATCTGAGCCTGGGGCTGAAGACTTTTCAACTGCAGCCATGTGTGTCGTCGGATGGTTCTGCCGGACGATCTACAATTACTAACATTCAGATGGTGTCAAACGATTTAGTTTAATCACGAACGAACAACTATTGTTTTACTATTTCGGCTGGGCTTTAAATCTTATATCTGAGCGAGTTATTATCCGTGCTTGTGTAATATAAAATTGTGAACCTCGGCTGCAAAGCTTGCAACTACTAGTTTTCTAAACTCATACGACAAGCAACTGTCCATCCCGATCAACGCGATCCAGCTTTGATAAACACTGTGCAGGAATCGTCATGCTTACTTCCGATGTGATTGCTCAGGGTCGCATATTCTGGCTTATGGATCCATACAAAGATCAAGACTCAGACGGTGAGCCATATGATCTACCTGAGACAGTCAGCGGCATTAAACGCGGATTGCTTGGACATCCCGTTATGGTCTTGCACGCCCTAGAATAAACGACTGATGTCGCTGTATGCCTCGTTAGTAATTATCTTCTACTGCCCGCCACTACCTTGCTGGTGATTGAATATCAATGCAACTCGTTCCAGTCTCAAGGCCGTGATCTCCAGATTGCAACACCCGTTGTGTAGTTCCCTTGCTGTTATCTTCAAGCCGCCATGTTCTATTCTATTCACGGTCTGGGTGGCGGGGAACGAATGGGAGAATCCGAGTCTCGGGCTGGAAACTTTTCTCTTCTGAAGACTAATCATTGCTCTAGACCTAGACAACCCGGAATCGACCCACGATAAGAAGAGTAACCTGCAACGATACATAAAACCGGGCCAATTCACAACCCTAGTTTCAGCAGCATTTACATGTGACGCCACAACGACATTGAAGATCTTTACAGAACTCGTTGACGCTCACAAGGTTACGAGACTCGCATTTACAGAAACAAAGCAAGAAAAGTCCCCTGGCGTCTCCGATACAGTGGGGGAATCCTGAAGGTATCGAGGATGGCTTGCTCATCGAGGATATTAAGAGGAACAAGCAAGACCTTCGGGGTTGTGGCAATTCTGGAGGGCCATGTTTTGCACCGTCGTCAGTGCAGCAAGAAGGCTAGGATAGAAGAGAACTTGCCTGGAAGCCTTGCGCTTTAAGATTGGATTGGAACTAGACGTTTGGACTCCTGTGTATGCATGACTAGACAAATCTCATGAGAGAAAAGCAAAGCCTTAGCTCGCAAAACTTGAATCTCGAGCATTCCTACTCGTGTGGGACACTATCGATGCTTTCAAGCGATAGTAAGAACAACTTCAATGTTACATGGCGGGCCTACCCTATCGGAGCCCATGGTCAGGCCACCTTTTCTGGATTCGAGTTCTAAGCTGTCCTCCATTGCCCAAACGTATCGATGACTCCAAGATCGAGATAATTACGTACGCAAGAATGGTAGCGCTTTGCGAACCATCATTGCAATACAATGACGCCATCCACTGTTCATCAGCCGTGTACAAGCCTTCTCTCGGACCTTGGTCGTCCACACCGTAGAAATCTTATCTTTATCAGCATGTGTGCCATTCAATGCCTTGGAAATACTACTACAGACCATCACCGTTAACGCCATCAGAACGTTACATGTCGCTTTTGCTGGACCTGCTGTCGATCGCATGGCCCTCATTTTAGGCACAGACGTCCGAGTGGCAGGTAAATACGTGCGAATGAGAAATGGTCTGTCGTCGGCAGGTTGTTTGAGGAAAGATTTTAGTGTCGCCGCAAATGCACTTGAATCTCCAGCTTCTACTCGTAGACAGTCGTATTTGTTTGCCCTGTTAGAGCGCCATCTTTGAGGAATATCTAGAAACAGCTGGCCCCTCAACAGCGCAACACTCTGCTGTTATCGTTGTTCGGCTGTCAGGCAGCGGAGGCTCGGGGGCTGAAAGGAATTGTTGATATTTCTTATCTTATCTTAGCGTCACCACTTTACGCGTACGCGCTAAAATACGCGTTCACAAAACATATCATAACGCCCACTTCTCTCCCTTCCTTGCAGCACACCCAGGCCACCAAATTCGACCTGCATACTTGTCCATAATTCTCCGACGAGATGTTTGTCTACAAGCGTGGTAAGTATTCGACGTTCCTGACCTCAGTACACTACACTCTGTTGCCACCAAAAGATGTCTTCCATTGGCTTCCCATATCGCTTGGATTCGAGGCGACATCTTTCTGCAACGGAGAGACAGCGGTCAGACAATCAGTAGCTGACCCGTACTCTATTAGACAACCGCAAAGAGCGAGTGCAGTTCGACAAGATCACTGCACGCGTTTCCCGCCTGTGCTATGGCTTGGACGCAGAACACGTCGACGCTGCTGCCATCACACAGAAGGTTATTTCTGGTGTCTATCAAGGCGTCACCACTATCGAGTTGGACAACTTGGTAAGCCCGGCCAAACATACAGCATGGCATTGATCGCTAATCTTGCATATAGGCAGCAGAGACGGCTGCATACATGACCGTCACCCACCCTGACTATGCCATCCTCGCCGCTCGTATCGCTGTCTCGAACCTCCACAAACAAACAAAGAAACAATTCTCATCGGTCATCGATGATCTCTTCCATTACGTCAATCCTAAAAATGACAAGCCAGCACCCATGATTTCGGAGAAAACACACGAGACGGTCATGAAGCATGCAGAGGAGCTGAACTCTGCCATCGTCTACGACCGCGATTTCAACTACCAATACTTCGGTTTCAAGACCTTGGAACGCTCATACTTGCTGCGCCTGAACGGTAAAGTCGCCGAGAGACCTCAGCAGATGATCATGCGTGTTGCTGTCGGCATCCACGATGACGATATTGAAAAGGTCATCGAGACCTACAATCTTATGTCCCAAAAGTACTTCACACACGCCTCTCCCACGCTCTTCAATGCTGGAACACCGAATCCACAGCTTGCATCATGTTTCTTGATCGACATAAAAGACGACAGTATCGAGGGCATCTACGACACATTGAAGACATGTGCATTGATCTCGAAGACTGCAGGAGGCATTGGCCTCAACATCCATCGTATTCGTGCAACTGGCTCTTACATCAGCGGTACCAATGGCTCCTCGAACGGTATCGTACCCATGCTACGCGTGTTCAACAACACCGCTAGATACGTGGATCAAGGAGGCAACAAGCGTCCAGGTGCCTTTGCAATGTACCTTGAACCCTGGCACGCGGACGTCTTCGAGTTTTTGGATCTCCGAAAGAACCACGGAAAGGAGGAAGTTCGTGCTCGTGATCTGTTCTTCGCTCTCTGGATCCCAGACCTGTTCATGAAACGTGTCGAAGCGAACGGAGAATGGACCTTGATGTGTCCCAATGAAGCACCCGGGCTTGCTGATATCTACGGTGATGAGTTCGAGGCACTCTACGAGAGGTATACCATCCATTGAAGGCGCTGTACTGTTCCTGTCGCTGACTACTGTCTTGCAGATACGAGAGAGAAGGCCGTGGTCGTAAAACAATCAAAGCTCAGAAGCTGTGGTATTCCATTCTCGAGGCTCAGACTGAGACCGGGAATCCATTCATGCTGTACAAGGATGCGGCCAACCGCAAGAGCAATCAAAAGAACCTTGGTACCATCCGCAGCTCGAATTTATGTACAGAAATCATTGAGTACACGGCACCAGACGAGGTCGCAGTCTGCAACTTGGCTTCGCTTGCTCTACCTACCTTTGTGGATATCGCACGTGGCGAATACGACTTTGGCAAGCTACACGAGGTCACTCAGGTTGTCGTGAAGAATCTGAACCGAATTATCGAGGTCAACCACTACCCCGTACCAGAGGCCAGGAATAGCAACATGCGTCACCGACCTATTGGACTAGGCGTTCAAGGTCTCGCAGATGCTTTCCTGGCTCTCCGTCTACCATTCGACTCGGCCGAGGCCAAGCATTTGAACAAGCAGATCTTCGAGACCATCTACCATGCAGGTTTAACAGCATCCTGCGAGCTAGCAAAGGAACTTGGCCCTTACTCTTCCTACGAAGGGTCGCCTGTCTCTCAAGGCATTTTGCAGTATGACATGTGGAATGTCACCCCAACAGACCTGTGGGATTGGGACGGTCTCAAAGATCAGATTGCCAAGCATGGTGTACGAAACAGTTTGCTCGTAGCACCCATGCCGACAGCCAGTACCTCTCAAATCCTCGGAAACAATGAATGCTTCGAGCCATACACCTCGAACATCTACTCACGCCGTGTGTTGGCTGGTGAGTTCCAGGTCGTTAATCCATGGCTTCTCAAGGACTTGGTCGACATGGGGCTCTGGTCCGACAACATGAAGAACCGAATCATCGCCGACGGTGGTTCCATCCAGAACATCCCCAACATCCCTGCAGATATCAAAGCCCTGTACAAGACAGTCTGGGAAATCTCACAGCGGAAGATCGTCGAGATGGCAGCTGATCGTGGTGCCTTTATCGATCAATCGCAATCCCTCAACATTCATCTCAAAGACCCAACCATGGGAAAAATCACGAGCATGCACTTCGCTGGCTGGAAGCTCGGCCTCAAGACTGGGATGTACTATCTTCGCACCATGGCCGCGTCTGCACCCATTCAATTCACGGTCGACCAAGAGCAGCTCAAGGTTGTCGACACCAACGTAGCTCGTACCGGCGCTGTCAAGAAGCGAATCGGGCCGTCCGCTGGCTACAACTCCAACTCCCACTCCGCTGTGCCACGACCAATGTATTTGCGAAAGCCATCGGATGGGACTGCTACCATGTCTCCTAACGGCATGCCCACTCCCACAGCGACACCACCTCCAGCGTCAGAGAACAAGAAGTTCTCCCCACCGTCCAAGGCAGAGTCTGCGGTGCTCCCTACGTTCAAGGCCGACATCGAAGAGGGTGACAGCCCCAAGTCGCTGGCTACGGATCCGGTTGATATGCCGACCAAGGAGGAATTGCCCGAGCATGCTGTGAACGACGTCAAGCAGGAGGAAGATACCGAAGGGAGCGAGGAGAGGGAGAAAGATATCTATGCTCAGGAGGTCTTGCAATGTAGGTTGCCCATCTGATCACCGCTTGTGAGCCAAAGACTGATAGTGTTACAGGCAGCATAGAGAACCGCGAAGAATGCATAATGTGCAGCGGATGAGGGCAGTGCGCTTCCCGGTCGTGTCCATCATAGAACACATATCGCTCTCGGGGGGCATTTGTTTATTGCTTGCCGCATATTTGATCTTCTTTGTCTGGGACCCGGGGAGTCGCTTGGATAGTAATGTCTTCCTGCTACGTGTATCATACTCTCCGGCTTGCTAGCTTCAATGAAAGAAGCCACAATCGCACAACCCATCCATCCCGAACTCCATTGCTGTATGTTTGAGAGCCGAAACAACGGCACTAGAAACGGTAGTATATGCTATGCTATGCGGCTCTTACTAAGATACCTCGAATATGAATAATCGACTTCTTGGTCCTGCGAGTCGCCCATCTCCCATCGCCCATCTCCCATCTCCCATCTCCCATCAGAGTCAGGGTCAATGAACCTATGTACATACCTACGCCTCAAGCCAGCTCCAAAGAGCCACCGACGCGATCGATCCCGCGCGGTGGGGACGACGAGGTAGGTAGGTCGAGCACAGACACAGGCAGGGTCCTGGGACGGAAAAAATCCGGAGTTGCTGGAACGGCGCTGGGGGCGGGGGGGGGGGGATTATTGTCGCAAAAGAAGGAGGGGGGGGGAAGTCGTTACTGTACATGTGTTTCTTGCGTCTTCCTTCGGGGGGGGGGGGAAGTGTCGGCATCAAGTAAGCGAGCGAGCGGGCAGGAAGGAGGGAAGGAAGGAAGGAAGGAAGGGAGGAAGGGAGGAGGGGAGCTGTGCACGGGTGTTGGCTTGCAAGGAGATGTCGGTGGGCGAAGCGCCCGGCTTTTGGCCATGGATAAGTTACAGGCTGTGGTTTCGAAAAACAAGGGCGCCGGTGTTGATTGACAAGGAGGGATGCATGAAAATGCTGCTGTAGAAAAGGTGACGTTACGGAGGAAAAAGCTCGAAGCGTGCCAATACGATACGACACGACACGAACGAACACCATTGCTCCATTACCTATGAACCGGACGATTCATCAGATGAGGACTATCAGCCCTCGGGCCATCGTCCGAGTAGATCGAGGTGACATTGCTCGGCAGATTCGAAACAGGGCCCCTTCCACCCCGATCACCCCATTCGTTCCTTCCACGCACCGCACCGTTATCATCCACATGCATGATCGTCGTAGCCGAGCCCCGCCAGGCATTGCTCTCCTCGAGTTCCATGTATTCATCCTTGCCTCGATCAGCCGACTCGTACGCGCCGCTCCACTCTGGCACTTTGCTGGCACGGACGGGAACGAAGCAAGCGTGTTTGCTGGCGCCCGTGCTGCGACTGTGGCGACTGAGGGAGAGTTTGCTGGCGATTTTCGGGGCGAAATGGCGGAAGAAGTGGGGCATGGTGATGAGGCAGCCGCAGACGATGCCGGATGCGATCTCGGCGATACTGTTGTTGCGTGGTCAGCTCATGGGATTCAGCAAGCGCAGGCGACTTCAAGCTCACGTCCACAATGCCACAGGAAACAGATAATAAGTCTTGTCGGGACTTCTGGCGCTGGCAACACTTGTAACAAGGTGCATGATGCTTGAGATGCAGCCGCTAGTGGATCTTAGCCTTTTCTCTCTTACAAAGGTAGCAAACATACAACAGTCCAGTTGCAAAAACTGCAGAGACGCCTATCTTCCTTTGTGTCGACATATGCAAGCGCCAGACTTCGACGATGGGAAGGAGTAGTATTGTGAAGTCCGACACCACGTTGATAGTACCTCCTGCAACGAAGACCTCCTCGTTCTTGATGCAGTGGCCAGGCTCTGTTGGCGTCCACAGCTTGCTTCTCGGGACGCATGGCCAGATCTCGACTGGCAAGTTGGCGAGATAGAAGAGGAAGTTGAAGAGTATCACGCCTTGGATTATCCAGTATGTTCTAGTCTTGCCGCTGGGGACGAATATTCGTAGAAAGAGAAGGAGAATGGAAAGTTTAGTGATGAATATTGTGGGTATATAGGCGATCTCGATGCCGTTCGCAATCTGAAACAGGCAGGTTTTAGATACACGGTAGGATTTGCTGAGGAATATATAGCTGACCTTGGTCCATTGTATTAGGTTAATTACTTGTATATCCCACTGGTGTATGCCGGCGTTATGATTGAAGATGGGTACCAGCATCAAGGTAGCGTAAGCGATGAGACCAAGCTTCGAGGGCTTCTGTAAGCTTGATGCTACTCATGCAACGATTCGATTTTTTCTCACCCATGCAATGACGCAGGTGTCTAGAAAGAGTCAGTAGGCCACACCATTGCTCCAGCCAACGTCAGAACTCACAATCTTCCCACCCGTGAAATCGAGTAATGACAAATCTGGTGTATATGCGAATCGCAACACATATCGTCGCGACACTCACGCATATTATGTTACAGGCCAGGTTCGCCGCCGATCGTGACTGCGGATCAATGAAGTTTGGCACGACACCGGGAGGAGGCTCCAAGCCGGGTCCTTCGAGGAGCTGCTCCAACGTCGCCATTGTTGCATAAAACTAAGGGGTTCATGTGAGACGGAGATCAAGGGGGGAAAAAAGAAAGAGAGCAGGAAGTCTGTGGGGGACAGCAGGAAGACCATGGAAAAGGCACTGAAATGAAGGGAAGCTGAAATTGAGAGAGCAAGTGTCAGAGAATGGTTTCGGGACTTTCGCAGTCCAATCAAACCCTTGCGTCTCTACCCGTCATGGGATATATAAGTCGTAATCTACCTCTCGATATGCGGTTGGACCTTGTTGACGCCATATTGTGATTGCAAATGTCCTTTCCCCGCACATCGCGTCGCATGGCGTTCGTATGGCGCTCGCAGAGATGCATTAGTCTCATTAGCGAGGGGTCCCTAGAAAAGCACATGGCCATTCGAGGCTACTATTCGATAATGTGGGAGAATGGTAGGCGATGAGCTACGTGCAGTAGATGATCGATATGACCTAAAAAAAGGTTCTTGGCACCCTAACAAAGACACTGTCTGCAACTGAAGCCATTGGCGACAGGTACCCCGGTTGATCAGTGCTGTCCCTGAAGCCACTGATGTGGGATATATGGGGAAGGAAGAAAGGAAGAAGGAAAGAAGAGACGGATCGGAAGAAAGCTCGAGTAGCGTCCGCTCTCGCGGTTGTCTCACATTCGAGCGCTTAAAACTTCCCATATATTCTAACAAAATTCAATTGTCATCGTCAGACCATTGGCAATGCACTCTCGATGTTCACTGAGGCATAAAGGCAGGCAGGATCGGGGACGCCCAAAGCGAGCGAGCGCCGGCAGCTGGGAGGTTGCCTGATCCCGTGTTGTTGGGGGTATTTAGTTCGTATTACCTAGGTGTACAATGGTGTTGCGGTGCTTTTTATTTTCTTCCCGAGGTGGGGAATCCTTTTAGCGTATTCAAAACCGTCTGGAATGCTTGGCACCGGAGATTTTTCCACACACCCAAATTCGTACCTACTGTAGCACAGAAATCTCTCCGTAAAATCATTCAAATCAAGTAGCCACATCGCAAATAGTCGCATTTAATCAATTTTGAAGCTATACAACCTCAGCTATACCTCCCAAACGCACCAATAACGCAGCAGCCACCGGACCGCCGCTGCCGCAGCAAGAACTACCCCCCACAACTACTAAAATAGCCTCTGTTCAAGAAGCTTAGAAATAGATGACTGAGGGACTGAGGAACATGCCAAGACTTCAATATAGCTTTATTCTTTTATTTCGGACCTATACTAACGATAGCAGTGTTATTGAATAATTTTGCCGAGAGATTTTTATGCTACAGTACGAATTTGGGTGTGTGGTCACTGGTGTGAGAGATCTCCGGTGCCAAGCATTCCAATACGCTAATTTTCGTCGCCAAGAAAATGAAAATGAAAACCCCGTCCCTTCTGACTCGCCCAGCTCTTGAGTCACCACAAGTCTGGACCATCGCCAGACGAGAGACTTGATCCGATCCCTGCCGCCATTAACATTGAGGCTCAAAAGAAACTTTCCTAGCCCTCCCCCTCCCCCAAAATCTACCCTTCACCCCAGCACCATGTCCGACCCTCGACCCCGCAACGACACGCAGCTCTCCCAGGGCCTTCCAGGACTCACGCACCACATAACCGGACACGATGCCTCCGGGCTCGCGATCGTGGAATCCGACCGGCCCGCCGCCTGGACGCCGAGGATCAACGACACGATGGCCTTCGACGTCGTCTACACCACCTCCACCTTCCCACCCAACATGAACGGCAACGCCGACCTCACCGCCCACGACAAGATCATCCAGTCGGACCAGCTGGGGCTGGTGAATCCCAACGGCACCGTGGCGCGGATGGTCGATTTCGGACCCGGCACTGAGGCCCTGATGCACCGGACGCAATCGCTCGACTATGGGATAGTGATTGAGGGAGAGGTGGAGATGATACTTGACGATGGGGTGAAGAGGATCATGGGGAGAGGCGATGTGGCGGTGCAGAGGGGGACGAACCATGGGTGGAGGAACGTGTCGAGTACAGAGTGGGCGCGGATGTTCTTTGTGCTCCAGGACGCGCAGAAGATCAAGATTGGGGACAAGGAGTTGGGGGCGGACTTCAGTAATGCGGGGAGTGATACTGAGGGCCTGGCTGGGGGACAGGATGTGGGGAGCAAACTTTGATGGGCGGGCTGTGTGCGTGATGAACTTACGACGACAATGAAGCTTACTGAAGCCAATCTGCCACGCCGTCTTCTCGATTGGTCCATAGCGATGTCATGAAAGCACTTTGTCCCAATGCATTTCTCCTATAAGGGAAGAACACCCTAGATTACAGTGCCTTTCCGCTGGTCCCGAGAATGAAAGTCTCCCATCTGAAGTCTAATCATACCGCAAGTCATTTCGTCTCACAACGTCTCTTCCGTCCTGACCTATGGATCGCAAAAGTCAGATTTAATCCCGTCTCAGCTCTATGGAGCTAGTATACTTACCATATCCTGCCGCAACAATATGCGATTATGTGGCACGCTCGGTAGGACATCCTCCTGACTCTCCGTTCTACTACTTTTTGAAATGACCGTGTTCGGTGCCCCTTCTCGCTCTGCAGCCGCAACATGATCGAAAGAATCCCTCGGGTCCTGCGAATCGATTTCCAAGAACGTCCCTTGACGAATTGTCCCAAGCCGCATGGCCTCTGCGGGATACTTGGGGGATCGTATGCCGGAGGTAGAGCGGCCTGATGAGGATGGGTTTCGTCGTTTGTAGGCGGATTCAGAGCTGGCACGCTTGTTGAGTAGCCAACCGAAGGAAGGGAGGCAGGATACCACAACAGCTGTAAAGAGTAGAGTATCTCAGTAGGGAGTGTGGGACAGGACTTCGAGAATACTTACCGACGCTCGCTTCGATCTGGGACCATAAAGCTAGCCATATCGGATCAGCTTGGTGCTCCTTCGTTGTTCTAGTCTGGAAGACGCGAACGAGGGCCACGGCAATGATGAAGAAGCCGAGGCAGAAGAGGGCAGCCAAGCCTGCCTTCTGTTTCCGATTGACCCCGATAAGTCCTATGAGTAGGTGCAGAGGTAGAGCCATGACTTTGAATTGGGGATCAGCCAAGTATCAGAGTGGAGAGGAGTACAGGATTGAGTATGTACACTTACTTAGGAGATCACACGCGATATCGACTGCTGTGGAGTAGTAAAGACTGTCGTTCGACACCCCGATGTCTCTTGGCTTATCACAATCGCCTACAGGTGTCAGCTTAAATCTTGTGGATATCAATATCATTTTGTACCTATCTTGAAGTAGGACTTTAGTGGGCTGCAAGAATCAAACTGCAAAGCCCAGCATCCCACATAAGTCAGACCGACAAAGACGACTACGGCCCACCAGGCATATAGATAAGCCCGCGAAAGTCTGTCGAACAAGCTCTTGTAGAATACCAGAATCGAAAGTTTGACAGCCCACACGCAAGTCCAGAAGAGTATAATGATGCCAAACTGGACTCTGAGATAGTAATCCGCTCGCTCCTCGAATTCAAGCATAGTCTCCGGAGACAATGGAGGTTTGCCTGCGATGACCAAGTCCAGATCGAACATGATGGGTATGACCTGGCCGTACAACCCAGCCATTGTAATCAGGGTCGCGAGTGCCAACAGTACAAGCACATCTGAAACAAGGACGTTGTCAATGGTTGTCTTCTTGACGATGAAGAGACGGATGGCGAAACGAAAAACAACGAGGGTAATGGCAATAGCTGTGACAACCCAAACGATGCTCTGCAGTTCGCGTCAGTTGCATACCGATGAACTATGACATCAGACGTGGGACGAACCAAGAGCTTTGAAGGAGTCAGTCCACCGACATCGCCTGGCGACATCATCGTTGCCTCTCCCAGGTGATGCACAGGTCAGAGGATACAGCGTTGAGAAAGTCAAAGAAGACATTGTGAAAGAAAGTCGCATGATTTTTTTCTGCACTCCTAGAGTACGAAGGAGGCATGCAAGGAGTGGTGATGCAAGGGCAGAGTGAATATAACCGGTATGCAAGGGCCCGCATGATCGGTAGCCAATTAAAGAACGCTCAGCTCTCTAATCGCCTCGGAGCGACTTTTATTCCAAAAAGCGATGTGCATGGGTTTTCATGTAAACCACGTATTCTGAGCGCGCATCTGAAGTCACATCAAAGTCTTGGCTCGTGACGATGGCCATTCTCCTATCGACTGTCTCCATCAGCAGGCGAGGACTCGAACAACAACATTTAGAACTAGAATCTTAGATGCATAGAACACGACGTGTTCTATCTGGAGGAAAGAATTTTCTCTTTATTCGAAGGGCTACGCCGCCCTTCCTCTCCGCGCTTACTGACCAATCATACCTGAGACGTGGTCATCAAGTGGTCAGAAGAACAATGTCGGAGTACAAGTATGCTGATGTGAGCCTCTCGGACACCAAAAAAATGGGTGCCAGGACGTTGATACTGGATGATAGGTGGGCATCAACCTCACAGACTCCACCTTCAAAGGGGAGTGTAAGTTACATTTTCCGAGTCAATTTTTCCCCATTGGTGCTGTCTTATGGGTCACCACACATATCTCAAAAGTTCTCTGCTCCTAAGACATGTCCCGCGACTCGACACTCCTCCCGAAAGAGTAATGCTGACTCCGAAATCATCAAGACTACGGCAAACAGCATCACGCAGACGACACGGAGCATGTCATTCAAAGGGGTGTTGATCTCGGGTGTCTCAAGTTCATGGTCACTGGAACCGATTTGGAGGAGTCGAAGAAGGCTATCGCTCTCGCAGAAGGATACCCAGGACGGTGTTACGCCACTGTAGGCGTTCACCCATGCCAAACAGAATCATTTGATAAGCACCCTGGCGGGCCTACAGTCTTGCTACAGGAGCTCGAGACACTGACCGTTGACGCAAAAGGTCGAGGTCTTGCTACCGCGTTTGGAGAAATCGGGTTGGACTACGATAGGTTACATTTTGCAGGCAAAGAGCAGCAGCTCAAGTACTTTGAAGCGCAGCTTGATATTGCGGTTAAAGTTCAGTTGCCATTGTTTCTTCATTCCCGCGCCGCTGGTGAGGACTTTGAAAGATTGCTGTCTGCTAGATTGCCTAGCTTACCGAGAAGAGGCTTGGTGCATAGCTTTACTGGCACCATGGAGGAGATGGAGAGCTTGGTGGCTCTTGGGTTGGATATTGGGGTTAATGGATGCAGCATGAAGACCGAAGAGAATCTAGATGTCGTGAAAGCTATTCCCCTTGAACGTTTGCAGATCGAGACCGATGGACCATGGGTACGTTGTTCCTCTGGGAACGCTCGCTTCCGACCGTCCATTTTCCTGGCTGCTAATCGCTCAAAGTGTGAAATGCGGGCCTCGCATGCCTCAGCAAAATACAAAGATGACGCTCAAGGACTGCCGAAATCAGTCAAAAAGGAGAAGTGGACCGCGGACTCAATGGTAAAAGGCCGTAACGAATCAGCCACCATTGTCCATGTTGTCCATGTCATTGCCAAGGTCAAGGGGATCTCGACCGCTGAACTTTGTCAAGCAGCATGGAATAACTCCATAAAGATGTTTGGCTTGGGAGAGACATCAGATCAGCAAAGGCCTTGAAACGCGGTGTTACTCAGATACAACTCGCTTAGTTCGCTCAGTCCGGATGTACATGCAAGGTCGCGGCCCCGGCTCCTACGAACATCCTACGGGCTAACGCCGCGAGTCCTTTTACCAAACATAGTATCTTCTCACAAGACCAGCCATCGCGTCCCCGCATATATGGGCTCCTCCGGTAGTTCCTAACACAGAAATCAGGCCCGTGACCTCCGCGATGACTGGGTTTGCGCGGGTTTGCGCCTCGGAAAGCCCAAACCTAAGGCTCGTCTTGGCTCAAATTTGCTATACTTGTCAGCTTGCTTGACTTTAGAGCATGCCCGTACTCATCAGTATCATCGACCCGTATTCTAGTGTTCAGGACTGTAGATAGAGTAACAATAAGGACCCAGGATCAAGTGCAAAATGCTTTGTTGAACACGTGAAGAAATGCGAGAGAAAGCGGGAGATAAGATACACGCCAAGGCTATGCCTGCCCGTGCCGTGGAGAATTAAATAGAAACTAAGCTCCTTCGGGAAGCCGGGCTTGAGCCGGCATCGCAAGCTACGAATCTCAATTCTTTTCTTTAGATTTTCTTACCATCCCACCTTTCAACAATCTTACCCTCAACACTTCCCAAGTACCATATTGTTGTTTCGACAGATACATACAAACACACACACAGACGCTCAGAGAAGCCTTCGTCGCCAGTCACAACAAAAGTACTCCCGCGCCAGCAATTTCAATATGGATTTACAGCACTCGATGCTTATTTCCAACGCACATCCTACAACATGTCCTTGAGAAGGCTGTAATCAGCTTTCCACTCCGGAAGATCCCCTCCCACATTTCGCTCTTCTCTTTCTTCATTCAGCCTACCTTTTTGGACACCTAGTAGACAAGCATTCAATCATCATCATCATCATCCTTGCCCACGAAATGGACGCCGAAGCCCAGAAAAAGATCGTCCAGAGTCATGGCCACCTTGTGTCTCACAAGCCTGCCCACCAAATCAGTTTGAAAGGCAAATTCAGCGCTGAAGACAGTGGTCCTCCGTCTCCCTCATCTGGACCTGTGAACAACTTCGGAGAAGTCGCGCCCGGCCTCTACCGGAGCAGCTTCCCGCATGCCGACAATATGGAGCATGTGATGTCGTTGGGACTAAAGTCGATTCTGTAAGAAAATTCATCACTGATGGTCGAAGTGGTTCTGATCATGACCAGCACCCTGGTGAAGACACCTCACTCAGAAGATTTCCTCGAGTACGTGGAAGAGGAGGGCATTGAGCATTTCCGTATCATCGTCCCCGCGCACAAGAACCCTTCCAGTATCATTCCGATAGACACGCTTCTCGAAACGCTCAAAATCATCCTCAATCGATCTAATCATCCGCTACTGATCCATTGCAACAAGGGCAAGGTATGTATTCAAGCTGTTCCACCGAGCCAAACCCTCAGCTAAAATCCTCAACAGCATCGAACGGGGTGCATGGTTGCTTGTTACCGGAAATTGTCTGGCTGGACCGACGCTGCTATCATCACGGAGTACGTAGCTGCCGGCACCGCAAATTGCTCGCCGCAACCCAGCATAGGCGACTGACTTTTTCACAGATATCGCACCTTCGCAGGGGACAAATTCCGCCCTCTAGACGAAGCGTTCATCGCCTCCTTCAACGCAGAAGTGGCCCAGCAGATCCTCGATGGCGTGGATATCCCTTACGTCCCTCTCCAGACGAGACCGGTTCAGAGAAGGCTAGGAAGCCCACCGCCTTTTCCCTGGGGCATCCAAGCCGAGTCCTTTCGTGTCGCGACGGACGACTCGGCCGACAGTCTCCCCACGCCGCCGCCTTCGGACAAATCGGAGAAAGGCTACGATGACGACGTATGGCCTCCGTCTAGGGGTCCCTCGCCGGACCGATGGTGATGTTTCTGGCGTGGTAAAGACTGGACGGGGATGTCGAAGACTTGTACATGGGGTGCGTTTTGTCCATGTATGACAATGCAGCTTTCCTATCATTGAAAGATCCCGGGAGGCGCTCCGATTCTTAGGATACCCTGCGGTGGTCTTCTGCCGTATATATTTTTTTTTCTGAGTCTCTGTATGTGTAAAAGTTCAAGGAAAATGACAAATCCGGTTTCCAACCCCCGTCCTTCAACGCATTGACATACACCCACCACCTCACCGCCCCCAAGAATAAAAAAATTCAAAAAAATAAAAAAAAATCTAAACCCCTCCCCCCAATCCCCATCAAAACCTTCCACCTCCCTCCCACCACCACCACTTCCACTTCAAACGCCACCCTCCAACAACAATCCACCAAACCTACCACCCGCATCACCCACCGCGCATTCTACTCTAATCTACTCTACTTCCCTCTACAAAATGATTACCAACCCCAGTCCCACCCACCCACCCAAGTGAAACGCCAAAAGGGTCAAAAGGGCCAAACTGGATCGAAGGTGATGCCGCCTCCCCACACTCCACACAAGCCAAGTCAAGTTAAACCACCAAGCCAAGTCCAAACCAAACAAAAGCCAAACCAAACCAAGTTGAACCAAGCCAAGCCAAACCAAACCAAACCAAACCAAGCCAAGCCAAGCCAAGCCAAGCCAAGCCAAACCAAGCCAAGTCAACCCAACCCAACCCAAGCCAAACCAAGCCACTCTCTACCTTATTACTTTATATACCTTACCTGACTGTACAGATTTCAGGTAAGGGACGTACCTAGATGACAACTCGACGCATGGCTTATCCTGTGGTAAGGTATGGCCCACCGCTCAACTGAGCGAGCGAGCGGGTGGGTTTTATGTGGAGGGGGTGGGTGAGGTGGAGGAGGTGGGTGAGAATAGGTATGGTAGGATAGGGTAGGGTAGGGTAGGTGAGAATAGGTAGGGCAGGGTGGGTGAGAATAGGTATGGTAGGGTGGGTAAGAATAGATTGGGTAGGGTAGGGTAGGGTAGGGTAGGTGAGAATAGGTATGATAGGGTAGGGTAGGTAAGAATAGGTAGGGTAGGATAGGGTGGGTGAGAATAGGTAGGGTAGGGTAGGGTAGGTGAGGGTAGGTGAGAATAGGTAGGGTAGGGTGGGTAAGAATAGGTAGGGTAGGTAGGGTAGGTAAGAATAGGTATGGTAGGGTAGGGTAGGGTAGGGTAGGGTGGTTTGTTGGATCTGTGATGCGAGAGGTAGGCAAGGTACTTGGGACTCACTCAGGAGCGAAGATGGTATGAGGATGTAATGTAACGGAGCGGACGGCGAAGTTGATTTTCGCCGCGCAGTACACGAGGAACCAAGGAACCAAAACCAGATACTTGTGCGTCTACCGTGCATCCAAAAGGCTGACGGTACGACTCATATTACACATACATACAATCATTTGGCGGAAGAAGAAAACAAGATGCATACATAAACCCATCAAATCTACTTTAATCCGTCGCGCCTTCCTCCACCACCTCAGTCCCCACGCCCTTCTTCGACGCCTCACCTTTCCTCTCCCCGGGACCTCCATATTTCTCCCACCTCACCCTCAAATCTTCCTTGGCGCCCCCATTCTTCTCCACCACCAGGCCCCTCAACCACTCGTTCTCTGTCTCCAAGCGTCCAATGCGCTGCTCCAACTGGAGCGTCTTATTCTCCAAATCCTTGGCCGTCTGCTCAAGCGCCTGTTCGCGCTGCTTCTTCTTGACGCGGAAGCGCGCCGAGGCGGCGGTGTTGCGGCGACGTTTGTCTTCTTCGGCGGCGAGGCGGGCGGCGGGGGTTTCGGGCTCGGAGGGGTTGTTGTGGGCGGATGGACTTTCCGTTGGAGTGGGGGAGAGATGGTGTTTTTGGCCCGGGTAGGCGGCGGGGTTGAAGGCTTGTTCGAAGGAAATGGGAGATGTGGAGGTGGGGTATACGGCGGGCTGTAGTCCGTTGCTTGGATATTGGGATTGGATAGGAGCGGTGATGGCGGATTGAGGAGAGGTAGGGATGAAGGGCTCTATGCCGGCGAAGGGGAAGTCGCCTAGCGGGTTTGTATCAGCGTTGAGTTATGGATGTGGTTGAGGTACGTTTGTGAGGTACGCCTGCAGTCTTCTGTTGATGCGCGAAGACATGTGGACGTATTGGGTGAGTCTTCCGATCAACATACCCGTGACGAAATCCATGCCCTTGGCACCGATTTTATTGTTCGCAGCGGCGTTCTCCCTCCTCGCCTTCTCTTCTAGACTTGGATCATACTCAGGCATGGGTTGCTCGAGAAAGTCACCGGCGTCAAAATCGAGGAATTCGGTATTGGTGAACTGAGCAAGCTCATCGTCGAAATCATCCTGTTGTTGGGTCGCGACGTCATGGGCGGATGGAAGTGCGTTGAGATTGGCGAGATAGTGAGAGACGTTTGGTGCCTTGCGACCCTTGTAGGCGTCCATGGCTGCCATGGTGAGTTAACAATGGGACGCAATGGTCGAAAGACCGTGGATGTACGCAAGAACAGCGGAGGCAGCGGAGGATGGGTGAAGATGGTCTTTGAGGTGCGGATGTGAGTGTGTGGGCGGAAAGTGGGGGTGATTAGAAATATAGAAGTAGATAGCGGGAGTTGGAATTGGCGCTAGGATGTTTTGCGGGTAAGCGCTGCTTTCATCATGAACTTTTGCCGAACTGTGGGGGCCACATGTCGATTTCATTTCTAAAGTTCATGTAATTTACCGACACAAAAGTAGCCAGTAAGCAACATGCATGGTAGTATAATATTTAGAAAGGGTACATTGATACCTTTGTCTTTCGAAGTGCATTATGGAAAAGAATCTGTCTGTTAAGTATTGAAGTTACTAAGTATAGGGGAGAGAGGAATATCTTCTAAATTGTAACGATTCCGAAAGCAATCAAGAGGGTACCTTAGGTACCTTACTGTTGAGTGTTGAATTCACCTCGGAAGCTCCAGTCCTTCTAGATTTTACCTTTGATTAATAATAAAACTGTGCTTCTGCGGCCCCATGGTCGACGCGCAATTAGCCGAGTCAAGATGATGCATGGAGAAGAAGGTGAGCTTCCACTTGTGCTTCTCTACGCGCCATTCCCCAGCCTCCCTACTTTCTTCCCAACAAAAAGTAATGGTGTGATGATATCCAAGATCAATCTCCATCGAAGAATGATGCGTTTTGTGTAGGAAGATGCTTCTCAGTATGTGACTCTTCGACGGCATCCTTCTTCATCCACATCCTTCCCTTGTGTGCTGCATTCAATGCACCATGTTCCATGACAGTGTGGCAACCTTTTAAAAACGAAGCTTCTTGAGGTATGATGCTTTGGAAACATAGTTCCCTCTGCCGTTGTGATAGTCTTAGGGTTCTAATTGCTTGATCTGGCTCACTTAAAATATCTCATCCTTTACGAAAGTGTGACCATATCAAGGGTGAAGCCTGCAAGGCTATGAAGAACTACGCTTCACCGTGGAAGCGACGCTGAGGAGTTTCACAGCATTCACGGCTCCTAGCGTCGGCTGTCGAGAATACTTTGACCCCAAGCAAACCCATCTCCCGTCTCCACACATGGATACCACTTTGATCAAGCGCATGGCATATAACCTTTGCGTCCTTTCTATGGTTGCTTCTTTGCTATGAGAGAGTGTTCATGGAGTGGCTCGACCCCTTCAGATTGTGCAACAGCACGTGAATCCTCAGTCAATGATACATGCGTTCAGGATATGTGCGCCGCACTTAAGCAAGCAGTAATGGCATCCAACCTCTAAATCTTCTATCTGATGGCTTGACACTACGCGAAACTTGCTTGACGTGACTTACACGATGGTTTCGAAATGTGTAAGATCACATCATGTCTCAGTATCAGAGAGACATTTCTCCGGTTTGATACTTGCAACTAAAATCGCTGGCTCAGATTGGATTTGTGGCCACAAATCAAGTCATTCCCATATGTTTTGATCTTTTTGCCATTCCACCACTGTCTCCAACTGTAATAGAATGACTATCTTCGTAAGAACACGTATATCAAGACGTATTTGACCGCTGCGCCGCTTGCCGGAGCCGGATCAACAATGGGCACTGCGGTACGTATATATGCCAGCTTTCTTTGAATGTACTTACCCTCTGATACACTTCATATCTTTTTCATTGTCTGCTCACTTCTCAGCAGGGTAATACGCAGAAGTAAATCCATCGATCATTATTGAAGGAATCAGAAGGCTAATGAACAAAGGATAGTGTTTCAACGCCAATTATATTGCCCGGGCTCGAGTGCCAACGTCTGCTCGGCATCAGTGACAGAAGTCGTCATCACAAGTTTCAACAAGGAGCTGTTAACGAGCCAGCTGGTTGCCTATACAGAATCAGAAAACTCTGATCGGCATGGTGACTTCCAATCAACCGTCGAAAATATTGCACGACCACGCCCACCGCAGCTGAATATACCGAAGTCAGTGCTACCACTTAGTGCCTACAATTGTTATGAATGTTGGAAGAGACGACTATCCATCTGCAAACAAATCAGCGAAAAACCAACACAGATCGCAGCCCCAAACTGCCTAGAACGCTATCAAGGTCCTGCAAGAGGATTTAATAACAGCTCGGGCACGCGTCTCCTAGCGTGTGGTTGCGATGCTAAATGCTTTTGCTCATCTGCATTTACTTGACGAAGCTCAAGCTCGAACATGCTTCCAAGCCACGGTCGAATGAAGAGGCATCCCGAAGCAGCCAAGAACATCCGTCCGCTCTTCCCTCCCGAGTACCAACCTCGCACATCCTGCGTCGGCAAAACAGCGCAGCCATGTCCAGTCCAGCTCAGCGCTCGCAGTCGACGCACGGGACCACCTGCGAACACACCGGTACAGATCGCAAGCCCAACCTCACCTGACGAAGCTCGAGCAAAGCTCGAACATCCATCTCCTCTCTCCCGACGGGGCACCGAATCCGCACACGCAACGTCAGAGGAAGCGGCCCGACTACATCCAGCATCAGCCATCCGTGCCGAACAGACATCGGACCCTTCCCGAATCCGAACCGGAATCCCGACAGCCACAGCCTCCCAAGCCGTCCTCAGGGAAAAAGAAAGAAGAAAAAAAAAGAGAGAATGCGCAACGGATACGCCACGGCGCTTCAAACCCACCCAGCACGAGCAACAAAAGTCCAGCACACCCATGAGCCAAAAGGAAAAAAACAATCCCGCTCCACCCCATCGACCCCACTCCCACCGCCAGCCACGGCCACAGACTTCTACAACCGGTATCCGTAAGCACATGTCACACAGTAGATCAATCGATCATCGCTTCCCGGTTCCGTCGATCGAGGGACGGCGTGCCTGTTGGACGGAAGATTGGTCGGACGTCCACACCGAAGCCCCCGCCTGGAGAAAGAAAGAAAGAGAGAGAGAAAGAGAGAGAGAGAGAGAAAAGAAAAGAGAAGAGAGAGAAAGAGAAAAAGAGAGAGAAGAAAGAAAGAGAGAGAAGAAAGAAAGAAAGAGAGAAAGAGAGAAAGAGAAAGAAAGAAAGAAAGAAAGAAAGAGAGAAGGAAGTAGTCCGAGGAAAGGCAGGAAGCAAAACCAAAAAGGCAGGGGTAATAAACAAATAACCCAAGAGCGATTCTGCGCCAGCAGAGAAAAGATAGAGATAGATGTAGATAGGATATCCACAGATTGTGTACAGTGGCACATGGCGTAGGCCCGGGGAACCAGAGAGAGGGGGTGGGGGACGATGCGATACAGGAAGTTTTGGGAGCTTTCTGGAAAAGAGATCGGATACATAGTTGTTCCAAGGTGTCAGATTCGACATGGACACCGACCATGTGATGTGATGTGCTACGCTATGCCATGCTATGTGAGCCCATTTCCAAAGCCTCAATTTTGGGCGGTTCTCTCCAGCGCCACGCTCAAACGCAGCATTCAAATCAAAGGATGGTTATAGATCTCTCAGCCAGGCCACTGCGCCTTATGTGATGACTCATCTCGCTGGCAGGAACATTCACCTTCCCTCCCATTGGCGTGACATGAGCATCGACTTTGGGCCCCCTCGCCCTCGACATGCTCACACATCGGCAGGTCTGAGGCCGTAGTCTCCGAGCTCGTCTTCTTCCTCCTGACCACGGCGCTGAAGATCCTGTTCGCTTTGTTGGGCGTCGTAGGTCTCATCTCGCCTCCGAGTATCGAGTTCTGCCGCATTTGTATAGGGTCTACCTGCTTCTTGGCTGCTGGGCTGATGGAAAAATAGATTGGCATCAGAGCACCAAAAGCAAAGACGGCGACCACCACGCAAAACGCGTAGCGGACGCTATGATTGCTGACTACCGGCCACATGATGGCAGGGATAATGGCCCCGCCGGATGTCGCAGCTGTGAGGAATACCGAGCCGGTCTTGCTGTGCTTGCCCAGTCCACGCAAGGAGATGGCGAAGACGAGGGAGAAGATTCCGGATTCGAAGAAGAGGACTAGGACGATCATGGCGACGCCTTTGTAGCCGCTAAAGCTCATGGCGAGCGCAGAAGTGATTATGGCACCAATGAAAAGCAAGAAGAGGATACGGCGAGGTTTAATGAGCAGACCTGCGACGGCTGTTATGAAGCGGCCGACTGCAAAGACGGAGTGTCCAACTGCTTGGTAGTTGAAGGGGCCGATGTCAGAGTTGGGCTTGACGTATGCGACATACTGTTCAAAATATGTTGCCACGGATTCTTGGCCTCCGACGTAGCAGAATTGGGTAAAGATGCCGACTATGAGAGTCACATGGATGACTGGGAGACCGGCAAACCTTCGTCTGAAGACGCTTTCACGCCTCTCGGCCATCTCTTCCAAGTCGTCATCTGACGCTTCTGGTATCGGCAAGTAGAAGAATATGAGAGCCAGGCAGACGTCGAACAGAGCAATGCCAAGATACGTCCATTGTACGTCGATGAGTGAAGGCGCGTCGAGCACGTTTCTGAAAAGTACTTTCTTTGCGAGAATTGGAGACACCACACTCCCAATAGCTTGCACGCCTTGTGAAATATTCAGACGAACCTCGGCGTACTCTGGGGGGCCGCAGAGAGAAATGAATGGATTACCGGCCGTCTCGAGTGTGGCAATGCCAAGGCCGATGATGAAGTTTGAGACGAGGAAGGCAGGGAATGATGCCAGAACTGCAGAAGGCCAGAAGACCAGGGTACCGACACCGTATATGCACAGACCAGTGATGAATGTTGCTTTGAACCCCCATTTCTTGAAAATGTACCTTCCAAAGGTAAGAGGCGCGAAGAAATAGGCTGCGTAGTACGCGGAGTGTAGTGCGACAGCTTGGCCCGCGCTTGTGCCAACAATGGTCTGGAATTGTTGATTGAGCACCTGCAAAAGACCATATGCAAATCCCCAGAGGAAGAAGAGGACGGTGACCAGAGCTAGGGGAAAGTAGGATTGCTTGTTGGTCAGTTTCACCATGCTCTTAGCTTGACTGTCGTTGACGAAGTCGAAGATGGTCAGACTCGGTGTTCGGGGCCTAGCCGTACCAACAGTTGCCGCTGCGGCTTGTGTCTGCTGCAACATCGCAGGGGTGGTGTCCGGAGTCGTTAGGAAGTCCAGCATACCCATACTGTCTCCTCCGCTTGACGCAAGATGGGTGCCACTCGTTGGACTGTGGGGAGGAGCAGCGATCGAGGTGCTTTGAGTCTTGGGAGCCAGATTTGCCCATTGAGCGTCGCCAGGTCCGTAGAATGGGTTGCCAGTCAATTCTCCGGCGTGCTTGATGCGGCCAAGCAAGTTTGGGAAGACCTTAGTCACCAAAGGTTTGACGCCAGGGACGCACGCTACAATGATCCCCACGTGGACTTCCACGGCAGACCACATGAAGGACAGGGATGCTATCCACGAATAATCGTATTCTGCGTTGGAAGCAGCAGATCCGGAAGTATTTTGCAGGCGCGCCAAAGCCGCAGATTCCAGGTACGCTATCCTCACCACGTCAACCACTGCAACGAATGCACCAAAGCTGAATGTAATTATCAAGATGATCTTTTCGTTTCGGGGCAGCCTCATGCTTGTCAGGATAGGCATCGGTAGGAAGAGTATTGCCAGATCCGTGATGATGTTGACCGGTGCGGAGGAGAGGTATAGCGTGACAATATCGATGCATTTGGCCATTGGCTTTATCGGGTCATCGAAAGCGGCTCCCAGAGGACGGCATTGGAGTATGTTGAGAAAGGTCAAGGCAAGGCCGGCCACATTTACCACGGCGAGTGTTGCGATGGTAGACCACCTGAATACTGAGTGATTCTTCGATAGGGTCAAGTAGAAGAGACAGATGGAGGTCTTGGTGGCCATTAATGCCGGGTTCTAATCTCATTAGCGATTATCCTCCAATTGCTCTAGATATGCACTTACATAGAGAACGGAGAAGGCATATTCGGCTTTCTTCAAAGACTCTCGGTCGTGTGGCGCAACATTGGCTTCGTGACGGCCGAGTCCAACGCTTGTCCCATAGCAGATGGAGAAGGAGAAACCGAAAGCGACGAGCTGCCATCCATTAGTACTCGGTACCGTCCGCGAGGGAAGACTGTGACAGCTCACCCATGCGATACCGATCGCATAGTCGTCATTGCTCACTCGCTTCACCACACCCATGCGCGAGATGAGTCGCAGTATGATGAAGCCAGTGGACAGGCAGAGAAATGCTATCACGACTGCAAGCACCGTTGGCCCACGATTTTGCATCGCCAAAGTCGTTGGGTCCGCCATGATTGTAGCCGCCACTCCACTCGTCCTCCGGTTCGCCGGGTATTATCATGGGATGTCGGGTATGATGACACTGTCCTCGAGAAGCATCATTGTCCCTTGGCTTGACTTGCATGAAGTTTTCATCTCGGTGGTTCGAGGGTAGAATGATTTGGAGCGATGAAAACAGTGATAGGCATGGGGTACGCTGGATGAGGTGTTCATGCATGTCTGCTAATTGTGGGTGCTGAGAAGGCATGATTGACAGATGCGATTCCGACCGAGTTTCCCGATGATTGATACCAGGCCTGAAGTGGGAAAGTGGAATTGGGGGGGATGATATTTTGACTTTTTTATTAGCAGGCGAGGATCATTGGATTGGATGATGATTTGGATGGTGTCATTGATAAAGTCATTAAAGTATTGGTGTGGGGAAGATTGAAGAGAGGGAAGAGAGAGTTCACCAGTAGATCCGCCCCTCGTTGGGTCAGTAGTGCCGGTGACTTGGTGGGGGGAAAGAAACAAACCTTGCTTAAGCTGGCATTAAGGTACCCTTAGCTCGCTTAGTTTAAAGTAGCACGCGCCATGTCATGCTTCCCCGCAGATCCATTTGCCGAAACCCCCACCAGCCCCTAAACTCTTTGCGGACCATGTATATTCCTCGAACGCTCCAATCACATCTGTCATCTTTCATACTTTCTCATGAGGCGAATGGACAAAAATAGTAAATATCAAGCCAGCAGTCTGCTCTGCATTCACAGTCTGAGCACGATACAGTCCCGCAATTATCTTGGCGACTGAGCCAGTATATCTCAATCAAGCAAGACGGAAAACCATCACACCAACAATCGCACGTCTTTGACTCTCGTCCGCACCTGGCTCTACACGCCCCAACTCCCCCGACCATCTTGCCTTGGCCAAACAGTCATCAGCAACAGGCGCCAAAACCGGCCTAGGCTTCGGGACGGGCCCTTCATTTCGTCATCATGGTCTGCACGTACATGGAACTCGAGTCGAGTACTTTGGGGGATTTGGTGTACTTGAGTTGGACGACAACTTTGCGAATCCGAGATCTACCCTCATATAGCAGACTTCATTGGAGAGAGCACTTGCTTACATAGTGTGCAGGGTACATACATAGAACACAGAAGTCCAAATACAGGTAGCAGAGTACAGATACAGGAAACATGCGATATACTCCCATATTCGACAATATGTGTACAAGCTGCCGCTTCTAGATTTTCATCCGATGTTTGGGTCATAATGAAGACCGAATAGCCAATCAAGGGTTCCGATGCCCGTCCCATGAAGACAAACTGTAGTAACTCACTTGCCCTGTAGCGCTTGGATGCAGCCTTTGTCTGTTTGAGAAGCAAGCTCTCTCAGGGAAAGACAAGCATCCGAGCGTTTTCCATGAGGAGCAATGCCGGTAACATTGGCCGTAAGTTGAGGCTCTTTCGCTTTGAAGGTCCACATAGATGCTGTGGTCGTTTACCCTTGGCGCTGGGTTCGGTACCAGTCGCTCTGTGAGCGATCGCAACAGTGTTTGCCATAAGGAAACATGATACCCCCCTCCCGCAACCTAATACGGAGGAGCCTTTCACATCTTCAACAAGACCCAGTAAGCAGTCTGTAGGCATATGTGGGCTTGTCGTCCTGGGGAGAGGATGGCCCCCATGGGCCGCATGCTGTCCAGCAAGCCTTCTTGGACGCTTTCTCGGGGGGATGCGAATCCTGACGTGCGATTTCGTTCGACGATCTCGTTGTTCATGGCTACACATAATCTTTCTCTTGGAATCATGTTTGCGTCCAATGGCTGTTGATGTGGCTGTACGCAGGAGGACTGAGAATTGGATCTTCAAGTTGGGCCACCCTGAATCCGTCTCGACTCAATTGGTCCCAACCATTGTTAGGGACATCCAGCATGGCGGAGATGTCCATAGGGCCATTCTGTTCATGAGCTTGAAGTGGCACACTGTGATCTGGGAATGGTGACCAGAACATGTCTGCTGGTGTGGCAAATGGTCTTGGGCTGTTTTTGACTGCTGAAAAAGGCAGCCCAATAGTTACATCCTTCGTGTGGACATTGTCCTGTTGCTGAGGATCGTCTGGCACAGACGACAGATATGTAAAGCCGTTTCCAGAAGCTTGGGGATCTTGCAAGCTCGCCGGTACCTCTGGTGGAAGATCATACGCTATTTGGGTGACTTCGGAAGGCAAGTGAATGTTCCACTGTCGGGAAAGAGCCATAATGATATCGGCGCTTCGGATGGCAAAAGCGTGGTTGGCGGAGATCCCGCGAAGGCAGGTGATATTCAGAGCAAGATTCTGGGCCGATGAAAGATTAGGAAGATTTAACAGATGGATGATTGATGTTGATAAGAGGATATGAGTTGCGATGATTGGAACACGGCGAAGTCCATATATCTGACGATATGTTCCAACAAGCGAGGTCGCGTTGTTGGCACAAGATGTGCAAATGTCTCGAGGCGACACTTTAGAATTCGTGAGATCAACTTTGAGAAATGGACGGAAGAGATGCAACACAACGGTATGATAGTATGCGCTGTCAGAGTCAGTTGAAAGCAATGATATGTTCCAGCGACAAGCGCAGCATGGAAAGGGAAATATTTGAAGACGCATCAGGTTTCTACACTTACTGCAGCAAGAGAATGTGAGGTGTAGAAACTTCCCGCAACCCGAGTTTGTCTGGCAGATTGTTGAACCATCGCGTGTACCTGGCATAAAAGTCAAGAAGCTTCTTGCTCGTAAATCGCTCACGTGGCGCGTAGAACATGAAGACAGTGTCATTCACAATCTCCGAGAGAGAACTCATGGCACGCATGAGTGTGGTCGGCAGGGTAGGTTGCTCAGCGCCAGGTATGTTTATCATCCCGTAGTCTGTATACGGCCTCCAAGGCTTTTGCTCGTGTTGCTCTATGACATTCGGTAGGTCTAAGCTGATGGCGGTCCGTGGCAATTGGGCGATCCTTCCAATGCAGATAGACCAGGTGCTTGAGGCTTATCAGTGTTGCGCTTGAAGAATGCCGGGTTTCGACTTACGTGTCGTTGATGAAGCAGCCCCAAAATGTGATCCTACGAACTTCCAATTCAGTGGGGCTGATCTTGTCACTGGCTGAAGCAAATGATAGATGTAGGCCGAGCTCGATCAACATCCTTACACATCTCCCCGCATACTGAAACCCGCTGCTGTCACGGCTGCAGCTTGCTTCACGAAGCCCCATCAGAGCCAAGCCTTGAACAGTGGTCAAGTTGGAAGCTTCATTTTCATTTAGCAGCCGCTTTGCTTCAGCGAAAAAGTGGTCTCCTGCGGTCCTAGGATCCGAAGGGTTTTCGCGAGCCTCTGGCCGATCCGAGTATGCACATGCGAGTGCCAGTAGTGCGTTGACCATGAGTGGGCTGCAGTACTGGCTTCGACCTTTGGCCATATCATCCAAAAATAGCTCCTTTGAGAACAAGACATAGTAAGGATGTGCCCAACAAAAGTATATTTTCAGCAAGTGCTCAACGAACCCGGCGTCTCGAGTGACTCTGGTCCACACTTCTGAGACTTGGAGATGCATAGGAGAGTGTTCACCGTCAGAAACCAGGCTCAGACTTGATGTATGTCCATAATGCTTGACCACTCCCGATGCATCTATGGAGGGACGACCTATAAAGTTTGACAACTCTGTTTCCGCAGATTTTGCACCAGGGCGTTCGGGCAGCATGACGTTCTTTTTGAGAGATTCCGCAATGTTGTCAAGGTCCTCATCTGCTCGTATCTGTTGCACGATCTCGGCGACTTCCGCATCGGTGGATGACCGTATCGAAGCAACGATGATACCGAGAGCGTCATTCTGTCCCTTCAATGCCTCGATGTCTCGCTTCAATGCCGCTTTCCGTCGGTGGTCGCTATCGACATCATAGAAGCAAGGTGTTTGGTATACTGCGGTACAAGTCGAGCAGTTCGGCATGCCGCCATCGCACTGAGGGACAGCGTCAGTGAAGGGACTCTCGACCTGAACACGTCGCAGAGAAATCACAGCGGTACTAGGCCGACCGACAGCGGCAACGCACCTTGGACTTGCGCTTCCGACATGGTATGCATGCGCTGGAGATGCACCTCCTTTTTGTAGACCTGGACAGGTTGGGTACTGAGTTTGGAGCAGATGTAGAGTCATCCTTCTCGTCCTTGGGTCGGATTGTCCGCATCGCGTGTTGTGTAGTGGAGAGGAGAGAAGAGAAGGGCCTGGCCTAGGGGACGTCGAGCGGAAACCACGTAGAGGGGCGCCAGAGGATATCGAATATTGTTCGAGGAACAATATGCCAAATGTCAACAATCAAGTACATATTCTTTCAAATATACGATTCATGTCTACATCGTCCTTATTTCCATGCCGCTAGCAGTGGAAAGTCCGGGCCTCGGCCGCCAAGTTCTCCCTCTCGAGCGAAAAACTACGCTCACTTCTTCAACGATATATCACTCCATCGTTGCCAATGCATGCCTGATCTTTGTCCGCGTGATCAATTGCACAGTCTCAGTGTCAGCCGTCAAGATGCAGCAATTCTCGATGGACGATAGTAGCAGGCTAACGTTACTGGCTGCTCGCGGATTTCTTCCCCGCGCTCTGATGCCGAAACCACTTGCCTCGAGTCTCTACCGTGAGCTCCGCACCATCGTCAATCGACAGCGGCCGTGATGCTACAATTGATAAGCGTGACCACTCCTTTACCTGGAACGATACCACATCCTCGACCTTGACCAGCATGTTCACAGACCACCACCATGGCTGAGCTCACACTTCAGATCGCCATAATTGGAGCTGGCCTCGGTGGCCTAGCAGCAGCCATCGGAGTTGCTCGTGCAGGACACAAAGTCACGATTCTCGAGCAGGCGTCATTACTTGGAGAGGTAAGCTCCTATTTGCTAGATTTATACACCTGAACGATGCTGATTTCTTGTTGCAGATCGGTGCAGGCATTCAAATACCTCCAAATTCTTCCCGAATACTCAAACATTACGGCCTGCTTGACAAGATCGAGTCTGTCTCGGTCCGACCTAGAGACTTCATAATACGCTCCTATCGAGATGGCACGATTCTCAGCAAGCAAAACATGGTACCCTACGCGGAAAAGCGTTACGGTGTCCCTTACCTACACATTCACCGTGCAGACTACCACCGCATTCTGGTAGCTGAAGCCGAACGGTTAGGAGTGAAGCTGCAACTGGGTTCCACGGTCACAAAAATAGATTTCGATACGGCCTCCATTCTAATAAGAGACAAGCCCGACTTTCATGCGGATCTCATCCTCGGTGCTGACGGGTTGAAATCTATCTGCCGTGAATCACTTCTTGGGCACGTCGACCCACCACACCTGACTGGTGACCTGGCGTATCGAATCCTCATTAAGGCTGAAGACATGAAGAAGCATGCTGATCTGCGCGAGCTGGCCGGAGAGCCGGCAATCAATTACTGGATGGGACCCTATGGCCACGTCGTCTGCTACCTTCTGCAAGGCGGTGGGTTGTACAATATCGTACTCATTTGTCCTGACAACTTGCCTGAGATGATAAATACTATCAAAGCGGACCTACAAGAAATGCGAGAATTCTTCGCTGGGTGGGACCCAAAGTTGAAAACACTATTGGGCCTTGTGCAGGAAACGACGAAATGGAGGCTGTTGAACAGCGAAGAGATGGAGAGCTGGAGTCATCCTAGTGGGAAATTTGCCCTGCTAGGGGACGCTTGTCATGCTACTTTGCCCTACCTGTAAGTCTTCCCCATATTTCGCCTCTGTCGTTTGCAAATTTGACAAGGAACTCGCAGTGCTCAAGGCGCGGCCCAGGCTGTTGAAGATGGAGCCGTCCTCGGTGCTCTTTTTGAGCGGATAGAGCAAAAGTCACAGATATCAGATGTTCTCACTATCTATGAGCGTCTCCGCAAGGAACGCACGACACGCGTCGTCAAGGGAAGCACAGCTTTGAGGGACATCTTCCATATGCAGGATGGTGAACGCCAACGGGAGCGCGATCGCCAATTGACCCAGCAGGAGCCGTTCGAAGGATACCCAAATCGCTGGGCCGATCCTACATTCCAGGAATACCTATTTGGATACGATGCTTTTGCGGAAGTGGACATGGCGTGGAAAAGGTACAAATCGGGAACGTTCCCAGGTACTGCAGGCCATTTCAAATCGAACCTTTGAGGACGGGAATGTGAGACCGGATTTAAGATTTACCATGGGGACTCCCTTTATGACATGCAGGACCTCGTGTAGTAATTCAATTTCCACATAGCTTTGAATCAATGCAGTAACAAATTAGAGCACCTCTATCCTGATCACTATGTATCTAATTGTCTCTGATCATTGGGTTCCCAAAATCAGCAGGGACCATAGTCATGTAGGTTCTGATAGCCGTCGGTCTCAACTCGGCTCGCTCGGCTGTTTGGATAACGGTTCAAAAAAGCAAATTACAACATACGTCAACCCATCATGGATTCGGCGACAAAAGACTAATCTTCAGATGTTCTGCGTAACTACACTCTCATTGTTTTTGGCAGAATTACATCCCATGTCCAAATGCTCTTGATGGGCATGCAATCAGAATGAAGGGTTCGACAACACTGCCAACATAGATCCTAATCCTGGCCCCGGACACTCTTTCGTCCTTAGTCTCTACACAATGGCGACCCGAAGCCGTTTCTTCCGGCCCCTCCTCTACACCGCTGCGGTAGCTGCAGCCGGAGGGGGCGTACTCTACATCTCGTACAGACCGCGAAACATACCCGGCTCAGAGCCAGCACTTGTACCTCCGCCCAAGTATGGCGAAGAAGGGCACCTGGATCCTCCGAGGTTTCCCTTGGTCAAAAATCGAGAAGAGCAAATCGCGGATCTGAAGAGGAGCGCCGGCGTGATAAGCGCATTGGAAAAGGCAAAGGGCGTTCTGGGCAGCTTAACAGGACCTGGCGTTGTGGATCAGAGAATTCCCGAAGCAGAGCCATATGATCTGCTGGTCATTGGTGGTGGGGCTACAGGCTCAGGAATTGCACTCGATGCGGCTACACGTGGGTTGAAGGTTGCGATGGTGGAGAGGGACGACTTTTCTAGTGGCACAAGTAGCAAGAGTACGAAATTGGTGCATGGGGGAGTGAGATACTTGGAAAAGGCTGTGTGGGAGCTTGACTACAACCAGTATGCATACGACAACGTACTTGGACACCGCTGAATTGATTCAGGTACAAGCTCGTTAAGGAGGCCCTACGGGAGCGGAAGTACTTTCTGGATACCGCACCTCATCTTTCGAGTTGGTTGCCCATCATGATCCCCATACAAAAGTGGTGGCAAGCGCCATACTTCTGGGCTGGTACTAAATTCTACGACTTCCTTGCTGGGTCCGAAGGCATCGAGAGCTCTTATTTCTTAACAAAGAGTAGGGCAATGGATGCTTTCCCAATGTTACGGAAAGACAACCTCTTTGGGGCTCTGGTCTACTACGGTATAGGAACCCTTCCCTGGATTTTGTATGGATCAATACTGACGTTCACCAGATGGTGCTCATAACGATTCGCGAATGAATGTATCGTTAGCAATGACAGCAGCGCTTTACGGTACTACTGTGGTGAATCATCTTGAGATTACTGGCCTGGAGAAAGACGCAGCTGGCAAGCTCATTGGAGCTCGGGCCAAGGATTTGGTGCAAGAGCGAGACGGAAAGAGCCCACAAGAGTTCAGCATTAGAGCCAAGGGTGTCATCAACGCCACCGGCCCCTTCACCGACGCAATACGTAAGATGGACGACCAAAGTGTCAAGGAAATTGTTGCGCCTAGCTCTGGAGTCCACGTCATTCTACCTGGGTTTTACAGTCCTTCGAAGATGGGTCTGATTGATCCCTCAACCTCGGACGGCAGAGTCATTTTTTTTCTCCCATGGCAGGGCAACACTATTGCTGGAACTACAGACGCACCTACAAACATTACTCAAAATCCAATCGCTGGTGAAGAAGAGATCAACTGGATCCTCTCGGAGATTCGCGGCTACCTAGCTCCTGACATCAACGTGCGAAGAGGTGATGTACTTGCGGCGTGGTCCGGTATCAGACCTCTCGTCAAGGATCCCAAATCCAAAAACACCGAGTCGCTTGTTCGGAACCACCTGATTACCGTATCTGACTCCGGCTTATTGACCTGTGCAGGCGGCAAATGGACGACCTACAGGCAAATGGCTGAAGAAACCGTGGATGAGGCCCTCAAACTCTACGATATTAAAGCCAGTTCTGTGCTTGAAGTGCCACACATCAGCGGCACCGAACGCATGGATGACAGCGCGCCGCTAGATGGTACTTGCCAAACCCATCAAGTCCGTTTGATCGGTGCGCATGGCTTCTCGAAAACGCTTTTTATCAATCTCATCCAGCATTTTGGCATCGAAAGTATTGTTGCTAAACATCTGTGCGAGTCATATGGAGACCGCGCGTGGACCGTGGCTGCCTTGTCATCACCCACAGAGCAAAGATACCCGGTGCGGGGCGTTAAGATCTCCGCGCTCTACCCCTTCATCGACGGCGAGGTTCGCTATGCAGTACGCCACGAGTACGCCCAGACAGCAGTGGATGTCCTTGCGAGACGGACGCGGCTGGCTTTCCTCAATGCCCAGGCAGCCCTTGAAGCATTACCTACAGTCATCGATCTCATGGCGGACGAACTGAAGTGGGACCGGAAGCGAAAGGATAGGGAATGGAAAGATACAGTGCAGTTCCTGGCGTCGATGGGCTTGGCAAAGAGCAAGCTCAGCGTGACGAGGAAGGATGTGGAGAGTGGTAAAGCTGGAGAGTATGATGAGCATGAAAGGAAGCTCTACTCAAGGCATGGTATGTTCACGATCGGATAGTATCTTGATGGATTGCTACTGACGAAATGCTGCAGATGCTCCAGCGGATACGATGGAGAGTGATTCCAAGTTCAGCTCTGGCGAGAAGCCCGTTCTGAAGACAGACTCGTCCGTCAACAAATAGTGATCATGCTGGAGTGTATAGTATATCGACGAGACCAGGGTTCGTTTCTGGATAGCAATAGATTGGGTCAATGAGACAATTTTCTTTAGCACAACCCAATCAGTGATACTGAGATACGGTCGATTTCATCACGGCCTCAGCAATGCTCGTTTTTGATCAGCGATGCTTCCACTCGCTTTCTTCAGCCAATGCAATCCCCAGTTTCTACGAAACCCAAGTCCAACATGCTGAGGCTCCACCTCTGACAGTCTAATGTGCCGCATCCCCGCCGCCAAGCCTCTCCCGCTTTCCTATGACGTCATTACCCCGTCGTTCGGGTGGAATTACTCGAGCCTCATATCTGCTCACGTTCATTGTTTGTTGGACAGTTGGACTTGATACTTTCCTCCTCTGTCTTATCAGTCACTACTGTGATGTTAGTGGATCCAGTCATCGTATCTCTGCACGCAAGGCATACATCAGATTGGATCATTCATATTCTATCGCAAAAGATGTGGATGCCTTGTCAAAATATGAGGCCGATATTCCATTTCTCCTTTTCGAAATCGAACACTGCGTCTGATAAACGCCGAGGCCCCGGCAACATAGGGCGAAATTTGTTGCCTCTCGACGTTTATCGGATAATTGGCTCATGCGAGAATGCCATTTAATAATGCCAATTGACGCAATCATATGTGGAGAATGATGGCATTTTCCCTGGCAAGCTTAAAAAAAAGGAAGCAGCCGGATCTGCATATCTACCACGTACCTTACATTATCTTCATGTACGGTAATAATACACACGCGACAATACCAACATTCACCAACATCCTTTAACCTTCAAGCATAGTTACATATCTTATCAGCATCCCAGCTCTTGCTTTCCCCAATCGCCCGCGTCGCTGTCTGCCTTCCGCCACCTCCCAACGCCCAAGGGTTGGAGCTCACTTAATAAGTACCTGTCAAGCCCGAATTCTTGGTTTGAGCTCCTCCCACCTCCCAGCATCCTCAAGCTGTTCAACCGCGCTTTAACTATGGCTACCAACGATTATAAGCACGGCTACGGCGATGATGGCTTCGTCAACGGCAACAGCTCAAGCCAAGACTACGACGAGAAGGCCCGCAGTGATCTTGAAGTCGTTCCTTCGAAGAGCAAGGGCTCTATGGGGAAGGACGATCCCTTTGGAGATGAGACGAATTCAGAAGTCAAATATAGGACTATGGCTTGGTGGTCAGTAGCGTCTTCCGAATTTCAGGCCTACCTTACGACTCGGCTAATAGCATGTTCACAGGCAAGCGGGAATGAGTATGCAACCCAGGCTCGAGACCATTAGAAACCGCATCTTACTGATGGTCTGCAGTCATGATCGCCGAGACCATCTCCCTCGGGATCCTCTCGCTCCCCTCCGTTCTTGCCTCCCTCGGTATCGTACCGTACGTTCAGTTCCTCAAAGGCCCGCCAAGCCCATGACTGACGATGCTTCCAGCGCCGTCATCTTAATCATAGGTCTCGGCATCATCGCAACGTACACCGGCTACGTAATTGGCCAGTTCAAACTCGCCTATCCCCACGTCCACAACATGGCCGACGCAGGCGAAGTCATGGCTGGTCGGATTGGTCGAGAGATCTTCGGCGGCGCCCAAATCCTCTTCCTGGTCTTTGTCATGGGCAGCCATATCCTCACATTCTCCATCATGATGAACACAGTGACTTCTCACGGAACCTGCACGATTGTGTTTGGCATTGTGGGCATGATGGTGTGTATCGTCTTCTCGCTACCGAGGACGTTGAAGAAGGTTAGCTATATGGCTATTGCAAGTTTCATCTCTATCTTATCGGCCGTGATGATCACCATGATTGGTGTTGGTGTGGAAAGGCCGGGCAGTGGGAAGGTGGATGTGACGGTTCAGTCAGACCTCTCTAAGGGCTTTGAAGCAGTTACCAACATCATCTTCGCCTATGCAGGTAAAACCCTTCCTCCTCTCTTTTTATGTGTCTCCCCTACTAATACGGGACCTAGGCCACGTCGCATTCTTCTCCTTCATCTCCGAACTCCACACTCCAGAATCCTACCCAAAAGCCGTTTTCCTCCTCCAAGGCGTCGACGTCTCCATGTACCTAATCGTCGCAATCGTGACCTACCGCTATGCCGGCAGCGATGTCACATCCCCAGCTCTCGGCTCCACTTCCCCTCTCTTACGGAAAATAGCCTACGGAATCGCGATCCCTACCATTGTGTACGTTTTTTTGGACTTCAAATTCCCCTTTTCGTAATTGAATTTTGAGTCTTGAAGCATGTCTTGGGAGTGTCTACTCTCTAGACACGTTCCAAGGCTCTAAATACCCTCTTGAAACAGGCAGTACTGACTCCGGAATGAAATTTAGGATCGCCGGCGTGATCAACGGCCACGTCGCGTCAAAGTACGTATACGTTCGTCTGTTCAGAGGCACGGACCGGATGAGCAAGAAGAGCTGGAGCAGTTTTGGACTATGGGCAGTCATCGTGCTGGTGCTTTGGTTCATTGCGTGGATTATCGCCGAGGCCATTCCCGTGTTCAACGACTTATTGTCACTCATCAGCGCTCTGTTTGCGAGTTGGTTTACGTATGGGCTGAGCGGTGTATTTTGGTTATATTTGAATTACGGGCAGTACCGGAGCTCGAAGCGGAAGATGTTTTTGACCGGGGTGAACGTCGGGTGTTTCTGTCTCGGGGCCATCATTGTGAGTTTCACCCTCTCATCCTCCTTGCTTACAGGGGGATTTCCCTGGCATTGAAACATGCTGACGGAGGCCTCAGTGTGGACTAGGACTATATTCGTCCGGGACGGCCATCAACAAAGACGCCACGAGCTCAAACGGGAGCTTTTCATGCGCGGATAACTCCAAGAGTTCGTCTTGAGGCTCGCTTGCGAAGTATGGATCGTCATCTTTGGACTAAATAGTCTTGCATGTATGTAACGTTGAATTCACGCGCAGCTTAGATGAGTGCGCCGAAAGTCAGCTCTTCCGCATCGAGCTCGCCCTGACTGATACCCTCTGGTATCCGATAAACGCCGGAGGCAACAGATTTCGCCCTATGTTGCGGGGTTGCGTTTATCGTATACATATAGCGTACGTACGTACATAAACAGAGCGCGCAAATGAAACGCTATCCAAAACACCACCACCCAATTGACCCCAAATTTCTCGAGACCGCTCCCTCCCCCCCAGCTCAACCCGCTCCCTCCAAAGCGCCTCCTTCCCATACCCCCAGCCGCACCCTCTCCCTCCAGCCCGAACCCACTCCACTCCACTCCACTTCACGTCCCCGGCACACCGAAACGACGATCGAACTCCGACGCCAGCACACGAGACGGACCGGGAAGTCGGGACGGGATACAGACGGGAAAGGAACCCGACGAAGTGCCGATAGATATCTCGTGGTTCGATCGGTCAACGCTTGCAAAAAGGAAAAAAGCCCGACGGCGCGGACGAGAACAAGCGACAACGGTCCTCTGCCACGGAGCGGTCTTCAAGCGACGGCGACGGGCGGGGTAGATGGAGGAGGGGGAGGGGGAGGGGGAGGGGGAGGGTAGTTTTGCTTCCCGAGAGGTGGGAACGGGGGAGGGGGTTGGGGGGGAGGGATTGAAGCCAGGCGATGCGTTCTACCTACATACCCACATACCCGCGTTCGTCTCTCGAGCGAGGATTTAAGAGTTCTTTTCCTTGCGGTTGATGGGTTCAATGATGCGGTTGGAAGCAGTCGCCGAATGCACATTGGGTGTTTGATGATTGATGGGGTGAACGCTATGACGGCGGTCGATTGCCAGCTAGCTACATTGGTGCGCTCACTGTCTGAAGACCCAGCCCGTCGTCATCATCATCATTTTGCGCCCTCCGTTCATTCACACAGTCCTATTCCCTCCTTCTGCAGGCAGCAGAGGTCACCTGCTCTTTCTGCCTCGGCCGTGATACTTGCCACTGCCGCCACCGGCTCAGAAGCCCGTCGGGCTATACAGCTGACTGGCCAAAAGGGAAAAAAAGGGCAGATCGATAGGCGATACAGGCGCATGACTTTAACAAACAGCGAGTCCCAAGTCTCGGGGCGGTGGTCGATCCAATTGTGGGGAGAGGATGCCATGCAAGGGGTAGCCATTGTGACTGGAAGATAATCGGATTAGTGGAACGTGAGCCAGCCAAGAGCTGATGGCGATGGGAAGTACGCTTATGTTGATATGATTGCGGTCCCGAGCGGTGTAACGACATATCTGATGCCTAAGCCAGTCAAGATGCAAAAGTCGAGGTTCCTCGCGTATTACCCCATGGCTCAAGCTCAAAGTCGACCGTATCAGGGTCCTTTGGTGGATAACCTCTGACAGCGAGAGCGATTACACCGTAAAGAACTGTCAAGGTTAGCCCCTCTAATAAATTTCGTTTTCAACGAAGATAATCTCCAAGTCAGGAATTGACCGCTTCACAACAGTTTGATTTACCGCCCGCCGTTGAATATCTCAGGCTTATGATGGCGAAAAAAATGCATGCGACTCCGAATCGATCGAATGAAAGTGTCATTTTTTGGATCTCCGAGCATCCAATCTCTGAGAAATGTGCAAGGTAACACTAACAGCAGGAGTAGCTGGGCGCTGCTGCTGATGCTGATCGCAAAGCTCCGCAGCATCTGATCACGGCAAGCTAGCGTTATAGCATAAGGGTTATAGCCTCCCTATTTATTAGCAAAAGGACAAAACCAAGGAATACCCTCGAGAGACCAAAGCTCGACTGACTAAGATTGTCGACACTGTTGCAAACAGGGGTTGTACTGAAGCCTACGAGCATCGTATCAACAGCCACCATCAACACCAGCGCAACGCGGGAAACAGATGCAAGCGGCGCCTTTTCGCCGGTGTGAGCGACAGTGCCGCTGACAGAGGCTGCCAGACGAAGGCCGAGTCGAGCGACACCGCTTTCTCTGTCGACTCTGCGGTTCCCGATCCTCCATTTTCGCGCTTGTTGGTTAGGTCTGAGGATATGTCGCTTTCGTTCATGCCAACAGCAGGGGGGAGCAAGGCTTGTAGGGGTTGAAGAAAGGGTCAAGCATGTCAATGTTTCCCCTACTTACGGTCGTTGAGATCAAGAGATCTAAGCGACATACATTAGCTGCTGGCGGGCCGAAGTGGATCGTCGGATGCTGCACCCCCAAGATCTATCCGGGATTGCGTCACACTGCTTGCATAATCCCCTGCATTATACTCATATTCCTTCCGCAACGACGTCGGTCCATCTCCAATTTATCTTCAGTCTTGCCTATAATTGATCACAGAACAGCTTCCTAGCCCACATCTATATAACAATGGCACCATCGCTTCCTACAAGACAGCTTGGCAAGAATGGTAAGGTCCCTCTCCGAGCGATTTTCCTCCAATTTGTACCCTCTTCGGAGTCTTTAAACATGATGTGGGAGTAATACGTCAGCTGTTCTGGTTTAAAGCTCCTCCGACATGTGCTGTAGCTTGAATCTCATCTTGATTTTGTGATGCTGACTCCGAAATTATAAAGGTCCTCAAGTCACCGCACTCGGCTTCGGCGCCATGGGTCTGTCTGCCTTTTACGGCAAGCCTGAGTCCGATGAGGACCGCTTCAAGATCCTTGACAAAGCGTACGACATGGGCGAGACATTTTGGGACTCAGCGGACGTTTATATGGACAATGAGGACTTGATTGGCAAGTGGTTCAAACGGACCGGTAAGAGGGACGATATCTTTTTGGCCACCAAGTTCGCCAACACCATGAAGGATGGGAGCATGACGGTCAGAAGTGACCCTGAGTATGTGAAAGAGGCGTGCGAGAAGAGTCTGAAGCGCTTGGGCATCCCCACCATTGATCTTTACTACTGCCATCGCTTGGACCGAAAGACACCGGTGGAGAAGACTGTCGAGGCCATGGCTCAATTGAAGAAGTATGATTGTTGAAGTCCATTGTTTGGACCGACTCGTCGCAACACTCCAAGCGCACATGCTAACAAGTCTGCAGAGAGGGCAAGATCAAGTATCTTGGCTTGTCTGAAGTCTCGTCTGCCTCGCTCCGCCGTGCCCACGCCGTCCACCCCATCTCCGCAGTACAAATCGAGTACTCCCCCTTCACCACCGATATCGAGTCCCCAGACATCGCTCTTCTAAAAACCTGCCGCGAACTTGGTGTCGCCACTGTCGCCTACTCTCCTCTAGGCCGCGGTATGTTGACCGGCGCCTACAAATCACCAGCAGACTTTGAGGAGGGCGACTTCCGGAGTCGCTCGCCCCGCTTCTCGGAAGAAAACTTCCCCAAAAACTTGAAGTTGGTGGAAGAAATCAAACAGATTGCACAGAAGAAGGGTTGCACGCCGGGGCAGCTCACTTTAGCGTGGCTGTTAGCACAAGGCGAGGATGTGATTCCCATTCCCGGGACCAAAAAAATCAAATACTTGGAGGAGAATCTAGCAGCTCTCGAAGTCAAGCTTACGTCGTCTGAGAATGCGGATATCAGGAAAGCAGTCGAAAATGCTGAAGTACACGGACAGAGGTATCCCGAGCAGATGATGGTGACCCTGTTCGCTGACACCCCTGAGCTAAAGTAGATCCATCTGCTGAATGATCTGGCTACTGCTTTAATCATAGTGGGTCACTGTGTTTGGTGTAATTAGCATGAATATAAATAAAAAATTCGCACATAATTTGTAAACCGGGTGAGGTCCCGAACTTACCATCCGTTGCCCTTATAGTTGCAAGAAATTGAAAGAGCTTGCTAAAGCTAATGCTGCAAAAGAAGGTAGATTTGATTAAAGATGTCCAACGTCCATATTGCTACAGCATCTGCCAGACATATCGGGTTTGCGGCGCACAACGGGGCTGTTCCCCATCCAGCGGCACGTTGCAACGTGCCGGGATCCCAAGTCCGTCTTCCTCATTTAGGACAAATAATGGCAGGATTTCCTTGCTAGATGGTAGCACTAAGTCTGTTTGCTATGCACGTATCGTAATTCAATGACTGTTGTCCCGTAACACTCTGACTCGCAGTTATTTTGAAGAACAGGTGAAAACTGCGCGGACTATCAAAGTAGCAATCCCTTGCAATCTGACAAGCCAGGTGCATCTTCCTTTCCTATGGTCTTGTGCACCGTATTGCAGTGGCCGTTCCCCCATTCAAGCACTCAATCTCCAGGCCGCTGGTTGTCAGTATGAGCTCAGAGGAGCGCAGCGTACAGGAAGCAGCAGTGTTACACTACATGGGATCAATGCCGAAGGATCTCGGGCTGAAAAATGGCAGAAGTGAGCACGGGGGAAGGGAAGACTGCCATTGGCGAGAGCTATGAGCTGAGCTTTTTTTGAAAGTTGAGAGGCATCAGATATCTTGCCGCCCAATGGCCGCGATACCTTCAAGTCGACGCTAGAACCGGAACCGTAGGTTCTTGAGATACCAAGAAGCCATGCTTGAGACGACAGTCTCTTCCTAAGGGTGGGTTTCGATGGAACTGGCGAAATCCTGACGACGAGAGTTCTGAGTAGCTAGACTAAGACTAGCGTTAGGGCAAACCGCGCAGCCTCGGCATCTTCCCCAGATTACTCCTCGTAATCTTAGACACAATGCGTGCCCCAGTCATGATCAACGACGAGCATCATGGGTAAGAAACCAGTCTCGGCAGCCTACGTCTTAGGCGTAGGTCTCACCAAGTTCATCAAACCTCGAGGCAAAGGTAGGCTTATCTCCCTCAGCGTCCTTCAGCCTCTCTGAGTCTCTCTGCAGTCGACTACACCGAACTCGGCTTCGAAGCTGGCATCAAAGCCCTTCTCGACGCCCAAATCAACTATGACGATGTTGAACAAGGTGTTGCCTGCTACTGCTACGGCGATTCGACCTGCGGCCAACGCGTCTTCTACCAATTCGGCATGACCCAAATTCCCATCTACAATGTCAACAATAACTGCTCGACCGGCTCGACAGGCCTGCATATGGCGAGGAACATGGTCAGTCATGGAATGGCGGATTGCGTGATGGTCGTGGGCTTTGAGAAGATGTTTCCGGGGAGTCTGCAGTCTTTCTACAAGGACAGAGAGGATCCGTGTAGGACGACGGGGGAGATGATGAGGGTGACGAGGGGGAGGACGGACGCACCGGGGGCGGCGCAGATGTTTGGCAATGCGGGAAGGGAGTACATGGAGAAGTACACCTCGTCTCATTTCTCGATACCCGAGGACTCGTCCCAGCTGACAGCTGCCTTTCTCCAGATACGGCGCCAACGCAAGCGACTTTGCCGAAATTGCCCGCATAAACCATCTCCACTCAGCCAAGAACCCCTACTCCCAATTTCGTGACGTCTACACCCTCGATCAGATACTTTCTTCACCCACCATCCATTCGCCCCTCACAAAACTCCAATGCTGCCCCACCTCCGACGGCGGCGCCTCCGCTATAGTCGTCTCCGAAGACTTTCTCGCCGCTCGTCCCCATCTCCGTTCTCAAGCCATACAAATAGCAGGCCAACACCTCGCCACCGACAGACCTGATCTGTTCGACCACTCCGCTATCAATCTGATGGGTTTCGGAATGACACAGCATGCCGCACGCACTGCCCTGGCTGAAGCGGAGGTTGATCCGAAAGACGTAAGGGTGTGCGAGTTGCACGATTGTTTCTCAGCGAATGAGATGATCACGCTCGACGCTCTTGGTCTTTGCGACCCAGGCAAAGCACATGAGATGGTGCGAGCGGGAGACATAACATACGGAGGTCGCTGCGTGGTCAATCCCTCTGGGGGCCTCATATCAAAGGGCCACCCTCTCGGAGCAAGCGGCATCGCGCAGTGCGCGGAGCTCGTCTGGCAGCTGCGCGGCTGGGCCAACAACCGGCTAGTCGAGAACACCAAGGTCGCGCTGCAGCACAATCTCGGTCTTGGAGGCGCCGCGGTAGTGACGGTTTACAAGAGGGCGGACGGGAAGACGAATGAGGTCGTGCAAGATCGAGATGTCAAAAGCAAGACGTGGGTTGGGTACAACCCCGCGGTTGAGGCCAAGGGGTTCACGAAGGCGCAGGTGGATAAAGTGAGGAGTAAGAAATCGAGGAGCGAATGGGCGTTGCAGGATACGGAGAAGAAGGTCCAGGCGAGATTTTGAGATTTTGAGATAATGAGACGACGAAGTCTGAGCGGCCAGAGGGGAAGAATCGGGGTCGTATTGAATGTTGTTCGGATATGAGACCATGGTATCACGAAATTATGAAGAGTCAGGATACACATCCGAGCAAGCAAAACCAGGGCCAAAAGCCCCGTAATACTGTGAATCTTCAATCAAGCACCCGTTCAGGAGAGCAAGAGTGATGGCTCAAGCCCACCAAACCGTACCGTCCCGGGCTGCATCGAACCTCTAGAGACAACCGTCGCAGCGGCATGAATCCACTAGAACGAGTCACCCGACCCCTCTCAACCACATAAACAGCACTCAAGTATCCATTCCGCTCGTAAAACCATCCCCTCCCCTCCCCTCCCCTCCCAACCAAACCAACCCAAACCAAAACCCCAACGCCCATTTCCCCAACCCCAACGCCCTTCCTTTCCCCCGTTTAAACACCCATCCCCTCCCCGTCCGCCTCGGCCCCCCGGACCGTCTTGCCCGTCTTCTTGATCTTCTCGAGCACGGCGGCAAAGGGGACGGCGTCGGTGTAGACGTCCGCGGTCTGGGCCTCGAGGTTGACGGCGTAGGAGGCGAGGCCTGTGGGGCTTCGTCAGCGGGAGGGTGGCGGGCGGGAGGTTGTGGGGGTGGGGGTGGGGGTGGGGGTGGGAAGGACGTGACGTGAACGGACGGACGGACGAACGAACGAACGGCGAGGAAGGAAGGGGGCCAAAGCAGGGAACATAGAATACGCGAGGGCGACGAGGGAGGCAGGGGAGGGGAGGGAAGGAATGGAAAAAGAGCCCTACCCTCCGTCTTCTTGAGGACGCGCTCGACGGCGCCGGAGCAGCCGCCGCAGGTCATGGTGATGTCGAAGTGGTAGTGGTGGGCGGGCTCGGTGGATGCCATGGCTGGTTCGTTCGTTCGTTTGTAGAAAAAGAGGTGGTGGGCACGAGTGCACGGTGGAGGTGGGATTCGGATGTTGGGGGATTGTGTGTGGTGTCGAAGCTGGCGGGTTGTGTGCGTGTGGGGGAGGGGTTTTCGGGTGGCGTGGGAGGTTTGACTTGGTCGCAGGGTTTGTGGGTTTGTGGGGTTGTGCTGGAGGAGGGATATGATGTGATTTGATGTGATGTGATCTGGGTTGGTTTTTGCAGATGTTGACAAGTGTAAAGTAAAGTAAGTAGAGGGAGGTTACAGCCAGCCGCGGTTACGGTGTCATTGGGAAGGAAAGGGTTTATACTAAGAATAGGTCTATGGCGTGCTTTGTTCCTACGCCTATTCCAGCAGCAAAATTTCTGTTCCTCCATCTCTTGGCAAGACAATCCGCGAGGAATCGTACGGTCTGGCAAGAGAAGCCAATGAACACTTTCCGCTCCACCAGCCCCCCATCTGATTCGGACAACTACTCTAGAGAATGATTGATGGAATGGGGACTCGAAAGGGGAGCGATGTGCCCCCCCCCCGCCCTTCTCTGAATTCTTCGAAAGTCCCTTTACCAGCGACGACGACCCATTTGCAATTTATTGCCTCAAGTAAAGCGGAAGAAGTGAACTCCTGCGTATCTCCTTCACAAGAGTTGAAAGGGGCGAAAGAGGGACGTGATCGCTATTCTATTTTTGATACAGTCTAGGAACGTTTATCAGACCGGATTTGATTGAACTTGGGCGGAGCGAGCGTGCTCAGTCTGCTGCCCGATCCTCGTTGTACGATACGGGTGCACACGCTTCCCTGGCTCCGTACGATGTCTCTTATTCGGTGGAAGCACCGTTACTGGGCTACGGCAGAGCTATCTTATATGACGGCTATCATATACGACTCTTCAAACTCCCCTAGCGCCGGCGATTCAAGCGCTGTCCCTTGTCATCGTTAATCGTTTGATGCTCGACCTTCGTCGCGAGGTGAGCTGAAGACGGGTGGATTTATCATGGGTATGCCCTGGGACGCCTTTGCTTAGATACCATCCATCTCAGTAATCTACAACATATTTGTTAGTATCTCATTCCAAACAGATCCTCCCCCAATTGCCCTCCTCCACCAGTCCAAAAGCCTCCCCGTACATCAGCCCATCCACATAGGCCTCCCCAATCAACCGGCTACAACCCTTCCCTTCTCCTGACCGGATAACAAACGGCGTCCACGCATTCCGGATCACACAGATCTGATCTCCTACCCTCACCCCCTCAGGCCCCAAACCAATCCTTCCATGTTCCGTGGAAAAGTAACGCCGCCCTATACAACCGAAACTCGCAGAGCGGAAGAAGACATTTACATCCACTGCCTGGGCGTCAGTGAACGGCTTACCCATCGAACGCGCAATCGCAGGCTGGCGCTCCATCGCGGCGGCGATAGCCAAGCCGACTTTCATGAGGACGTACACGTCGCGCTGGTTGCTGGTGCACTTTTTGCCGTTCAGGGTGTTGGCGATAAGAGCGCGCCAATGCGCTTCTGGAACGTCTCTGCTTGAAGGCGAACAGTATACTCTTTGAGAGAGTTTCAAGCAAGCGTCTTCCCAAACGAGTGTACGAGCTGCTCGGCCGTCGCTGAGGCGGATGTTGGCGGAGTTGTCCCATTGCCAGCCATTGGGGACGACTTGGACGATTCGATCGAGTGTTACACCGCTGACGCTAAGGAGGTTGTTTACTGTGGACGTTGTGGCGTGAAAGAGGTTATTGAAGGCGTGAAGGATGCTAGAGGTAGAGGTTAGAAAGGAAGGGTTCAGGCCTGCGTGGTGAATCGGACCACCCTCGCCGTTTAGAGGTTTGTATCGGGAGGTAGTCCGCGGACCCGCGAAGTCGGACCACAAGGGTGGGAGACTTGCGCACGGCTGGTTGGGAGACAGCAAAGGGAAGAATTTGACACCGGCATTATTTGGCATATCATGCTTTGCTGCTTCGGTGCCGAGCATGGTTGCGGCCCGAGGGCCTGAGAAGTTAGGACACCAGGATGGGAGACCTTCAAGAGGCTGGTTGGAAGACGCACAACGTAAAATACTGAGAGTGGGGTCATTTGCGATGTCAAACTTTGCTGCTTCGATGTAAACCTCAACGGCCGGTTTAGTCACATCAACTCTGAGGATTTCTCCGAGAGCATCGGAAGCCAGGCCAAGGAGGCCGTAGACTTTATCGGCGTCTCGGGTGACGGAAAAATCACGGCTTGCTTCTAGGAGGCTCATGAAGCTGATGCCTCGACCATTAGCTCACCACTCTTTAGAGAGCGATATTCTTTGCACCATAGCCAGGCCTGTGAGAACGGCGAAGAAGTCTGAATCGGTATCTCTTGTCAAGTCCACCACTGACGCAGATGCCATGCTCGCCGTAAAGTCAACTAACTCATCCATATTCATAATCCTGTTCCCGCACATGACCACAACGCTCTCAGCGAGGACTGCTTCTTGGAAAACCCACAACCTAGTGAACCAGGATCGAGAGAGGAGGTCCCGAGTTCCATGCCAAATCTCATCAGAGCGTTTTGGTAAACCATGCGACATCATCCTGTCGTCATTTAGGCCCAAACGGCCATCGAAACCACGGAGCCTCGGTATGAGTTCAGGTATCGCTTCAAGTGCCCGATCAACACGGGCGTCACTCTCGCCAAGCCAGACGATAACCTTGATGGCTTTTGTGTAGATGATTTGCATCAATGGAATTTGAGTGTTTTGGTCTATAGGACTATCTTGATCGATGCAGATGGCGTCGATCCAGATATAGTTGGATTTGTATTCGAGATGAAGGTATGGTAAGAGCTTTTGAACGTTCGAGGTGACTGCTAGCAAAGTGTCATCGCAAAGAATGACTTGATCTCGTGATTGGCCATCCCAGCTGTATGATAAAGCATAGAAATTGGGGATGTTGTCTTTCGAGAAAGTCGACAAACAATAGCGTAATTGGTCTTCATCCCTCAGAACGCGCAGCAGACGGATGGTATTCGAAGCAGAAGGAGAGTAGACAAAGCGGCTGTAGCTCCGCATTGGCGTTACGATCTTTGAAAGCACCAAAAATATCAATAATAATCTTTAGGGTTGAGAACGTCGCAAGGTGGTATACGCTAGAAGCTAGGCAGTAGTATCCACAAGTCTGTACCTGATGAATAAGGGGGGTTGCAACGTAAGGCAATTCAAGTACCATTTCCGACAACCGGAGGCAGAAGGACGTGACCAATGGCCGGTAGGAAGGGCGGGTTTCCGGAGCATCACTCCTTGTCACTGCTTAGGAAATTGGCAAGCGCGGAGAACATCTCTGGAGAATCGAGAGCTCTATCGCGGTATGGTCATGTAAGCAACTTTCGAGGTAGGTTTGAATTGGAGAATGAGCTCGACTTGTCAGCCATACTTCTGTATCTGGTGGCTTCTAGTGAGCGAGTGTCTCAAGGGCGCTTGGCCAATGCACAGAGAATGTTGTGTGCTCGGTGAATGGATTGTAATGACCACGTTGAGGAAGCCACCAAAGTCCCAGAGGAGGTCAATTTTTTTATATCGAAGCTGTTCGTACGTTCGACGATGTTTGTTGGTGCCTGGGGCCTGGTGTGAGAGAGCACGAGGCAGTGAAGTAAGGCATATTCGGTCCTATCCCGATGAGAAAGATAGACCCTGCCAAGCCGGCAACGGAGACAGACTGCCGGATCAGTGATGCGGGTATGCTTACGCGAGAGTAACGATGCGTTGACGACGACATACACCTGCGCTGTATATATCTTAAGACCGTTTCGTGAATTTGGACCTGACTATAAAAATGACATACCCCAGTTCACCTTGGTCTAACAGAAACTACTCTGCCCATTCCTAATAATCTCCCTCCAGCTCCAGGCTACTATGTAGAACTGCAGCCACCTTGTTCATCGCGCGATCCCAATTTCTCGAGAACTTCCTGGATAGGCTCGAGATCCAAGGTCACATCGCTCATTTCTCCTATGGCGCTACCAGCTTGCCCGGCCTCCAATTCCGAAAGGCAGGTATCTCCAAACCCAGAGCCAGGAGAACCAGGAATTGAAGAAATAGAGCCTGGCGTATGGGGTGACGTAGCCCCTGAACCGGCAATGGAGCCGACGCCGGCCTCACTCAAAGCCTCTTCCACCTGCTGTCTGGCTATCCTTTGCATTTGCCGGCGAGCCCAAGAAATGTAGACGTTCTGGACAATAGCCTCGCGACCTTGCGGGACCAATTCCCTTACATTTGAGACTACGTTCTCGGCTCCATCCAGGCGGCCGGCTTGGTCGCAGCGGGTTAGGATTCCACCAATGATGACAACGGATCCAATGACGATAGCTGTTTGAACGACGTTCTCATTTGTGACGTTGCCGTTGAAGACGAGATCGGCGACGGCTGCGACGCCACCGCCGACGGCGGCACCGCTTCCTGCGCTGATAAAGACGGCCGTCCAATAGCTGTGGGTGTTCATAAGGAGATGTCGGAGCTCGTCATGGACTATAGCTTCAGTCTGGCCTGTGCTTGAAGTATTTCGACAGATGAGGCCGCTATTTAAGAGAGGATTTGCTTCTTCTATGGCTAGCTGGGCGACCACCGCTGTGTGATTGGCATATCTTGGATTGGGATTTTGCCTCGAATGTCGCAACATATACAAGTCGGCAACCATGTCGCGAAGGTCGGTGTTGTTGGTCGTTGTGCCATTGGTGAATGTGTAAACGCCTATGTCAGTACCAAGTTTAAGGCCAGTACCGCATTCAGAAAAGTCCACGCTGATGTTGTAGGTAGTCGTCCCCGAGCCCGTATCATCGTCCCAACATGACTGGTGAAGGCCGTATGAATCAGTGTAGGGGCCCGTTGCATCGGCACTAGCATAAGCTCTCTTGTTCTTTGAACCGGCGGTAATTGTATTATTGGAGGAGTTCCCCATGTTTATAGGAAAAATCTGGTCCAAGAAACTACTCAGAGACTCACCCGCAGGCTGTGGTGGAAGCGTTAGAACGGCATCGGGAGACGATAATCCTGAGGCAGCGGCATACGGTGCGTCTAAAATATCGAGAGACGCTGATCCGGTGGCAAGAGCGTTGAAAATTGCGACGAGAGCAAGAAGGCACTTCATGCCGAGGTCACTCTCTTCTCATGGACCAAAGGGAAAATGGATCGATGGAAAATCCAAAGTATATGCGGCGATGGCGGTTTGTCTCAGATGGTCAATTACAGAGGTACCTACCTCTTATTTATGGCGTTTGTGGTTGCGCAGAACACACACTCAGCGCATATCCCACCCACATATTACTAATAAAAATCTTTGCCGTGATCTCTGGTGTAGCCCCAAGTACTATCATGACACGAGTACGTCCGAAGTTCGAAAATCATAGGAACGGTAGTAGCTATTCGAAGATTAGTATAAGCGGTTTCGTAATGAAGGGACATTTGAAACTTTGGGCAAACATACGATTGGCGGAGAATTTAGACGGCCAACTTGCTCATGGATATACGAGTAAACGCAGAAGCCTGGCTTATTACGGGTCACTCTTGCGGCTCCATCCCCAATGCGATTCCCCGTACAACCCCGTGCTAAGAGCAAAAGATGTGGGGTGACTTTGACGGCTAGAACATCAATAATCTTGATATGGTTTTTTTGACGCGGCTTTCCGAAAGGTTGAAGAAGCGAATTTCCCGCAGCGCTAGGAGATGCATCGTTAACGCGCATTCGGAATTGATGGTAAAGATTTTTATATTGAAATCTCAAAAGACTCGATTGAATGAGCTCGAATTTTTGCTTGGTAGTAAATATCCAGGAGCGGAGTCGGAAACCTTAGGAGATGGGATAAAGCTGAGAGCCGTGGGAACGCCTTTCCTATCTTCGCCTTCCACATTTGCAGCCCGTAATTGTGTTTCAGAACGCTGTTGATGGATCTTTGCGACGAAGCGACGACTTGATCGTATCGATCCAGCGTCAAACCCGATACTTTAGTGGTTGATGTCATGTCTGTGGAACAAGTCGGGCACTGAAGGTACCAAGGGTGATGTTTGAAAAGTTGGGCGTGATGAATAAACGGTAATACCATTCAATTGGGAGTGACTGACCCCGGACCGTCTCCCGCAGCAGTCCCAATGAACAAGCACTGAGAAATGGGGCGAGATGCTTTCTAGTCCGCTCTGCCGGAACCATCCATCGATGATTTGGCGTGCAAATCCTTTACTAAGGGTGAAACCCTGCAGGAAGAGTATGTCACTCGAGGGCAATTTTTCACATCAAAAAGCTCTCAGCTGGAACTGGAAGACACTGTTCGATCCTTTCCCACACTACCACCACTTCTTTCCATATCGCGGGTGGCAGCTCTGAATCCGAATCTGAATCTATCAATCATCTCTGATTATTCAGACTACCTTAGCCTGCTTACCTTAGTACGATCTTCAGCGTATCTAACGGAAGCTAAGGTAGGTACCGCACCAGTCAAAACGCAGCGCTTGTGCCTGGCATATAGTTCACCACCGCCACCACCGCCACCACCGCCGCCAACCAACTGCTCCATCACGCTACGAGTAGAAAACAAGGGCCGCGATGCAGGCAAGATCCCACACTGTGCCTAAAGTACTCCCGGAACATGGTGGCATCACGCCTCTGCGCATCCTTTTCGACACCATTATTATCGGCACCGACGACAATGGAAATGCTCATGCCAAGTATATCGGGTAGAATCTACTTTATGCACTACCTACCTAGAGCAGTGGATCATTCTCCTAACAATCTAGAGCTCACGGCCTCTCCCAACGCCCCTGTGACGAAAAAATTTTTAAAAATTCTCCCAACGCCCCTGTGCACGGCGCCTGGCCTAGACTTATTCGGAGAATTAAGGTAAGGTAGGTATATAATGCGGAGAATTAGCGTGGCTACCGGGCTCTACTTTAGTGGTTCCCCACATTGTTCTTAGTGTCATACGTTCCATGATCGGGCAGCGTTCCCCGGCTCGACCTCGACATCGGCTTCGGTTCGAGACTTTCCTCTAAATGCACCGCTTGCTCATGCTTACTTCTTTTGTCTGCTATCTGAACTGTGCACGGCCTCGTAGGAGGTTATGGCCCCTTTGACAACTAGTCAACCAACTGCGCACGGCCTCGTAGGACTTTTCATGGCCCCTTTGACTATATATTCAATCAACTCCTGCCCGGCATCTTCGCACCTCTGTACCCATCTTCTTCGCCCTCCCATATGAAAGGCTCCATCGAAGCTTTTCATCGTTGAAGGATAGCAACATGGCTTCTCCTCCTCCGGAACTCATCAAATTAGCTGCGCAATATGTCCTCACATGGCCCTCGTGCATTGTGCGTTTACCAGCAAGCACTCAGTGACGATAATTTCCCAGCTAACCTACTGACCTTAAAGCAACCGGATGCAATCAAGGGCATGATTGCCAGCGGGTGTCCTTCTGATCCAAAGTGTTTCTGCGAAGACAAGATATTTCGTCTCGAGCTGCTGGCTGGCATCACAACAAACTGCACTGCAGCTGATATGCTCAGTGAGTGCTTGTTTTTCCTAGCCGTGAACCTTGCCCGGTCCCCAGTATTTTTCCCGTGATCTAAGTGTGAGAGTGATTTCAATATGCTCATAAATCTTCAACAGCAACGCAAAGTCTCGCCAAGGAGCTCTGTCCCGTCCTAGACGAAAGCCGAGAGGCCACAGTCATTGCAGTTTTGGTCGTCATTACTCTGCTGGCACTCGTCTTGGTAGCTCTGCGCATTGTCTCCAGGAAGATCGGACATGTCAAGTTTTGGTGGGAGTACGTCTTTCCTGACTCGTTGTCCCCCTTCAGTAGCGAATCCCTAGTCCAAAGACATTTTGAGGAGTATATGGCCCTATCATGCTTCTCGGGGTATCTTTGGGGCGACTGAGCATTTTCTATCGGCAATGCTAACTTCAAACCAATGTGTAGTGATTATCTGATTTTCTTCGTCATGGTTCGTTTCCAAAAAAAATCTCAACGAGCCAATCCGACTAATTTCATTGCAGTTGGTCACCCTAGGTGAAACAGCGAACATCTTGAGCGGTGAGTTTCATGTTCCCGAGTTCCTTGAGTACCATTGGAACGGGTATGTGGGACCAGAAGACTCACGCTTGTTCGATGATCAGGAGTAGTTAACGGCATGGGGAAGCATATCGTGACACTTGGTGCTTCGCACATGACGGGGTTTCTCAAGGTCTGCTATCCAGACGCTTCCCCAAGTCTTGGGGAGAGGTTCTGAAGACTGATGTTCTCCAGAACTTCTGGATCACGCAAGTCCTCTTCGCTTTCTCAATGACGGGACTGAAGATGTCCATCCTCCTATTCTATCGCCGGCTCTTTACGGGACGCCCGATGGCTTTCACTCTGATTCTCGCCGGATGTTTCAACCTAGCCTGGTTTGTCGCTCAATTTGTCTCCGTCATGGTCTCCTGCCGACCTCTGGCCTACTTCTGGGACAAAGCTATCCCTCACGGTAGATGCATCGACGAGAACCTAGCGAGTTATTTAATCACGGGCGTCAGCCTGCTCATGGACGTCATCATCTTCTTGATACCAATCCCTCCACTTTGGGGCTTGAAAAAATCGTTGGCACAACGCCTAAGTCTCATCGGACTCTTTCTAGCCGGTGCTCTGTAAGTGACGCGCCCCATGCCCCCGCTGATGAACCGCAGCGCCCGGAACTAACGCCACTCTTCTCACAGCGTATGCGTAGCAGGAGCGGTCCGCATCCCTTTCCTTGTAGAGTTGGATCTCACCGACATCACGTGGTCCGTCGTCCCCGCCGGTCTCTGGATCCAAGTAGAGGTCAAAGTCGGCATAGTCTGCGCCTGCCTTCCTACCTTGCCGCCACTGTTCCGCCGCGTGCGTCAATACCTGCTTCTCCTCAGCAGCGGCAGTGGCAACAGCGAACGTTCGCCCTCCTCGGGTGACAAAAACGGCGGAAGTGTCGTCGTCGCGGTTGATGATGCCAGGAATGGCGACGCGAGTCCGGACCGGGAGGGCAGGGGCAGGAAGCAGCAGGGCTGGTATTCGCAAATGCTGAATAGCTTGAGCAACAAGAGTGCAGAGGGACGAACGGAGAGTCGAGAGGAGATTTTTGAGGTTCACGAGAGGAAGTTTTCTGATGACTCCGTTTGAGGGCGGGGCGATCCTATGACAGACGCTTGATGCTCAATTCCCATTCCACCCAGCTGTATCATGTTTACCCAGCGTTGAAGTTGATGACGGCTTGTTGTTTTTCTATGGAGTTTGTGTGCTACTTATAGTTGTTGCCAAGCACAATAGGGCTGAGATGCTGAATTCCAACACCCAGCTATGTAATCATGAGCAGAGTTGTCCTAGAGCTGATATAGGTAATTACTCCTGTCGTAAGACGGGGACACATCCCTTCTTGCTCGGCGCAAGTTTGAACTCCGTCATCCCGCACTGCGGTCACCGTCGAGGTCGAATTCTAGCTCTGATCATGGCACCTAAAGACGACAGAACTGCACCTACCTCCGTCAGGGTTGGCCCGAAGCTGACGAGCAGGAGTCCCGCAGCACCCTAACCCAGGGAAATCCAGCCACCACCTCTAGCTATATCTACCCGAATCCACCGTATTGACATCATTGCCATTCCAAGGTTGTAGACTTCCACTAGAAATCAAACAAAAAAAAGGGCGTCAACACATCAACCGCCCAAACGATCCCGACAAGTGTAGTGCCCCGACAAGGTCACAACCCCTCCGGAAAATCCCCTGCATCCTCCATGTATGTACACGTAACGCCGCTTTCCCACGCCCTCATCCGGACCCCGGCTCTCAAAAATAGGGCGACCCTACCGCTCGAAATGTCCCCATACTCCCGGGCTCAACCGACCCCTCCCCCAACCGGTCACCGCGTCGAGTTTGTCTCCGCACCTTTCCATCAAAAGAGCCAACTCCCACCTTCCACGCTGGTAAGTCAGATCGTCATATCACCAACCGAGGACGCACGGGCCAATTACCGTCACGCGCGGTCATTAGAGTAGGCCAAGAACTGTGCCATGAAAAGTCCACGCCACCATAGTGTCGTCAGCGAAAAAAAAAAGAAAAAAGAGTAAGACTTGCAGCAGCAGAGATACACCACGTAGCTTCCAAACATCTGTCGGACGATCAGGGTGTGGATGCCACACGGCTATGACCAGTTAAGCGATGCCACCGTAGTCCCTCCCACGTCGCGTTGCATAAGACGGGTATGCCCAAGACCATCGAAGCGGACGTCCTGGTGGGTGAGTCGGATACGTCGACGACTTCGGTACGGACATGGTTATTACCCAGCAGCAGCAGCGGCGGAGAAGAAGAAGAAGGGGGATCTTTCTGACCGGCGTAGGAGTGCCGGGTAGATGGCTTCCTTGAAGGGATTCGGGTGTTCAAAAAGGCTGCGCCGGTGGATGGAATGAGGCGGCGTGATTCAAAGGGGGGGGGGGGGGTCGTGGCAGTGGGGGACGGCTCTGACGCGTTCGGGTTCCGGTCCGTGGTTCTCGTTGCTTCGAGAGCCGTGTCGGAATAGGAGAGGTCTTGAGATTTCGTCATCGTGCTGGATTGATTTGGAGATGGCTGTTGTCCTGTTAGGTGGAGACGTTTGTTGAGAAGGTTGGCTGGGATGGTCGAGATGTTGGAGATGGAAATCATGGCAGGAGATTGACGGTCAGAGGAATAGCTGGGATGTTTGAGACGATGAGCTTTCGGGGATGGGGGAAGGATGTCGGATGTCGTAGAGAGTAATTGTGGATTGATGGGGAGTCACTTTGTCTGCGAAAAGTACCTTGATAATTCGAAGCGGGACGTAGTCGGACTGACAAAAATAATTATAAGCGACTTAAATCTACATCATAAGTGATCCTTTTGTGGAGAGAAGAAGAGTTTAGAACAATTGTAGCATGAGGAGTGCGAGTGTGATTGTAAGAGCGAGAATCGAAGAGCCAGAAAGTGAGAGGCGGCGTATCGCTCCTCAGCCCGATTTCTACTTCCCTATGCATCTATGAAGCATCCAACTGAGACTGGACGAGAGCGCGAATGGGAGTTGGGTTGGGCGAAAAGTGTCCCCACGTCCGCGGGGCCAGAATACTGTCAGCTTGTCTGGCACAGTATCAAGCCTGGCGTCTCTGTAAATCGTAAGACGAAGTCTCTCTCTCTGGCGTCATCTTGGGCCTAGACTCGCAACCGTTGCCGGTCGCTGTTCTCAAGCTGTTGCTGATGACCGAGCGTTATTGGTCGGATGGCTTCCCTAGACCGGGCCGTCTTCACACATCCAACGTCCATACTTTGACCGTCCCATCATCTCCAGTGGTGACAATCAACTCTTCTTGCTCGACGTTGCTTCCTCCATTCTTGTCTCTTCTTGGGGCCCATGCTACGTGGTTGACTTCGAACACTCCATGAGCACCTTCAATCTGCGCAATGACAACCCACTCCGTAGCATCCGGTGTCTCTTCCATCTCGGCTTGCTTCCCTTGTTGCCCGTCTGCTTCGGATGTCGATCCAGTGTCGTTTGTGACCTCTTCCATTGGCTCTGCCCCATCCAATTTGGACTCTCCGATTACTTCTGCCCCTCCCATTCCGCCCTCATGAGCCTCTGTAACCTTAGACTCTGCGTTCCCGCCGGCCTTCTTCCACCTCTCTTCGTAGATAACAACAGCCCCGTCTCCTCCGGTGCTCACCACCCTCCCACTCTTACTCCAGGCGATCGCGTAGATGGGCCTACTATGCGCTTTCGGCAGTTGCCCCTCCTCAACCCAATCCTCCTCCGATGTGCCGCTCCGTATGATACTCAGCCTGGACTGCTGCACCTTCTCCTTCGGTCGTCTCCTCCACACGCGTATTGACAGATCATCCGAACAACTCATCAACCTCGGCCCTGACGCTTCCCGCCTCTTCACCCACCTCTCTTTTGTATCCTTCTGCCCGTCCTCAACATTCCCCAAGACCCGAGGCACCACCCCCTCCCAACCCACACACCAAACCGTACTCCCATGGCCCCTCAACACCCCACAGCAGCCCCAATCATCCACATCCTCCCTCCACAACCGAACATCATCATCATAACTCGCACTCGCCAACAGCTCCTCCTCCGGATGCCACGCCACACACTTGACATCGCCCTCATGTTCCTGCATCACGGCGATAGTTTCGTAGTCATCGTCCCCAACTTCCTCCCAGATCCAAACGCTCTTATCTCTCGAGCACGTAGCCAGTAAATTACCCCCGGAAGACCACGCGACGGATTTGACTTCGGATTCGTGCCCGTCGAGGACGATGGCGAAACGCCACTCATCATCATCTTCTTCATCCTCTTCTGCATGCTCATCGCCCATCTGTCCACTGGCGATGGCCTTATCCCGAGCATCGAAGTCCAGGCCCGACAGAACATCCTTGGGCTTGGGGTTCATGTCATTATCGTAACGTCTCCATATCCCCACTGACGCGTCGAAGCTGCCCGTAGCCAGCACCGACTCGCCTTTGAGATTCGGCTTCCAAGCACATGTTCGTATGCTGCGTTTGTGGCCGCCCGTTATGGTTGAGAGGAGTGTGAAGGAGGTGAGAGAGTAGATGCGGACGGTCTTATCCGAGGAGCAGGTGGCAAGGAGGGGGAGGGTGGGGTGTGCGGCGGTGAGCCAGGCGCGGGAGGGGGAGGAGGGTTCGAGAGTTGCGAGGTGGGATACTTGAGGGAGGGAGGAGGCGGAGGGCATTGTAAGAGTGTATCAAAACTGTGATTGCTCGCTGGGGAAACGGAGGGAAAGATACATCAGCACGCTTTCCGGACCACTGACATGTCGTCACCGTGAACGGCAGTACATGGAAATTTCAAAGTAGGAGCCAATTTTTTGCTTTCTATTTGTACACTGGTATCACTATACGCCGTGTAACAACCCAACTTTCGGGCCTTGCAGACGTAATCTCACCGTGAGCGCAGCTATGCAACCCCTGTTCTACAAAAACATCATAGCACATTCAGCAATCCCGCAATCTATAGCACAAGAGCGCCGAGCAATGTTGCGAACACTGGCAAATTAAAATCCTGTCGTGCGTTGCTTTCTTCGCTCGTCCGTTGTCAACGCTGCCAGCTCGTCGGCAAAAGATTCTCCCTCGATATCCCCCACGCCAGCTTCAGCATAGCATCCGAGGCTGCTCATCTCCACATCCGGGGTGTGGCTGTTTCTTGTGACTTCTCTGACGTCGATATCGATCTCGTTTGCTACGTGAATTCCACCAAAGGCACGCGCACTCGCCTTTGGACTCCCGTTCACGAGGTTCTTCTCTGAGGAGCTGTCGTCATTTACCTTGTTGCCATTCGCGCGAATTCGAGACGTCCATCTCTTGTTTCTATTAGGCGATGGTGTCCTGCTTCGCTTGTTTCCACAGGGTGGATCCGAGGAGGGATGGTAAGAGGCGCGTGGGCATCTTAATGAATTGTTATCACAGTCTTCGCGGCTTGCAATTGCGGCAAATTCCCTGTGTATCCTGCGGGCAAACACTGCGTTATCCGCACTATCCCGGTGTGCATGCTGCTGGGAGAGGAAGAACCTCAGCGAAGCGAACTCGTATCGGTTGTTCAGTGAGCTGGATTGATACGCATCTGTAATGACCCTAAAGGCGACCACGAATGCTTCTTGCGATGACGAATTGCCTTTTGAGACATCACAAGGTGCTCGGAGAGGTGTTGCTACAAGTCGCGCCTCCTCGAAGAAAGCGCTGTCTACCCTGCCGGCGAGGACCGTAAGACTTTCCAACAGCTCTCTGGAAAATTGTTGCTGCTTTGGGTCTGCGAATAATGATCCTCTCCGAAGTCTCTCACAACACGTTGCAACCGTCCAGTTATCCATTCGTTGGAGTACGTCGATTTGCCATTGCTCGAGCTTCGACTTTGTCAAGCTGGAGGTGGGCATCAGATTACCGGCATCTTTGCGAACAAGGACGTCGAAACCCCTATGGAAGAGCGGGCGCAGTGCGAAGCAGCCCAGATGTACACCCGGCTCCAGAAGCCGCTCAGCTTCCGACTGATCTCGCATGCGTTTAAGCTGAGGAAGCAGTTCCGCTTTCGTAACTTCCATACTTCGTGCAAGAACTTCGATGACGTTTGAGATAGTAGCAAACCGATGACCAGTGGATTGTAGGTGCGATGCCTGGGAGCGACTTGCTCTACGAACAAGGAAAAGCAATTGTCCACGTCCAAAGATCATGGGCATTCGGCCTTTCTCGGCGTCGTCAAGCTGATTATGCCGCGTTGGTAGTCCTTGCCAGAGCTTCAATCTCGCGGATTTGCTGAGTGTACCGGTGTTCATGATAGTCCCATCCAAGACTCCGACATCTTCTAGCGGCAGCTGAACAATGTCAGCAAGGTCTTTTGCAGCAACGCAGAACAGCTGTTTGAAAAGCGTAGAGTAATCTCCTGTGCTGTCATCCACGCTTCCTGCCCTACGGCGGTACCGCGAATGCTTGAAAGGCTTCGCGTCGCGCAGACGTGAGCGCATGCCTGGAAGAAGATCCGATACTCCATACCAGCAACGTGACGCCCGATAGATCCAGCAAAAGACTGGATGATCCATATCGAAAACTTCCTCGAAAGACTTCGGGTACTGTTAGCTGGGTTCTTCAATAAACTTGCTTACTGCCTACCCGTTCGTGGTATGAACCGGTGATCTTGCAACAGGGCAATAAGCCTTCTGGTGTGACCATGAGTCGCCCTTCAGGGTCAAATGTCGCGCATGCCAACACGACTTGCTGCGCTCTGTCCGCTGACCGCTGTCTTGATCGTTGACCTATCAGGGAGAATATGACGAGCATAAGGCAACAGCCGATAGACTGAGGACTATTAAAAAAATCAACGGACCATGAGACAGGTGTGGAGTGGTCGCACCAAACAGATCACCACTACAACTGTGGCTTCCCTCGAGAGCCCGCTCGTGTTCTGCATCATGTCTGCCCTCATTCGGTATGCTGTGCCCACAGTGGCTACCCAGTGCATCCCAGACACCGACACTGCTAGTAGGGACGCACAAGACATGCGTTTCCACCAACTGTTTGTCCAAGTTGATCTAAAGTAGAAGAAGACCCCGAGAGCAACAGTATCTGCAGCCACAGCAATGATGGCAGACCCGAAGACATGTCTCCATGAGTAGGACGGGGTGTAATTGGCGATGCCTTTCTGACCCATGTAATGCATTCCACACACAGCCGAACCGACCAGAAGTCCTCCCACCATGGTTCCTAGTATGCTCACTTTCTCGGAGACGCTGAAGAAGTAGAAAGCTATACCGACGACGCAGACTGGTAGGAAGAAGGAACCAGCAGTGAAGCCCGGGCTGTATTGGATCTGATTATCTGGTTTACCATTGGCCATAACAATTGCTCGATTGCCAATGAAGTGCATGGACCAGATAGCTACTGCCCCCATAGTACAGGCGGCTGCAAGCAAGAGGTACCTAGAACCAAGTTGGAGTCCGTCACAGAAGAGGCAAAGGATGCCCAACGAACAAAATGGAGCGATGTAGACGTACCAGTTGTAATATCCCCGAGTTCCCGTTCTCCTTTGGAGAAGCTCTAATGAGGTCCAGCATCCTGCCAGACTGACAAGGTACGATAGAACAATGAAGCCAGCATCATATGAATGCGAGATCAAGTCCCCATCGTATGTAACGAGAATTGAAGACATGAGAAGAGTAGCTGCCGGGTCCAATGAGCAACGACTGCTTTGGATTGAAGCGGTACTGCATTTACCTCATAGGACATTAGATGATTGAAACGGTATTAGGGTTGGCTTGCAAGGAAGCAATCTCGGCAGATTGAGAGACGTTCAACAGGGCCTGGCACTTAAAAAGACAATTTATTAATACAATACGATTCAGGTAGTATAGAAAGGAGTGAAGGGTGGAGTGGCTACCACACGAAACAGAGAGGATAGTGAATGTCAGGATGGATCAGGAAGGTGTGAGTGCTAAGCGCTGGCTGGCGCGCAACGCTCCGGTCACCCAAGATATATAATTCTTCTTCGAGATTACTTTAGGTATCAGGTTATAGTGGGACAACGTTCAGATGTTCAATTTTGCAGGAGGTAAATATAAGTCTTATTGTGACTTACGGCAATCGAGTTTGCTGCTACCCACCACCCAGCCATTTAGTGCCCCTCTGATAACCGCTCAAGACAAGCAAATGAAACAGCAATTGCGGATAACCACTGTCAACTTGGCCAAGTACTGTACGAGTATTCATGGCTGGTCTCGGCAGTTCATCCGGCACCAGCTTTGCATCTTTCCGCTCTCCCTACAAATCGATGTCTAGCTTGTTTTTTTTGCTGGGTCGAGACGGGTCTGGAGTTTAGATGCCGAGGAGCACCGAATCTTGTGCATAGATCGTGCATGACATGATCTGATACTTTCCCCAATCCAGACCTTCTAGCGGATACCAAGCTTCTTGAAGCAAGCCACAAACATGTTTACCATTCTTTACCACTTTTCCTGGCTGCCTACTGAAACTGTATAGCCGTAGTGTCAAAGTGAGACGATGTAGAGATTACAGAATACAAGCTGCCTTGTCGAACGGGTCGTCAATCTGCAAGCTCCAGATCGAACAACGGGTACGGAGGTGCTCGTAGCGACTGCTTGTGTCGAGCAATGATTTTGCGCTGAGTAGAATATCGGTGGATTCTCTGGAAGCGCAGGAAAGAAGGACAGAAAAGACAGAAAGACAGAAGGTCAGGAGGTCAGAAGGTTGTTAACTTGTTGACGTTGTTGTTGCAATCGAGCTGCTTTGCCTCGTCAGAAGCCGCACTGACCGGAGGGCCCAAGGGAGATCAGCAGCAAGGTTTTTTTATAATGATTTTTATAATTATTTTGAAAAATAAAAATATTGGGCCGCCGCTTATTTTCGAAAAAAATTTTTATAAAATTTTCCATTGGTCGCTGGTGGCGCGCAAACGCGATCCCCCGAGCGCCTTTATTCTGCTTGCATTTCCAACTCCCACCACCAACGCTTGCATTGCGGCTGTGACGATGCCTTCAAAGCACATATTCGATGAAGCCTTCGCCCAGAGGCCCGATCTCCGCCAAAGGGTACTTGGCGCCATTGGTAAGATCACTCCTTCAATTGGCCCACCATGCTGACTATTGTTTAAACAGCCAAAGCCCCTGAGCAGGAGAGCCTCTTCGGAGACATTGCCCACTACATTAAGCATGTACAGAATGCTTCCATCCAGGAACAGTTCAAGGGCCAGGATGAGCAACCGTTCAAGAAGAGAAAATTGGAACACCGGCCAATTGACACTGGGGGATGGGACAAGAAAAACGTTTGCAAGGTTACCGACGTGTCTTTCTCAATCCCTCAGCGGAAGAAGCTGCATCTGAGTATCAACAAATCAGCCTCCTCGGGATTGCATGCAATCAATGCATCCGGGACTTCTGAATTCGGTGTCAGTTGGGAGTGGGTTCGGGACATCGTTTGTCTACCAGTCCCTGAAAAGGCCCAAGCACAATACAACTTTTGCATCTTCTCAACCACTGCGGATGGACTTGCCCCTGATCAAATCGTCTGGACGGTTCCGGATAGCGTGCCTAAGGACGGTACCTTTGTAGGTTTGACGACTTCTCCGGGCGAGACATGCCGCACGCTTCTGATCACCGTTCTCAACGAAGCTCTGAAACCCTACAAGAAGCGGGTCATAGAACCGGATAAGCAAGAATTTGCGAGTCAGGTGGTACAAGCACACCGAAGGGGGGAACCAGCATACCACATCAAAGCCTTTCGAGGTTCCAAAGATGGCTTTCTATTTCTCCTGGCCAACGGCATATTCTGGGGCTTCAAGAAGCCTTTAGAGTTCTTCTCATTCGATAGCGTTGACTCTGTGTCTTACACCTCGGTTTTACAGCGCACCTTCAACCTCAACATTGCTGCTCGCGCCGCCACGGATGCCGAGCCTCAAGAATTCGAATTCTCCATGATTGACCAGGCCGACTTCGCTGGTATAGACGACTACGTGAAGCGTCACGAGCTGCAGGATGCAAGCATGGCTGAGCAGCGGCGGGCCAAGAAGTTGAACGTCAACGGGCTCAAGGGGAATGAGACGAAGCAGGAGGGTGTCGATCAAGAAGAAGGGGAGCTCGAGAAAGCAACGAGAGAGGCGGAAGACCTTGAAGATGAAGAGGAGGATGATGAAAACTTTGATCCCGGTAGCGAGGGTGAGAGCGAGGGCAGTGGATCCGGTAGTGATGAGGATGAAGATGAGCGTGAGGGCAGAGCGGGAAGCAACGTGGTTGACGAGGAGCTGGGCAGTGAGGCTGAGAGTGCTTAGGGGTAGTCTCTCAAGATTTAAAGGCCTTAGTTTGGAAATTTAGGCTATAAACTTGAACAGGGAACCAGCTACTGTAACGTAGGTCTAAAACCATCTATACTAAATAGAGATTTAGGTGAGCAGCGTCCCTACAAGGCTACGAACCGCTGACATTTCGTATAGAATATCAACATAGAGCTTAGTCCAGCCTTTCAATGCCTGACAGCTGATACGATGGTGGAATATTGCCAGCTTCTCGCAGGGACCGAGGATAGGTCCAAGTATGAAGTCAGCACATCCATTTTCTCCAGAATATGGACCCCAGAAATCCCCCTTCTTTCCAATTTTCTTAGCCTCGCCTATGCAGAGCTCATTCTCACTCTCGCCCTACTTTCCCATCGGTACGACTCGGATTTGAACGACTGCAGTGGAGTGATCGGATTGGCAAGACTGCTCTGTACGAAGGACGAGAGGACATTTGCAGGTTCTTATCAATAACGCTTGGAAATGCCCATCATCGAGCGGAGGAGCGGTTTGTGTGGCATTGTCTATGGAAATAGACAGATCAAACAATTGCCATACACCCGGTCCCTCTACTCGTAGACCCTCTCGGTTATGATCGAAAGAGTACCTAGGTTTCACCGGGTAATGATCGTCTATGCGTGACGTTCATGATCTTGATGAGATTTCATCCTGCTCTTGATCATGTGACGAGGCCCAGGGATAGGGGCAAATCGCTATCATGTACAGGGACTAAGGTAAGGCCCCAGAGATGGCTCACTGGTCAAGAAGTTAGTGATCTCAAAGCTACTTCTTTATGTTTCACTAAGGACGCCAATTGGGGTCCCTGTTGGTGTTTGAAAGGAGTCCACGAGAAATGCTTGAGCCCCTGTTGTCATTACCCCGATCGGAGTATCGATCCTTTTCTTACGTGTGACTTGATTCATTCCACTATAGGCATCTATCTTTCAAGCTAGGTAGCACTCTTCTTGAGTGCTGAGTGATGATTCTTCGTCCTAAGCATTCAGAATCCTTGGCACTCTCTGCTTCATGTCTTTGGGCACTTGCAATCGTACGACTTATCTCCAAACGCTCACTTGCTAAGCACGTACAATCCTATAAATTATATACGCGTTTCCCGTTTCCCGTCTCCGTTTCCCGTTTCCCGTTTATTATCTGGTGTTTCCACAGTTCATAGCTGCCAAGCATCAACTCTTACAAGGGAAGCCGGCGGTCCATCCACCAACTTGCCAAGTATGATTACAGAAACTTGCTCACTGCTGCCTCGTACCAAACTTTCGATTTTCTAGCTTGCCAGTGCTTGGCAATGGGTATTTAAAGAGGGTTTCCCCCCAAAGTTTTCTGTTTTCTTTTTTCCTTTCTTCTTCACTCCGCCTCTGGAACACATCATACATATCATCACATCACACACACAATGTCTACAACATTCTCATCTCTATCTTCGTCAATCATCGCCCGTCAGATAGCTCGTGTATCTCGACCGCGACCGTGGATCGTACCTGCTCTCGTCGTCAAGCCTGCTCCAGTGGCTTGCTCCACGACGGTACCTTCCTCCACTTTGTCAAGTCTCCCGAAATCTGCGATCGCCCGCGTCACAGCTCGTGTGTGTCGCTCTCAAAACATATCAACGGTTTCGTCCTTCTCCTCCTCGAAACGCTCGATCGTCGGCGGCCGTCAGACTCCTGTTCCTGAGTCTGGCCTTCGCCAAACGACCCTCGCAGCTCGCGCCACTGCCCGCGCATCTCGCGACCGCCCCTGGCTCAGTCAACGCTCCGAATCCATCGCCGCCAAAGTCAGCAAGTCAAAGTCCAAGACTGCCCAATGGATCAAGTCACAAGCGGTCGACCTTCGCCAAGCTCTTCGTCGCCCTTTCCAAGCCTCGCGACAACCCTCTTCAATCCCCATCCGACACTCTCCGACGTCGGATACCTCCATGTCCATTCCCGCTCCTCCGATCGTCTTGCCAAAGCGACGCACTGCCGCGACCGGTTCCCGTCAAGCCGTTCGATACCCTTCGACATCGAACAACCGTCCAGCACCTTCGTCATCGTTGTCTTCCCGTCCTCAGCAAGTGGTCACCCCGGCATCCCCCGACAAGTCCATTGCCGCCATCGTCCGTGAAGCCTTCGCCTTCGACATCAACGAGTTCCGCGCCGAAGTGGAACCGATATACGAGAGAATCAAAGCCCACCGCCAATGGTTTCGACGCCTCAATCGGAAGCCGGTTACCTTCGACGACAACCCTACGGTGATCGAAAACCCCAGATGGATCGACAAGAAGGATCACGTTCACCCTCGTCCGCCACGCATAATGGGCCAACTCCTTGCGTGGCGACCCTTGAGTGATGAGAATCCTTACGAGTATACGACGGTCTGGGGTAGCGACTCATCGAACTTCGACCACTCCGACTGCCTAAATCCCGGATGTCGCCGCAGGACGAAGGATCTCTACATGGACAACTACGAAGAATGGTAAGAGGACCTTTCTACTCTCGAGCCCTGTCACGCAATTCCATTAGCTACCTCGTATGAGTAATGCTGACTCCGCAATCTGTGCAGGACGGCGCCGACCTTTACGACCATTTCCGAGTGATCTGGCGACTTCGACCCTTGACAAGCAACCTTCGAAGCCGACTGGTCAGCTCCGCAACTCAAGGATCCAGGTCAACGACGGATACTGACTACCTCTCCCCACTATCTAACTATTTATGTGCATGCTGCTTTTCACACCAGCAATATCGCAACAGAAGAAAAAGAGACTTATTGGTCGTCAAAAAATCAGGAAAACGTTTCTTTTCAAGGAACACAAAACCCCTAAAAAAAAGCAGTGAAGTCAACGTGGTCGTGTCTCCATCATCTTACCATTACCATATAACTACTCGCGCGTTTTGTCTTCTGATCACTTACAGCTCTACAGCTTCTGTCCGGAAGGGCCCATTGCCCGGTAAGTCCTCACCCTCACCCACATCTCGAAAAGCACTAGTTGACCTCTTCTCTTCATCCATCACCTAGCTTTTATCTTGAGTTGTCGCCTTATTTGTTCTCAGGTACGTTGTGCTCTCTGATCCTCCTCCTGTGCCAACTTCCACGCAAGTGGTCTTGTGCCAATCTCGGTACATATGGCTCCAAGTCACCGGCCTTACACTACCGCTGGTTGACACGGAGTTTGCATGGGCCTCAAGCTCCCTGACATACTCTTGATCCACTTCTTATTGCCGCATGCAACGGCGCCGCATTTTTTGGAAACCACTTCTCTCGTCGCCGGCCTTACACTGCCGCCGGTAACACGGAGACTTCCCATCATTACTACTTCTATCTTTGTTGATCCTCATCTGCGCTTGGGAATACGCAAACCCTACTTTTTTGAACACTCCCTCTCGCCGCCGGCCTTACACTACAGCTGGTTGGCACCGAGGCTTTCGCTGTGCTTAGCACTTCTACCTTTATGCATCATGATCATCATCTTGCTGACCGTGAAAGCGGCAAACCCCAACTTTTTTGAACAATCCCTCTCGCCGCCGGCCTTACACTACAGCTGGTTGGCACCGAGGCTTCCCACCATTACTTCTTGTATCTTTATTGATCCTCATCTGCGCTTGGGAAGACGCAAACACTACTTTTTTGAACCATCATCTCTCCGTCACCGGTCTTACACTACCGCCGGTCGACACCGAGAGTTCCACAAACAGTGCCTGGCACTTGTGCCTTCATGCCTCATGCTTCATGATCGTCGTCTCGTCTACCGTGGAACAGACGAAAAAACAAATTTTTGGAAAACCCTTTGCAAAAGATCGCTATAGGCAATGCCTCTGATCTGCGCATCTTGCGTCGCCGGCCTTACACTGCCGCCGGTTGATGCATACTACTACCACCATTTTTTCTCCTGCACGAGCTCGGCCTTGTCGTGGCGCAGGGGCTTAAATCCTCCCTTGAGGGGTAACGAGCAAGCTCAACCACTCCTCCTATCTGCTTTCTTCTAGACCCCCACCGTCCTGCCTTGTACTGTATCCTTGCATGTTTGTTCACCTTGGGGCCTTGGATTGGAACGTTGCCGGCGCGGGCTTGGTGGCTGATGGGTCATCCGGTCTGCAGAAAAGGGCGGTGTGCGGTGGAAGGGATGGATTTGGGAGTCTGCCAGTTATGCATGTACTGTACACGTTCACGTTTAGATAAGACGAAAGAAGAAAAATCCCAATATCAACTTCCAATCATGTCTTCAAAGCTTTCTTGACCGAGCGGATTTGGCTCCTTCAGAAACGCATGCACAACTAACCAACCGCAAGTCGTCTTGTCGGTTTCACAGTCTGGCGTTCCGATCTTTCATCATTTGGCATCGATGCGTGTAGAAGTTTGGCGAATTGCCAGGTTTGAGGAGTGAGTTGAGTTGAGTTGAGTTGAGTGAGTGAGTGAGTGAGCGAGTGGACTGCTTTGAGCCTTCGAATTGGCGAACTTCTTTGGTTGGAGACAGGAGGGGAGGGGAGGGGAGGGGAGGGGAGGATGGGATAGAACATGCGGTCATTATGGACTGGGTCTGAGGATGAATGAATGAATGTACGGGCAGGCCAGCTTTTGAATGAATGGATGGAAACAAGATGTTGGCTACGAACGGTTGAGTGTTTGGACACGACATGATAGCATAACAGTGTAGATGGACGGGGTTTCCTATTGCGGGCTGGATATCTGCCTCTGAGAAAACAGAATAAAGATTGAGGGTTGTATCCGCTCGAGAAACATCCGAGATCCTACTCGAGTCGCAAAGGCAGCAAGCAGGGGTAACTTCAGCCCCGTCTGGGCATATATGAGGTAGACATTCGCCCCGTGAAATGTAGAACGCTCCCGCCGAGGTCGGCTCTCGTAATTTCGTCGTCGATAATGTGACCGTGCGCCGTAAGACCGTTATTTAAGGGACGAGACCCTTCGATCGAGCCAGACGCTCAAGCCAATCCCAACAAGGTCGCATTTCCGCTGTCCAGATACCCCTGCGCCGTAGCCATATCCTTCTCCGCCTCGCCCAACACATCGTCGATGTCTGCGGCCGGCTCCCCGTTCCGCACCACCCCGGCCATGAAGCCATTCTCCGTGCCTCCGACCTCGGCCTTGGGCGCAGCCAACGCTTCTACGCGCCGGTGGAGCCGAACGGTGGTGCTGGCCCGAGGGGCGTCCGTCCGGGCCAGCTCGTCGACGGATTGGGACTCTGTTTGGAGAACGTCGCGGAGGGTGAGTTGACGCTTGGAGGTGGTGGGCTGGAGGGTGGAGTGGGAGGTTGTGAGGATCATGATTGTGATTATGTCGAGGACTACGTCTGAATTTGCTTGCTCGGTAGCTTCGTCGATAAGGAGGCGTAGGACGGATTGAGCGCCTAGTATGCGCAGGGTGTCTGAGAGTTGACGATGGGTATAGGAGGGAGGTGAACCTTCTGTTGAGGTCGCGCTCCATGGGATTAGAGACCGTATCGTCTGCCGTAGAGCCGCTAACAGACCTCCGTTTTGGGTGGTTGACCAGGAGGCCAGTTCGTTAAGGGCGGTTGTTCCTTGGCGCTCCTGCGAGTGTTCATTGAGGACTTGAAGGAGAGGAGTGATGTCTGGGCGTGAGGCGTACTGTCGTTGCACATGGCTGAGGGAATCGGACAGGGGTTTCGCAACGACGGAGAGAACGGCGTTGTGGATTGTTGAGGAGTCGTGAGACATTGAGGGAGGCTTCAGAAGGGTTTGGAGCGCGGGCAGAACAGTGTCGATGTGCTTAGAGTCGTCGTTAGTCTCCCATAAGCAGTTGGTAAACCATGTGAAACCGGCGATGAGAGAAGGGAGCAAGAACGGTTCAAGCAAATACTCGAATCCGCCTCGCAGCGTTTCGAGGGCAAGGACGTTCGCTTGACAAGCCTTCATGCTTTGCTCGAAAAGCGTAGTGACTAGTAAATGAAATTCTTGGGGCTTGCACATTGACATCAGCTCGTCGCTGATGCCTTCGGTCTCGAAGAGACCCTTGATCCAACCACCCAGAAGCTGATTTTCATGTTCTGACAGGTCGTCAATGGACCTGCTGACGGAACCGTGTTTGATGTACTTGAGGACAAAAGAATCCGAGCCTTCGACACCAAGCTCGTCAGGTTGCATGCCGAAACGGTGCTGAACGAGGACAACAAAGAGGAGGATGCTGCCAAACTCGTCGTATACAGGCTGGTACTCGCCTTGGTCTTCGTGGTCTTGCCATTTGTCCAGCGTACTACAGAGTGGTTGTAGTAGATGGTTAGAACTTGTAAATAGCATGATGACATCCAGAGCCGTCGGTCTGCGGCATAAAGCATTGCAGACAGCCTTCAAGGTCATCGTATCATTGTTGGCACAAAGAGCGTGCAAAATCTCGATGAGCGCGCTAGCAATCTCTCCTGCATTTCCTTCCATGTTTTCCAGCTCGCCAATGTACTCATCTATTTTGGCTGAATTCGTAGTACATTGACTCACAAGGTCCTCCTTGGAATACCTGCCTGAGGCTGGCAGGCTTTGCATAGGGACATCCCCCAAGATCTCTTCAATGATCCGCTCGGGAATCAACTGATGCAATGCACATGCAAATAAGAACTCTTGACGTGCTTCAGAGAGAAGGCTGTTTCTCTCCAGTGGATCGAACATCTGAGCGAACGAGGTAGAGGGGGGTGGATCCACGCGTACGAGAGCCTGCCGTATGCAATGTTCAACTGTCATAGGCTCAAAGATCAAAGGAGCATAACTTCGCTGGAGGAAAACTGGTAATTTGTTTACGAGGAAAGACCTCAAAATATTGATGGATCGGGTAGACTCGTTGCGGTACATGGCATTTGCTAATACATCGAAAGAAGCCAAAATCAAATCCGTAGCAAGGCTGGAAACGTCGCCTTTGTATCGAACGTTGAGGAAATCTATGACTGTATTGTCGTCAAAGGATGGTCTGTCATGAAGCATGGCATTGAGGCAGATGTATAGGCCTGCTCGGGTTGGAATGGGAGGGTTGTCTAGGACGTTATTTTGAAAGGACAGTAGTCCCACATCGTCCAGGATGCCGAGGGACTGATGCCAGTCTTGCATCGCTATTTGAGGATCCATGTTGCGACAGTGTCATTATCAAGGAGAAATCTTTTCTAGGGAAATGGCACTTTGAGGAGGTTGAAAACCACCGTCTCAGCCCTAAGATGGGACCGTGGAGGTTCTGCACTTTGACGTGTATGCTGTCGATATGACATGTTGAAATGTAAATACCTAAGATACATAGGTCGTCTATCCTTTGTTCTACCCTTCATGATGTGCGAAAATGGACATTTACTATTAAGAGGTAATGTCCATCGTGCAAGTTCATATACCTGCGGACTCGATATACAAGTACTTTGAGGGGAACACCCCAAATCCTCATCCACGGTCTTGGAGAGCGTCCCGCATCGACTGCCTACTACTTTGGGTCATAACCGCGTCCATGACCACCAATGCAGCCATTGCCTCAACTATTGCTACCGCACGAGGCACTACACAGGGATCGTGCCGGCCCTTTGCCTCCAAAACGCCCTCTTTGCCTTCAAAATCGACAGTATTCTGTGCCTGTCCAATGGTTGCTGGCGGTTTAAAGCCCACTCGGAAGTAGATATGGGCTCCATTTGATATACCACCTTGCACTCCTCCGGAGTTATTGGTCTTTGTTTTGAGGCGATTCGAACGGGGTTTAGCCCCATTTGTGATGGGTTCTGGCGGTGCATCGGGCGAAGCATCCACACCAGATTGGCTTGGAGCGACTGGGACTGAGGAAACGAAGGCGTCATTGTTGAGAGAGCCTGGAACTGCGCAGCCTCCGAATCCAGAACCGATCTCGAAGCCTTTCGTTGCGGGTATACTGAGCATTCCCTGCGCAAGGCAGGCTTCTATCTTATCGAAACATGGCTCGCCGATGCCAACAGGGCAATTGCGTATTACGCAGGTGACGGTGCCTCCTATTGAGTCCTTCTTGTCTCTGAATTCTGCGATCTTGTCGGACATGCGGGTGGCGGCTTCTTTATTGGGGCACCGGACGGGGAGATAATCCGGGTGATCGACTTCTTCGCGGGTTATTGTGTCAAGGAGCTTGAGGAATATAGGATTTGTAGATGGTGTTGGATGTGTAGACGTGGGTGGAAAAAGCTCTTCGTTGCCGACTGATGAGACAAAAGCAACAATTTCGACGCCATGGACGAGAGACAGGTATTTTTCGGCGATGGCACCGGAAGCCACGCGAGCTATAGTCTCGCGGGCAGAGCTTCGACCTCCTCCACTGCTGGCTCGTACCCCGTATTTCTCTTGGTAAGTGTAGTCTACTCATACGCGTCAGTAAGCTCACCGAAATCTTTAGATCTTTACGTTAACCAACCTGCGTGGCTCGGGCGAGGGAATCCAGCCATAGTATCGCCCTTGTAATCGTGCGGTCTTTGGTCCTCATTCTTCACCATGAGCCCAATCGGTGTTCCCAGCGTGATGCCAGACTCCGTTCCTGACTGTATCTGGACTCGATCTTTTTCGTCTCTTGGCGTTGTAAGAGCTGACTGGCCAGGCCTTCTTCTAGTGAGTTGTGGTTGTATATCCGCTTCCGTAAGTTTCATCCCGGGTGGGCAGCCGTCGATGATGCATCCTACCGAGGGGCAATGGCTCTCACCGTAGCTAGAAACACAGGATGTCAGCCACTGTAGTTCGGATTGTCGCGGTGGAGTCACTTACGTTGTAACTCTGAACGCACGGCCGAATGTCGACATGATGGCAAATGTCGTAGAGGTAGACTAGATCTAGGGGCAGGATACAATTGATACAGCCAAAGCTCAAGAGGGAGTACAGAGTAGAAAGAAGCATTTATCAAAATTGTTCGAGATCAAGCGGAATCATGCCGCGCTCAAGCTACTTACTCGTATCTACCCGGATATGTGTTGCATATTATCGGTGGAGATATCTCATCCTTCGACATCATGGTATGACTATCCATGGAGGAAATGAATATTCGGGTAGATTTTAATTCTTTCGGACTATATTTGTGACCGAGGTGAGGCCTTCCGGACTACATTTGAAACCGAGGTAAGGCCTTTTATTGAAGGTCTTTGGAATGGTTAAACCTCGCTATTATCATCGTTTCATTATTCAAACGTTTATACGTATCTTCTATATACATTCTCTATTAATGTAGAATATATACTTATGAAAATAAAAAGGATAAGCGGTGGCGATATAACTCTATAGGGCGATAGATAGTAAGGGGGAATAATAACGTTCACCGGCAATTCGGGAGGTCGGCCCGCCAGATTCGAATTCCGGATGCGCCCAGGGCGCATAGGGCTAGCCCCGAGCGGACTCCGAACTTCCGCAACTTCTCGGGTGCTGTTCCGGGTACTGTCTCGACACTCGGGTACTGCATTAGGCTAAGAAACAATGTTGTTCTTCATTGTACTCTGCGGCCTCCCGAGTGTGCTCGCTAGAGGTACTAATTGGGGTGTGGATTGCGATAAAGAAAGGCAGAGGCCTTAGTAGGGGCGTTGGCAGGGTTTCATGCCAGGGCCCTGGAATGAATTTTTCGGGGCCGGCGACCCCGAAATTCAGTCTAAAGTGTACCTAAGGTATTCTGAAAGGATTTGAGGTTGGGGGGCTTGAGTTGCGGATTTGGCTCTGATGGCCCCGCTAGCTGGTACATGCGCACTTCCCTGGAAAGCCCGGGGCTCCCCTAAAGGCACTCCCTTAATTGCCGATGTATATGTCTTATACCGATTTTATAGCTTTACTATTACGACTTTAATTTGATTAATCCTTGGAGTCTTGGAAGTCGTATTCTATATCTTAGAATTTTTTTCTTTTAGGCTTTTACTATATGATTGTAGAACAATAAGTTATAAAGGTTCGAATTTTGGAGAGTGCATATCCGGGTAGATACGAGTAATCCCCGATTGGAAGATGCCTTCCAAATTGCTTGGCCTTCGTTTCACGGGGAACATAGAATTGCCAGCTCAAGCAAGAGGTCTACTGCACACTTTGGTACTATGCAAGCGTGGAAAGCGTTGGTCCAAGCCTCCAAATATCAAATATACGTCTCTCGCAGTCTCGACCCCTTCTTAAATCTCTCAATTGAACACTATCTACTGCAACAATCTCCACCAAGTTCAACCGTCCTTTTCCTGTATGTGAACAGACCATGTGTTGTCATTGGCAGGAATCAGAATCCATGGCTCGAAGTAGACCTAAATTTACTTAAGCAAACTCGTGCCTCAGGGCATACCCAACATGTAGATGGCAAAGAATCCAACCCGCCTTGGGAAAACGTGCAGCTCGTCAGAAGACGATCTGGAGGAGGCACCGTCTTCCATGATGAGGGCAATGTCAACTACAGCGTCATCTGTCCCACAGCCAACTTTACCCGCGACAAACATGCAGAGATGGTGACGATGGCGATACGAGAAGTCAATCCACGCGCCCGAGTCAACGAAAGACATGACATTGTCCTCGATCAAGGAAGCGTCTTGGAAGAAATGGATTGGCCTGACGCGGCTGATATGCATCGAACAATGTTCCATCCAAGCAGCGAAAAGAATCCACCCCTCAAGGTCTCCGGATCCGCGTACAAAATGACCCGACAGCGGTCACTGCATCATGGCACTTGTCTCTTGGCGTCTGGGGGCTTAGCCAGGATCTCACAGTACCTGCGATCTCCTTCGCGGCCTTTCATCAGGGCCAGAGGCGTAGAGAGTGTTCGCTCACCGATTAGCAACGTACATGAGACACCCAAAGCGTCGACCCCAAGGTTTAATAATTCATTTCAGATGGAGGTCACGAAAACATTTGCGGAATTGTACGGGATTGGGAGACCAGGTCATATGTGTGGCTTCAGGGAGCTGTTTAATATGAACGATGGAGAGATACTTTGTGACTGGAATAGCGAGTGGGTTACAGGCTTTGTAGGAAGCAAATTCGACAATATCGATGAGGTACAAGAGATACAAGAGGGTATCGAGGAACTGCAGGTTAGCATATCAATGACCATTTTCAGGGCTCAGCTCATTTGAAGTGAAATTAGTCTTCCAAATGGCTCTATGGACAAACGCCGCAATTTACACTCTCGAGCCATTCTAATGAAGAAGATGAAAGGGAACGACCGCCACTACCGAAAGACTTTCCACCATCAGTACGTACATATCTCCCATTACTTACGTAACCTCCCCAGCAGAATCTGGTAACCTCGTAGCTGACCAACCTGCCACGCAGGCTCGTGTGTATCTCAAAATTAGGTCTGGAGTGGTTGAGTCCAGTAAAATATCGATATCCTCTGATGAGGACTCCGCGAACACTGAGAGAAAAAAGTTTGACCACGTCCTCAAAGACAAAAATATCCATGATATTGGCGATTTCAACGATGTGCTCAACCGAGTCGAACATGGTGTCTCGACTGAGGTGTCGAGCATCTCAAGATGGCTTAACATCATGTTTGGAAAGTCGAGCTGAATGTCGGGATGAGTGAACATGATCCAGGCTCAGCTTACTGAGGATCATCAAAAGAGCCATTTCCACAATCCACTCTTTGGAAGGTCCCGCTCGCCGGTCTCCTTTAGCATCTTGTCTGTGTCTGCCACTTTCTTATCCACCGAAGGGAAGCTATCGTGCAGTGCAAGGCACCGCATCTCCTACGCACATTTTGGAGTCAGCACTGTTTCTTCATAGCAAGATACTGAGTTAGAGACAGGTCTAAAGATTGAAATGAGCTTTCACTCCCTGCGCTCAGGCTTGGTACTGCGGAAGGAATCTCTTCGTAATGTACGTACCCAGTCTTTCTCAAATTCCTCGAGGGATAGAGATTTGAGTTTGAAAGCTTGGTTGATTAAGGGAGGAAGCTTCGGTGCTCCTTCGCTGCTGTAGTATTCGACAATCTTTATTTCCTGCCGAGACGCCACATAGAACAGAGCATGCAACGAGATCCTGGTATACTCGTACTCCCGGAAAAGTGGCATCTCATGGATGATTCTCTTGCCAGACTCCCTGCGGGATTATTGGACTCAGCATGCATTCTTTACTTGAAGAACAAGTGCTGAAGTGATATTAGAGAGCGAAACGAGTTTCCCTCACGGAGAAGTTTTCGTTCGCCTCAGATCTCAGGACCAAATAGGAGGGAGTCGCTTCGAAGTGTACGTACCATGCTTCCTGGCTCGCACTGTACCAGAGGTCAAACGTACTTTCTACACGGCAGAGCAGCGTGGTAGCCTCTTCCTGAAGATCCATAATCTCTTCATAAGCAGACTCCGCATCGAAGAAGCGTCGCTTGATATGGTCGGGAATGTCATCAGGAATTGGAGCTTCGTTGTATGAGAAGCTTGCTGGTAGACCCGGTAGCTCGATAGACTTTTCAGCGTCGCTGAGGATCTTCTCGAGGTTCTGCGTCTCTGCGAGTGCCAGCTTGCCATTACGTTGGACCTCGACAAGAGCTTTAACCATGCCGAGTCTCTTCTTCCCTTTTCCGCGTGGCTTTGCTGCGGATCCCGTGAGTTGCAATGGATTGTTGTATTTCTGACGAAAAGAGAGCGCCGTCCCGGCAGGAACATCTTCTCCACGTCGCTTCTTTTCATCGTTATAGAGTGCCTGGTAGCTCTCCTCCACAAACCCGAACCTCTTCTCAACGTTGAACAGCTGGACTTGACGGAGGCAGGAGGTAAGAGGTAAGATTGTCTTGCCGAAGATGTTGAGGTTGTGTATATCCAACTCCGCAGCCAAACGATCATCAGATGAGCGCTTTGAATCATTGGCAATGACCACAAGGTCGCTGATGCCTGCAGCTAAATTGGCCATCCCACGCTCTTCCTCATCTCTGAATATTTCGCAGCGCTTATCGTACGTCTCGGCGACCTCATCCAGATTGCCTAAGTCAAAAGTCTCCATCGGCTGGATTCGCTCATACATGGCTGGCTCACTGTTCCTCTGCTCGAGAGCGAGATTGAGTTCTCGCAGCACACCCCGAGGGCCGAAGATTTTATCGGATGTGTGCAATTTCTGGTACTCTTCAGGCGTAAGGTTGTTGTATTTTTCATCACCTGTCCTATCATTAGTCTCAATGACGGAGCACTTCAAAGGGTTCTTACCTGAGCCTGTATCTGCGACTTCTTCGTGATTGAGGTCACCGAGGTTCAAAGAGCTAGAAGCATTGTTGTGAATGGGGCCAGAACAGCAGTCACAAATGCCGTTGCCAGCTTGGTTGAAGAAAGCTTGGGTGAGCATGCTGTCACGCAGCGCCTTCTTTTGACGCGACGGCATAGCAACAACAGAGGGCCCGAAGTACCGGATCGATGTCTTGATAGTCCCCGTGCGTGCAGTGAGCAAATGATAGAGCTGAGAGAAGCTGCAGATGTTGAACTTGATCTCACGATGTGCTGACAACTGCTGGTTGATGCCAAAGGTGATGAGCTCGAAGGTGATAGAAAGGAAAGGAAAGCGCACAATGTGCGACGGAAGGGTTCGGAGGTCGTCATGGTTGTGTGTTGACCTCGCGGTCACGACGCGTTGTGTCAATAAAGAGACTGGTAGGGAGCTATGGAAAGAACCACGACAATTGTCTGGACTTTACAGCCCACATCAAACCTATGGTCTTTCTTCTATGCTTCTTCACACTGCGTTCTCATTATAGGAAGCCTCAAATCCCCCCACAATGGACATAATCCACAGCAGTAGTCTCACCTCAAAGGACAACACCTTGCCAGTCCTCTCCCTTGATGTTGCAACCATGTGGTCTCTCCAATTCAATTGATAGTCAACCATTTGAAGCTGTCACGATGGGTGAGAGTGGAGGGCGTTGCCTTCACCAGCCGACCTCAACATTTGAATAGTTCGCCTGCAACCCATGCACGTTATCCAGCGTTCACCTGAAAGTAATATCCGCTTCAAGCTTCAGAGACCTATATACAACACCCTCCTCCCTACCCCAACCGACGACTCCTGCACCCCTCTTCACCCTCAACTCCCACCCCACCCGGCCCTCAAATTCGCCCCGCCCAACTCAAGCGCCTCGATCTCATCCTCCGTCCACGCCATCCGCCCGAACCTCTTCGGCAACTCACTCCGATCCCACACCTCTCCTTTTCCCGCATTCGGCTCCACAGTCCCCAGCTCGTGACCCGAATGTCCTCCGATGCCACCGTAGGCATGTGAAGTGTTGATTGAAGAGGGAGGAGGCGATGATGAGGCTGATGTAGACGGTTGGGAAGATGAAGGGCGGTTGTGGCCGCCGAGCGGGCCGTGCTGCTGTGCTTTGCTGCGGTAGGCCATGAAGCTATCCGGTAAGGAGTGGGAAGGGGAGGCGGGGTGGGGAGCTGGTTCGTTGGCTGGGGCGGCCGGGGTGATTGTTTCTGAGGTGTGTTACTGTTAGTACAGTGGGATTGAGGAGCGGGAAGGGGACTTGGGGGGGAAGTACTTGGCGGGACACGCTTGCCTAGGAATTTGATCAGGGGCGTGCGAGCGAGGAGGAGGCGGGTTGGATGCATGGTGGTGGTGGATGAGGTCTTGAGAGGGCGAGGTCGAATAGAGCTTGGATGCGGAGAGGTTGATGCCAAGACTTGAGAGCTCCGCTGCGGGGTGTTGATGCGAACACAAGGACCTCCCTCATCCACATTCCTTCAACGAATGTGTGATCAATCCTCGTCATGATAGCGAGCTCTTCATGATGTCTTCATATCCTTTGCTAAAGAGCATGCAGTGGACCCAGCATCGAGCCGTCTCAAGGGTTTAACACCCACGATATTTATCATTCCCTGACCGAAGATTACAACCCATCGTGCCAACGTGACATGGAACTACACTCTCTACCTTGAACACTCCCACATAACTTCTCCACTCCCCCTAACTTCCACCGTCAAACCGCCCACGATGCACGAACTCCTCCTCTTCGGCACCGTCCCCGCCTCGCGGCACACCCAGCTCCTCAACATCCTCTCCGGCATCTCCTCCATGCAACCCTCGCCCATCCACTCGGAAAAACACCTCGTTTTCAAGCCCAACCGCCCGCCCGGATCGGTTGGGTCTTTGAAAGTCGGCGGGGCGCAGGACGTGAATGTGCAGAAGAGTCAGATGCAGGCGCATACGTTGGGGGATTTGTTTTACATGCAAATGGTTGCTGAGGTATGTGGACGTCCGATGGTTTAGGGATTTGGGGGGGTGGAGGGGCTGATGGTTGCTGCAGGTGGATGGGAGAGAGAAGGGCGAAGGGGAGGAACGATGGGTTCTACAGTTCAGGGATTTGCCAGAGGTTGCGAGGCAGAGAACTGTGACTTCAAGACTTATTGCGGATGTTCGAATTACGTCTGGCGATCCGATGGAATTCATGAAAGCGCTGGACTACTCGTACGTGCCGCTCGCTTCCTCGGCATGTGAGACTCTTTACTGATTGTTACCCCAGGCATGTCTCAACCTACACTATCTCAGGCCATAGGTTCACCCATCACTCAGCTTCTCTCCTCCTCTATCGCGTCACTCTTCCGGCAGATGCCCTTAAAACTGACTCGACAAGCGGCGGTCTGCCCCAAGCACGCCTACTTGACCCATCAGGAACATACATATTGCAAGCCTCAGTGCGGGTTCAAGATGGTTCAAAGGTGGAAACAATGACAAAAGGTGTGAATGAGTTGCTTAGCTTGAAAGAAACCTTGAAAGGCGTCGTGGAGCTAGAGATCGGTGACAGATTGGCCTTAGATACTAGAGTCAGATAATGTCGAGACGACACCTAAAGACACTCAATACTTCTCCAAAATCAGCATCTGCTTGTTAGGCGTGCTGCCAGGGAAAGGGGCAGCCACAGTGGTAGAAAGCCCTGGAATGTTGAAAGTATGAGCCCGATGTCAGCGGTTGCTGGTCTGTAGAGCACTCTGCTCGGTCTGTTTCTGCACTTCGTTCGGCATACTGTTACCTTTGAGTGCACTAAACTTGGACGATATCCACAAGACTGCTATTTTTCTTCTGTGGCTTCGGTTCTCCATCGTTATCAGCTTAGTGATCTACAAGCGCATCAGGGCCCTATCCGCCTCCATTCCGTTGCTAGTCGCGTCCAGATTCGGTCAACAAACGGGAGGAAAAGACGGCATCGACGTGATCAACTGAGAAATGGCGTTTTCTCTGTGGTTTCGACGGGTGTGGAGTTAGATTAGTTCATCGATAGAGTTCGCCCGTCATTTCACCAAGCGAACGTCGTCTGCTGCAACAAAAGGCCCGGAATGTGAAGCAAAAGACTGTCCACTTCAGGCCAGCCGGCTGGGACCCTAACAACTTTGAGGATTCTGAGGCAGCAATGGGAAAGGCGGCATCGACTTGATTAAAAAGGGAACTCCATCTGCTCTGTGGATCTTAGTTCATGGATAGAGTTCGTCCGTTATGCTATCAATGCAGAGGGATACGATTATCGTTAGCTGCTACCAAATGCCTGGACTGTGGAGCAAAAGACTCGGCTTCAGGCCGCCCGGCTGCGACCCCAGCAACCTAGAGGACCCTTGTGCAGTGAGCTGAGTCCCGACTGTTGAGAGCCTACGCCCAAGGGTCATATTTGCGTACATAAATTCCATACCAGATTATTCTGCCGACGTCAGATCCGTAGATACGCAGGAACAAATCCCAGCACCACGGTGATGATTTCCTCCAGTCTGCACACCACCAGACGTTGCTGGTTCTTAACTGTCAATTCTCAGATCAATGGCCTGCTTCTGAGACGGATTCTTTCTCGATTGTTAAGCTAGCTTACATTGGAAATTGATTGGACGCGTGTATTGACATCAATAAGGTCCGAAAGAATTTTTTTGCCTGGGAAAATGTTCCAATCTATTTACTAGAATTTTAGAACAGCTTCGTAGTCAAAACTTTGACAACAAGAAGGTCTGAAGGAAAGCTTTTGCCTGGGACAATGTTTCAATCTACTTATTAGAATTTTAGAACAGCTTCGTAGTCAGAACTTTCATCATAGAGTCGATGATTGTGGAGCTATGGGGATTGATGACCTTACCCTACTTGGTTGGCTTAACGACTCAGGAAAAACCCTCCTAAGTTGTGCTAGTTTGAAGGCTCCCTCATTTGTCGACAACTTGAAATCGCGCAGCGGACCGTAACCCGCTTGCGGCCTGCATGACCGCTTCGGGTTTCTGCGAATCGAAAGAGGCGACTCTGCGCAATAATGGTTGGCCTGATCTTAAGCGCTGTCGTTCTGGCTTGTGATGGTCCGACCCCCACACCCGTACCGAACGGGACTAGGTAGAGGAAGCATCCAGGTTGCATTTGAGGAAGCCCGAAGAGGTCGCCGTGACTTCATCGTGCCTTTGTAGTTGACGGTAGGTAATAGGAGAGGAAGAGGAACAGAGAGCAGTGAGATGGATACTTTGACCATGTTGAAGTCAGCAAGAGAGAAGGCATGGCTGACGGAGTCGCATCAGCATCGAGGGCTGCCAAAAGCCAGCCTTTGTAAATCATGATGCGCAAAACTTTTACCTTTGCACCAGCCACACGATGAATTTTGATGTCCTGTTCATAAGTGTTGTTGTTGCTGTTGTGTCGGGCGATCTTCGATGCAGAATTAACAAGACTGGCCTTGACATTTATCAAGCCACCGACTTCTTTCGGGTGGTAGCCTGTAGGATGGATCAGACGCTACGCCATCGCATGCAAGAGAAGCACGCTTTGGGACTTCTGGAAGAGTGGAGCAGTGGCTTAACGGACGTGCAGCCCCGGCGTCTGCGAATGGTGGGGCTTGAGAAACAGTGGTGCCAGAACGGTGGTGCCAGAACTATGGAGCTAGATCAGTGGCTGCCAACTTTGACTGATATTCGTCTACCTAGCTCAGCATTGCGCTCGAGATATGCATCCAAATGCATTGCAGCTTGCGATAGGTACGTGATCGGAGAAGCATCTCTTGGGTAGATATTCGGATCAGGGGTAGAGTCGACTGGGTGATGACGATCTGTTATGATAATTGACTTGGTGCTTCACTACAGGGAAGAGACGGAAACTGCAAAATAATAATTATTCAATTGCTCGGTTGGAGGTCCTCCCCTATCTTATAGTTTGCTTTGTAGTCTTGAGACCCTGGAAAGTCAAAAGGCGAGGAAGTCAAGAAAAAGTAATACCGTATGTTGGTGTTTCGACTTTCGACACAAACAATTTCTCTTTCTCTCGAAAGAGTTGGAATTTCGAATGCATTATTGCTATGCAGGCGCGGGCAACGTGCATATGTCAAAAATGCATAGCGGCCCATCAGCTTTTTCCAACGGGGAAGAGAGGCTTAGGCTTTTTAGCCGTGAAGAAAGACGACGCCAAAGGTCAAGGGGGTCCCCAGGGATCAGCAGGGGTATAAAAATCGTGGGATATTGGCCCCCATAGCGGCCCTCGTAGTTAGAAATTAGCGCCGGAAGCTGGGGTTCTCGGCCCTGTTCCGCCTCTTTAACGCAACATTGGTGAAGATGTTGCAACTCTTGCCGTTGACCTTGACCTTGACCTTTCGACTCTGCAACATCGCACTTTCCGTCACACCAATGACCAGTTTGAGTCGCGAAATCTTTTGCCAATCAATTGCCGCGCCTCACCTCCCTGACACCTAGAGTCAAGCAAGCTCTCGAAAGATCACCTGCCCTCTATTCAGTGCTCCAAGAATGCCCAAGATACAAGGAAGGTAGAAGTTGTAGACCTCCTGAATTGTAAACATAAAGAGTCGTCTACCACTCTTGATCAACCAAGATCTGGAGAAGGGCTTCAATCTCTGATGAAACGACGGAAAGCACGGTCAGAACTCAGAAGGTCCTTCCTCAACTTAGAGTACATAATTCCCATTTCCCACCCTTTGCGTAGTGTACGGGAACTAGGAAATCGGGCATGAAAGATGCTGACTCGATCAGCGTTACCCCTGCCCTCCTTATCCCTATGATGCACTACTAGCCCCGAAATTTCCCCAAGTCTACCAAAGATCAAAGCAACCTCGACCTCGCTCTTTTCAATCCTGAAGGCTCTTGGCCTCTTCCATCCTCTACCTCCTCGAACATCTCCCCGTCCTCCTTGCTTGAAGTATCGCTTGTACCACTACTACTCTCCTTCGCTCCCAGGCACGGCCCTTGCTTATTGGATCCCCTCAGCTTCAAGGACTTTGTGAAGCCATTGCCTCAATTCTACAGTAACGAGAGATCTGACCGCTCAATTGCACTCTGCAGCAGCTCCTGTCCTGCCCAAAACAAATACACAATTGCCGAATGGTGGATTGATTGCGGATAATTTGACTGGGCTAGGCGCGAACGAAGGGTATGCAAACGTCCCTAGCATTCCTCAGCTTGTTGTCATTCCTTACTCCACAACACACTTCGCTAACATTGGATCAAACAGCCCTCTCCATGGTGGGACCACAACAGGGGACGCAAAACATACCCCGCGCTCTCTTCTCCAGACCCAACTTCTTTTGAGTCTTCCGAAAGCGGTGTCACGTCGATTCTCCAACTCTCGACACCGCCCCGTTTGCTTCGTATGAGTTTGAAAACCCTAGTATGCGGTGAATACAGCCAAATCAAGCAAAATGGAGAGCTTACCTCGATCGAGCGCCTGCGTCGCGCCCCTCCAGATTGTCAAAGGCACCCCAGAGGTGATGACTCCATCATCACGCACGCCAAACTTTTCGTCAACTATGACCAATGGTGTATATTTGCCTCAGAGAACGGGCCAGATCACCCCACCATTGACTCCTCATGATTCTGAAGTGACCTTCGAAAGACACGCTGACTTTCAAACATACCTGCGCGCTTCCTACGCATATCACCCAGAATGTCATCAGAATCTCACGACGGTCACATTACCACTTAACGGTGGGGATGTAATTCTCGTACACTCGGTCCACAGCAATGGATGGGCAGATGGTACTTTACTGGTATCAGGAGCTCGAGGGTGGCTGCCCACCAATTACTGCGAAGGCTATGAGAGCGAACCCATCCGCAATCTCATGAAGGCGTTGACCGTCTTTTGGGATTTAATAAAAGGGAGTAGCATTGGGGGATTAGTCGCCTTCCGCAATTCAGACTACGTGCGCGGGCTGGTTGCCGGTGTGCGCTGCTTACTCGTTCGTCCCATCAGTCCGCATACTCTCTCGTGAAATGGTCATACTAACACGTTTTGCAGGAAAAAACCAATTGTCTGAGCAGGGAATCCAACCTGATACGGTCTCACGATGTGCTCTTCAAAAATCGAAGGGCACTTCTTGGTGATCTTTCGGCTTTCGTCAAGGTCGCTGGAGCTCTCAAAACCCTTCTAACTAAATCTGGCGGAGACCTGGGAGTCGAGCTTGACTTGGAAGAAATGCTCTCGAAAGCTTTCAAAATGGTCAATCGTGCTGTCAAATTCCTAGACATCTGGGAGGAGCACATGCAAAGCGTGGACGCGTCTGTCACTATCGATCACGCTAAGAGCATGCGGGTCCCGCCAACGCCTCCTGCAGATCACACACAGTTTGCTTTATCAAGGAACAACCAAATTGCTTCGAACGCTCATAACAGACCCACAAGCAGCGAAAACGCCAAGAAGGAGCAAAACGGGGTCCGATCGCGGTATGGCCGCTCATCGCAAACATCTGTACGGCCTAGGAGCTCTAATTCCTTTGGACATTTTCACGGATTGGCGAATAGGGAATCGGCCTCTCACCGCACTTCCTGCACTGTATCCCCAATGTCGCAGAATCTGGCATCAGAGAAGCTATCTGCGTTACACAATGGCTTTATCACCTCCCTTGCCTACTTTCTTGGCCTGCATATACAGTCAAGGTCATCCGCCGAAATCCGCCTTACTACCGAACAGTCCATCGTCTCATGTCGGGACATGCTGAGACTTGTTGAGGAAATATGGGAACGTGACCGGAGGCGATCTTTCGCCCTACAGGAAGCACACGATGCCATGTACGACAAGATCGCCGACCTGGCTGATGCTGCGAAAGACATCTATAGATCCGAACAATTTGGAGAAGACAGCGATACCCTCGTGTACGCGGCTACTGCATGTATCTGTGCTGCTGGGGAATGCGTCACAGAATCTCAACTCGTCGTTGAGCGGATCGGAGATTTTGAAGTCGAATCTTTCGGGCTTGGGATATTAGATTTGGAGGTTGCACGCCCCGCAGAGAATCCCATCCAAGTCAGTGAAGACCAGCGCGATGTTACCACAAATGGTCGTCTCATACCGCATGAGCCGCTGAGGGAGCCTCCACCTACGCCCCCCAAGCTACCGGATCACGATCGTCCCGTGACATCGGCCATGTCAGCCACAGCATCGTCTCGCAACTATTCGTTCAACGCAGTGCTGGTGGAATCTACGGACAACTTAGATCGCTCGTCAGAACAGAAATTACTGCCTCCTCTGCCTCCTTTCGCGAGCTGTCTCCTGTCTTATGGAGATCAATTTTCGTCGCCACCATCTTCGAATTGTAGCGTTGGGGACACGCAGAACAACAATGATGGGCGGACTCGAGAAGACAGTCTTGGAGTCTCAAGCAGCTTTGACAGCAGTACCTATGTCGGCAGCACACGCGACTCGGAACCAAGCGTTGTTTCGCAAAGCTCAACCCGTGCCACTTCGCCAGACGCCACGTTGGTCACCTCGCTCGAACGTCCGTCTCTTTACAAGCATGAGACCGGCATCCAGTCTGTCCTCTTTGAAGACGGCGATGAAGATGAGGTCAAACTTTTGGAAACGACCTTCGCCCATGAGCTTGTATACAACAGAGAAGGTCAGATTTCTGGTGGGACCTTACCTGCGCTGATCGAGCGTCTTACTACCCATGATTCTACGCCCGATGCGACCTTTGTTTCAACCTTTTACTTGACTTTCCGCCTGTTTGCAACGCCTACCGCGTTTGCACAGGCCCTTATCGACAGGTTTCAATATGTTGGTGAGAGCCCGCATATCGCTGGCCCTGTCCGACTCCGAGTCTACAATGTTTTCAAAGGCTGGCTCGAATCGCATTGGCGCAACGACTGCGATAGCCTTGCGCTCGAGCTGATCATACCGTTTGCAAAGCGGCAATTACAGATCGTATTGCCAACAGCTGGAAAACGACTCGCTACCTTGGCTTCGAAAGTCACAGCTGCAGATGGACCCCTCGTTCCGCGATTGATCTCGTCCATTGGCAAGACCAACACCTCAATAGCATTATATGTTTCCCCCGATGCGCCCCTACCGGCACCAGTCATTACTAAAAGCCAACTAGCAGCTTTGAAGAACTGGAAGCATGGAGGTGCTAGCGTCAGCATTCTAGACTTCGATCCGCTCGAATTGGCTCGTCAATTCACCATCAAAGAATCTCAGATTTTTTGCTCCATACTGCCAGAGGAGCTGCTCGCAACGGAATGGATGAAGAAGTCAGGCTCGATGGCCGTCAATGTGCGCGCTATGTCGAGGCTGTCCACGGACCTGACGAATCTAGTCACCGACTACATTCTTCAATTGGAAGATCCTAAGAAGCGAGCTATCGTGATAAAGCAATGGGTCAAGATCGCAAAAAGATTCCTAGAATTGGCCAACTACGACTCGCTGTTTGCCGTCATCTGCTCACTCGAGTCGTCGACCATACTCCGTCTTAAGCGGACATGGGAAATGGTATCTTCCAAGACAAAAGCCACTTTGGAGCACCTCAAGAGCGTAGTCGACATATCGAAGAACTACGTGGTCCTTCGACAACGTCTTCAAAACCATGTACCACCTTGCCTTCCGTTTGTTGGTACCTATCTAACAGACCTCACTTTTGTCGACATTGGCAATCAAACAACTCGTCAACTCCCCAGCGAAGGGCCCGAGGAAAGTAGATCAGTCATCAACTTTGACAAGCACATGAAGACAGCCAAGATTATCAGCGAGCTTCAGCGCTTCCAGATCCCATACCGCTTTACCGAGATACCAGAGTTGCAGACCTGGATGCAGGATCAGCTCGTTCGAGTCCGAACGTCAGATGAAAGCAGCATGCAAAATCATTACAGACGGTCACTGATACTCGAGCCTCGAGACCAAGTACAATGCAAGCCATCGCCAATGGAATCGCAGGCTTCATTCTCGTCAACCAAAGACAAGCTCGACAGGGACAAGTTCGAGTTCTTTGGCTTGGGCTGGCCTTATCACTCCAAACACCACTCTAGAGATAAGACTGTCACTAGACCCACTACACCTTCATAATACTCGTTCGTTCATTTCTGCCCCGTCTCTTCCCTCTCACCCACAAACCATATTCAACATCTCGGCGCAAGCGACGACTACGAAAAGAGATACCTGTACACGGGCGGCGGCCACAATGCATCAAAAGGTGTTCTTCTCTTCTTGTACCTTGTTCACGTGCATTACTATTAATTTGTATCACATAACGGTCTGTATCATACCCATTGTACGGACTACGACACAATTTCGTTCCCTCTACAGGCAAGAGGGCCTGGCAACAGGAATCGCAAAAGTCAGTCTTATTCGATTCGCGCCACAATGAGTGGTTGATGTCTGCAATGTTTGTGTTTGTGTATTGAAGCGCAACTCCTGTGCGCTAATGGATGTTGATGGATACCCTTCAAGCGATGGAGAGGTGTTCTGTTGATTGGTAGCTTAGCATGCAATGACAAGATATGGTTTCCAACTCACATTGTAGAGCCATCGTATCTATGACTATGTATCCATTCAAATACCCGTCTACCTTTGAAGTACGGAGACCGCAGCAAAAATGTACGCGCAGCCGACTCGCAGACGAAAGTCTCATTCTCACGTAGTCTCATAGGGCTGAGAATATCATCGAGTCAACCGAGCCCTTCTTCCACCACCACTTTACGCCCATTTCCCTACTAATAATGCGTCCCTTTAGACGGCCCCCCGCCCACCTTCCCCACTGCTCTCAATGCCTTCACCGTTCCATCAGCACCACCGCCACCGCAACCCGCAAGCGCCGTAAAGCCCGCGCTGCCCAGAAAACCATAGACCACGACCTGCAACAGCGCGCCTCGATCCTGCGCACGCGCATTCGCGAAGCCCGTGTCGCACGCCGGGAAGATTGGATACTTGGCCCCTTAGCGCCCAGGAGAGAATCAGGGGCAATGGAGTATGGGACTGTGTCGTCACGGGAGTTGAAGGGGGTGAAAGGGGGGTTGGCAAGAGGGCTCCTGACGCAGAGGGGACGGGGAGGGATCACCGCTGCTGGTAAGAGGGGGAGCAAGGGGAAAGGGGTGGGTATGAGTTGGAAGGAGAGCTTGATTTATGAGGGGGATAGGGTGGCTATTCTGTCGGACACGGGGCCGGAGAGTAGGGACAAGTGGAAGATTGGGACGGTGACGAGCGTGAGGGAGAAGGAAAGGGAGGTTATAGTGAAGGGTTTGAATAAGGTACGTGCATTCACATGGTGTTGACTTTTTCGCATTTGAATTGGTCATGGTTATCGCCGCTTGCTTCTGGCTGCGGCTGCGTGGGTTTGATGTGATGACGTCTCTAGTGCTTTGACATCTACGTACGATGAGAGTTCTTACCTAACAATCAGTTTATAGGTGGACTTAAATGTGCTCGCCGACGGTAAACCTGCCATAAAGTCCAAGCGCCTCCCCATCCCCCTCTCCTCCGTCCGCCTCGTCCACAACCTTCCCGACCCATACACGCGCATCGACACCGACAAAATAATCTCACGCCTCATCCCTCTTCCCAATGAAAAGAAAGCCGAAATTCGAGAAGAATTCAAAGCTGGGGAAATTGACCTGGAAGAGATGAAGACCAGAATGGGAGGGCGCGCGATACCTGGCAGCAAGGAAGTCTACGGGGATTGGGTCGTGATACCTCTGCCGAAAGCAAGGAGGAACAAGAAGGTGGAGACCAAGGAGCACGACAGCGACACCGTACGCTTCGAAGTCGAAGAAAAAACCTGGACACCCACCCTCCTCCGCACCCCGATGCCCGGCGGCGTAATCGACGAGCTCCGCAACAAGTACTCCCGCTTCCGCACCCGCCACGATGCCGGCTACCAACTCGCGCTCGACAACCGCGCGCGGCGCAAGGCCGAATACAAAGCGTGGGCCGAAAGCGGAGGAGGCATGTTAATGACGCCTGCAAAGGAGGCGAGACAGATGGAGAGGGAGAAGTTGAAGGAGAAAGGGGAGCCGACACTGGAGAAGGAGTTGTTGGAGAGGATCGGGGAGGTGATGGCGAAACACGGGGTTGAGATGACGGGGAAGAGGAGGAGGGGGATGGAGAAGAATTTGAGAGGGGAGAGGGTTGTGAAGTGGGGGTCTGATGTGGAGATTCCTGGGGAGAAAAAGGCAGAGCGGGCTGTGCTGGAGGAAGAGGAGGATGAGGATGACGAGGAGTGGGAAGAGGAGGAGGACGAGGTGGGAGATGCGGTAATCGAGGAGGATAAGACGAGTGAAAAGCGGCCTACGTTGTAATACCTGTATACTACACACAGCATCGATAGAACGGCAGATGTACATGCGCAACCCGTCCAGTGTCCATTCAAGCAGGCGAAAGAATGCTCGAAACGCCACCGTCCAGCTCTCTAATCCATCCACGAAGTGAAGCCGAACGAGGAAGGAAAAGAACATGCAACAATGAGTTGACCGTCGATCGGAAAAGGCTCGAGTGCCGTATCAGTCAGTCAGTCAGGGATACTATTCCATCCATATCAGGTCGCGTGTCAAGTAAAAGCAAGTCCTCGATCGGTCCCGAGCCATCAAACACCAAAACGGTTAACACACGGGGCAGATCTTACATTCCTGCGGCAACCCCAAACCCCGGGATGCGGGATCAACAATGATAACGATGATATCCGTCTGTCTATCTGTCTACAGTAGTAGAGTAGAGGTGGTCAAGCTTGCCACTCAACCACAGGAGTACCGGCCAAAAGATGAAATCTTTAGTCCAAATGCTATCTTCTACGTATAGTAGGTATCAAGCTTTCCGAAAGGAAAGGAAAAGTCGAATGTACCTTACCGTGAGTACGAAAGAAAGGTACCGGCGAAATTTGTCTCCCTCTCATATCCGAGAATTGTCAAAATGCGTCCACCGTTACGAGTACCGTGTGTGTTAAAAACCGGGCCAGGCGCGTCTCTCTCTCCCGCTTTGGCAATTTCTTAACCGTGGGAGTGAGGAAGCTGAGAGAATCCAGCCCGAAAAAAGGAAGAAGGGGAAAAAGCAAGAAGGAAGAGATAGGGAGAAAGAAGAGCGGAAAACAAGAGAGGGGAAAAGGGAGAAAATAAGAAGAAAAAAAGGGGAAAGACAAAGAAAAAACTCTCCCTATCCAACCGGACAGACAGGACGACAGACAGACAGACAGATAGACGAACAACCGCCCTCCGACCCACTCACTCACTCACTCACTCACTCACTCACTCACCCATCCCATTCCATTCACATAACCCTTCAAATCCCCCCCTTCTCTTCTCCCCCATCCCCCATCCCCCATCCCCCATCCCCCAACCCCCCAACCCCCAACCCCCATCCCCCCCATCCCCCCATCCCCCATCCCCCCTCCCCTCCCCCCTCCCCTCTCCCCCTAACCCCAATCCACCCAATCCACCCACCCATCCCCCATCCCCCGAGCCCCAAACCCGTCCCCACTTTCGAAAGTTGTCAACCGACCAACCAACCAACCAAACCCCCACACCTATCCAGGGCACGCCGTGGTGGATTGATTGAGAGAGGAGGAAGAAGGAAGAAAGAAAGAAAGAAAGAAAGAAAGAAAATGGGGGAACATGGGGGAGAAGTATGGAGATGGAGATGGAGATGGAGATGGAGATGGAGATGGAGATGGAGATGGAGATGGAGATGGAGATGGGGAGGAAGGGATGGAGATGGAGAGGGAGAGGAAAGGGAAGGAAGGAAAGGAAAGGTAAGGAAAGGGGAAGAGAAAGGGGGGTGAGATGGAGTGGAGATGGAGAGGAGATGGAGATGGAAAGATGGAGGAAGGGAGGAAAGGGAGGAGGATAAGGAGGAGGGAAATGGAGGTAAGAAAAGGTAAGGAAAGGAAAGGAAAGGTAAGGAAAGGTAAGGTAAGGTAAGGGGAAGAAAAGAAAAGGAAAGGAACAAAAGATGGGGGGTGGAGTTTAGGGATGGAGATGGAGATGGAGATGGAGATCTGAAAAGGGGAGGAGTAAGAGAGAGGCAGGGGTTGGAGTTGGAGATGGAGTTGGAGTTGGAGATGGAGTGGAGGAGGAGTTGGAGATGGAGACAGGAGATGGAGTTGGAAATGGGTGGTGAGGTGGTGTATGTATGGATGGCGTATTCACTTTTCTGTTGGAGACTGAAGTCCAGAAAGGGTTGGGCGGGAAGGGTTGGGCGGGCTGGCTGGCTGGCTGGTCTGGTTTGGTTGGGTCTTGGTTTGCTTTGCTTTGCTTTATTTTCCCTTCGTGCTTGGACCGTCGGGAAAGTGGCAGACTTTTGGGCCGGGGGGGGAGAGGAGGAGGAGGGGGGGGGATTGTGCTTTCATGGCTGAAGGAAAAGAAAAAAAAGGGGGGGGAAAACGCGTGAGGGATTTAGTTTTTTTTTTGTTTGATTGTTTGATTGTTTGTTCAAAAGGTGGTTGAAGATTGTCTTGTCGAAACTTATTTCGGGGTCCGCTTCGGAACGACACTGTGCCTCTTGCCAACCACTCGCCTTACGTCTCCGTCCCCTTAAACCTTCCCCCCCTTTTACACAGAGCCCCCCAAAGTCAGTGCCTTGCGGCTTTCCCTTCTTTGCAGATTATCCGTGTATAATTACCCCCCCCCAACCATAAGATACCCATGTATAAGCAAGCCCTCCGTATCCATTGGGTATCGGGTGTACCGGCCAGCCTGCCATAGTCGTTGACGCACGAAAGAATGAAGAGGGAATAGAGGGGGAGGGGGAGAAGGACAAAGAAAAAGCCGTAATGCAGGGAACGTCGTTTTAGAGAGCGTCGTGAGGATGTGATCTCGCCGGGCTGCCGGCATTAGAGATCCTCTCGGTTCTAAAAAGGGGGTTGTCGTTATAATCGTTTGCTGGTCGTGAGAAATGGAATTTGTGAGTAGTGATGTACAGGGGCGAATAGGTAGTAGTGGATGTGCTGTCAGATATGGGAGGGAGAGGGCCCATCATCACGAGCTTGATGAAACGCTTCTCCCGAATACTGCCGAGCCAGCGGGCCAGACACCCTGCACCCAGCGGAAGAAGGCTAGCTTCCGCTTCCTTCTCTGGGGCTGTTGGATCATGGATGGTAACTGTTCCATTGGGCCCACGATGCCTTCCTCGCCCAAGGTTGGGAACTTGCCCTTACTCTTTGGCCCGTTGAGGGAAGGTATCTTTAATATCGGTGTCATGAAAGGTTCAGGTACGAGATCGCTTTGGCTAAGTGACATGGTGGTCTCGGTGGTCTCTGCGGCGTGGGAGAGGCACAGATCAGCATTGCGCTTCCATTCCGCGTCTATTTCTGCCCACTTGTCTTCCGTAAGGCGGTAGATCTTGGATGTTGCACCGTAATGCTCGTCGGTGCGCTGAAGGTGGTTCAAGTACTCTCGACGTGCAGTGTCCCAATCAGCACGCAACCGTTTGTGAGCTGCAAGAGTACTCGGCTCAGGTCTATAGGGTACAGGCTCAATGGTGAAGTTCGCATGGCCAAGCTGGTCGGCCCATCGGTCGTTGGAGTTCTCAATAAGCATTGGCGTTATCTCCGACGACGGCGAGACCGGTCCCAAGCCGCGTTGGCGGTGGAAAGAGGATATCGAGGGTCTTGATGATAGCGGAGGGGACGGCAGGCCGGCTATTCGTGGCGTGGGCAGCGGGCTGTTGAGTACAGAGGAGGCCTCGGGATCGGCAACGCTGGGCGAGTGCAATGGAGATTGGTAGGGCACATCCTTGATATGCGCAGGGATTTGGGTCATGATAGGAGGGAGCAGAGGAGTTGTTGGTTTTGCTTCATGGTCGACAACGCCCTCTTCGAAAGCGTTCGCCTTTTCGACGTCAATGGGAGTAGGGTGGGACTCTTCAAAGCTTTCGTCGTAGGCACTCCTTGTTGGCGTTGGTGGGAGCTGGATGCCTCTCGTCTCAACGGCATCCATTGTTGAGCCCGTCAACGAAGGCGCACGACTTCGCGTGGTTCGAACGGAATTGGCGCGTGACAAGCTTGGCTCCTGAGATCGATCGGGCACGGAGGCGTTGGGCGACGCTTTCCTTGACCGCCATTTTCGAGACAAAGACGGCATTCTTGACCCAAAGCGCGAGGTGAGGCCTTCGATGGGACTCAGAGGAGCGCTGTCGGCGCGTCGTCTTTTGGCACGTGGGTTTGGCGCAAACTCGCTATCCAGCGTATCTTCATCAAAGTCATACGCCGAGGAAAAATGCGGACCTCCAGCTCGGCTGATGATCCATTCCTGCTCCGGGATATTTGGGAAGGCATCATCTATACGTTGTGGTTAGCTCACGAGGAAGCTTACACATCGACAGGACTTGCGCGTGACGTGGTAAGGATTCCAATTACCTTCGCTGATACGATGTTCCTCAATGCCATTGACCATTTGATAGTCGTCATCCTTATCTTGGGGCTCTTCCTTCACGTCGGTCAAAGGTCGACTGGCAGGTGCAAAGGCCTCAATCGACTCTCGCATGTTGGGCGATGATGGAGCGGAAGAACTTGAGCTCGGGAGCCTCGAGTGCCCTCTTAGGGAGAAGGTTGGCGTGGTGGGAGAGGGATACTCGGACAGGGTGGAGGAGCGCGAAAGGTGGCTTCCAGGTCCCGTTGCATTGGACGAATCCATTGCCACATTTCCTTCCTCTTTACTGCGCGCCTCTACCAGTTGTGGTAGCATGAGGGGTTTCAGTTCGCGGCCGCGCATTGTGTCGCACTGTTGCAAGCTTCGTGGTGCTAGCTAGTGTTGGAGAGGGGAGCCATTGTGTTGAGTAAGGGTATGCGCTGGATGTTCTATCACAGTCTAGTGTGTCCGTCTGAGCTTTGTCCCAAAACCTGCTTCGGGAGTGGAGAGGATTGCGACGAGTTCTATTTGGGTATCAGCACCGTAGCAAGGCAGCGGCCGCAACGACAGCCAATGGCGGAAGGCACATGTCCAATGAGGATGGAGGTAGATGAAGACTTACCAGAATAGTGAATGCTGGATGTTTTAGTTGAGATGATATGAGTGGGCGATAGGTATTTGCGAGATAAGAAGCGAAAGAGAGTGTATTGAAGGGTTGTAAGTTGTACGTAGGGTACATGAGAAGGGTTAAAAGAAAGGATAGCAGCAGAAGAGGTGAAGTGTCACGGCCTGAAGCAGCCCTTTTGTTCTCTGCAGGACTTGTTGTTTGGTTAGGTTTGACCGTTGGGGCCAATGGATTTGGCGAATTGTAGCATCTGGCGAGCCCTGGCTCCTGCCAGGGTGTGGGTGGACGGGCCGGCATAACGAGACATCCCATTGGCTCAACTGCCACCATTTGACCCAGTATTCTTTGGAAATACGGGAGGCTGGGAAGCTGAGAAGCACTAGAAAGCCACCGGACTGAGTGGCTAGTGAAAAAAAAAAAAAGGTCCAGCATCCGCCCTTCTTTAGACTGAGCTGTTCCTGAAGTCGCTTCAGACTTTCAGAGTAGTGTGAACTCGGTAGTGACTACCTAGCGAGAGGGCTAGAGAAGAGAGAACATGGTACACCCTGCTCTTTTTTCCTCTCTAACAAGCTTACCGGATATCAGGCCGTTCCCGCACGAGTCACGGAGTAGCCTCCTTTTTCTCGTAACCTCATAGGTACCGTAATCATGATGCGCTATTTTTTATGCTCCAGCAAGGATATGAAAAAAGAAAAAAAGTGAACAGAAGCATTATGATGATGATGATTATTATTATTGTTCAACGATATCACACAAAGCGAAAGTCCAATTGGAAAAGACAAGAAGAAGGACGCAAATCCCTGTTTCCAAATAACGGACAGATGCGCACCACGTAATACGTATGAAATGGTCTCGCGTATTCACATGACAGCACATCACTAGGATAAGTAAGATCTTACTCGTCGCATAAAACCTGGTTGGTCAAGAATTATCACGATTATTTCATTATGTTGCCAGACACTGACAGCTCAATTCAACAACAGCAAGGGAGTCCTTTTTTTTTTCCCTTTTCCTTTTTCCTCTTCTTTCCTTTTTCCATCGCGCAAGGGGAGAGTTCTCTTGCATGAATGACGAATGAGAGCTTTTCCTTTCCAACTTCTGCGAGCAGGACCGCGAGCCCCATAATCTGGAGACGAGGTCGATCAGCCCAAAGGGCCTTTCCCTAACACGGTTAGCAGGCGACGATCGCCGATGCCGGCATTGACCAACTGGCAAATCAGATGACGACATGGGTCCCCTGTGCAGTACTCCCAGCGGATAAAAAAGGGGAAAGTCAAGGCGGAAGCCTAGACCGCCAATGTTCCCAATTTTCACTCGCTTCGTCTTTTCCTTCCAGATAATGCAGCAACAAGCAACCATCAGGCAGAACTGGCGAATCCTTTTCTGCCTTTTCACCATGATGCAGCCTTAAAATAAAAAAGACTTCCTTTGCGATCCAATTAATTTTTCTTTCAAGTCTGCTCACCTCCAGCTAAAGCAAGACGGAAATGCTCATCGCCGACAGAGTCCGTAAAGTGTAAAGAGTAAAGAGACAGGAAGCAAATGACGCTGGAGCTCAAATCCACCCTCAATAATTATAACAATAAAACAAACATGTCATGATGATTGCACAGCCTAACTACCCTCTCAATAATAATTATTCTTGATGACCATCTCATACGAAAAAATGATGCTCTTTTCATCATGGCGGTCGGATTCCTTTCAATTCATGCCATGACCATCCATTGCTTCTTCCTCCACAGGGAAAGTGGACAGAAAGTGGACAGAGCGCTTTGACTTCCATAATTACCGTACCATGATTGCACAGTCTTGTGGCCAGCCTAGAACTCATGTCGGAACCGTTACTTGGAGAAAAAGATCGCGTGCTTCTCTCGCTGCTATGCGTCTCAAGTCTATCTTCAACTGCGAGATGTAGTTGAAAGATGTTGATCATGTAGGGCAGAAAGCTTATCCTTTGCTCGTTGCAGCACTGGCAAGCAGTTTCCTCTCTCTAGACTCTAGCCCACACATCACCCGCGCCATTCATGCCTACTTGGACAACTATCCCCACAGTCTGCTGCTCTCCGTCGGCTGTTTGCCTCACTCAGACCTGCAGCCCAATGCTGTCAATCTCAACCCTGCATTCGTGCCCCTCCATACGGGAAACGAGCAACTCCGCTACTTCTCCCATGCATCCCCCATTCATAAGTAGAATACCTATCTAAGCCTAAGCTAAATCCCCATTTTTGGCACAACTTCAAACCCAATATTGGCTCCAGACTCGGCGCTGCTCCTCGTCACCCTGGAACTACGGATCAACAAAAGAAACGTTAGCCCATCTCAATGTTGCCAAGACGAGATTACCCGAACGGTGTGCTACCTGGAATTCAACCTTGATAACGTCCTGAAAGCCTTCCCGGACCTGTGGCTCCGTGAATCGAGAAGCGAACCCCGTAAAGGCCGAATGTGGAAGGATACTTCTTTTCTCCGGATTGAATGTGCCGGTCGAGAGTGCTCTGACCGTGTCGTTGTGCTGGCACAGTTTGGCAGGAGCTGGAAAGTGAACGCAACGAATAGGCACGGCGAACTTATGAGCAAGCTGCACCCAAACTGCACGAGACTCTTCATCTGCGTTGGTATTGTCTAGGTGCTCCAAGATTAGTCCTTCCAAGTTCCCGGATCTGAGGTTCGCTGGAAGCGTACCAATGGCTACGGACTTGCTTTCAGCGAGCATTCCCGATGCTACCTTTACACACTTGTCCCGCTGTCGGTCGTGCATTAGTATCAAATCGAAAGATTGCGCAATCAACCTGTACCCACGGTTTTCAACGTATCCTGATTGATGCGTTCGTAGCCAAGCGGTTTCAACTTCGTCCAGTAGAACGTCGACTTGCCAGACCCAGGACTACCGCACATAAGGACTATGTCCAATCGATTCCTTCTGCCAATGATCACTGGAGCTTACGTAGGTCAGTCATCGCCGGGCACGCAAGTTGAAAAGAATGACGTACTCGCATGCGTTGAGGTGCTAGAGCTGCAGTTGAGAATTGTACGTGGCTCGAAGGACCTTGTGAACGGAACAGGTTCTTCGTGGAGAAAGTACTCTTCAGGCGTGTGGAAAGTGATCCCGACATTGGAAGCGAAGTCCCTAAAGGTATTGAGCACACACATGGATAGCCTAAAGATTCATATCGAGGCCTACCTGTCTGAGCATGCATGATCTGCTTTGGCGTTGGTCCTGGCTGCGCGGCCGCCAGCATCACCAACAAAAAATGAGGACTGCAAGACTGGACCATTACCCTCGTCGAGATCCAAATCATCTAGGAGCTCCTTCCACGCTCCGATCCGGGGCTTCCGGTAACAGTCACGAGCAGTAGCAGCCAGGAGAAGGATTGGGAAGTCGAAGTGGCTGAAGACGGAGGCGACCTTTGTTTTGAAGTTTGCAAGGCTTCTCTGATCGCTCTTGATCGTCTTCGGGTCATTACGCAAACTGATACTGCCCTGATTGGTTAGAATCACTATGGCGTACCTGGACAGCGTAGGCTGATCAGCAGACGTGGACATATGTAACAGCGATCAAGATGTTCAAGCTCTTTGGAAGGGCACATACCCATCCGCATGAAGATCCTTGAGGACGCTGGGAATACTGAAATGCCACCACCGCCAGTCTGTGGCATCTTTGGCGAAAACATTGCCAGAAGATGTTTTGATTAGCGTAGAATCCTAGACGAGACAGGTCGTGTTTCAGCTTAATCGTGGTGGGAGAGACTTGGGATTATACATGCTCACAAGATCAAATGCTGCAATCTTTGGTCTCTTCGAACGTGGCCGGTTTCTCGTATCAGCAGTATCAGGTTGATGACTAGCAAAGAGCAGACTTTCGTTGATGATTCGCCAGGTGATTCTTTCTGGTTCTTTCTTTGATGCCGGGGTGAAGAAGCTGGATACGGCTCTCTCTGAGGATCGATGCCCATCAGTTAGTTCACTGAGAACGGGATCACCCACCTACTTGTGGTAGTGGACTCGACTTTACGCTTCTTCAAGGGAGGCGGGGATAAAGATGCCTCTTTGGCATTTGCTTCTCTCTCGGCAGCGTGATTCGCTGTCATGATCGTGAACAATTGTGCAGAACAATAGCAACATTTGGGATTGCCAGTACAGCTCAACGCTTCTTAAGATTTTCTATCCTCTAGCTGATCAATGTGTTGACAGTGGTTCCCGCCGGCTATCGCGCTTGCCCCAAAGCTTGACATTCAGTTCTTCGCTCATTGGTTTGGAGGGCAAAGATACTTTTCCTACGAGATGATCCAAACAACCCAGGTGTTAACGATTGTTCACAATACTCTTTCGTGCGGGCTCGCTCATTAGCACGAGACCTGCAAATCACAGCTGAATGATAAAAGTCTAGATAGTCATACTCAAAGTTAAGGCACATCTAAAAGGTGGTATGTATTATCGTTGCCAGTGATGGCAGAGAGCCGGACGGATCCAATTACCAATGCTGTATTTAACCCTGAAAAGGGACAACGAGCAACATATGCATGCGCCTTGCGAGCGCTGGGTATAGTAGGATGTAGAAAGCGCCTTCGATGTAGCCACAATGTGTCCATCCAACGCCAGTAACCATTACCGCCTGTGAAGCCCCTAAACCTCCTTTTTCATGTGTCCACTGTATGACCTTTGATAGTCCCATGCTTTCCCCATTCTCTTGTATGCCAACGGAGCTAATCTTCAAGCTTTTTTCCAGTCAAGCTTCGGTCATTATCATCCGCATCCATGTCTTCTTCGTTGACCTCTCCCCAACCTGAATTTCTCCTGCTAATCCTGCCCTGCAATGGCACTTCTCTTGGACTGGCAAGTGGGCTATCAACACTTGCAAGTCCGCCGATGCTCCTGGTAATGCTATCATTCCTCCCATGGCTGACAAGCCCGCTCCTGACACTACCTCCATCTCCAGGATTGTTCTGCTTTCCGGCATAGTAGCTGTTCCGCTCGCTCGGCAACGCCGGTGCAATGCCGGAAGAGGAATATACGCTTGCCCTCTCAGCGTTTGCAAGTCCAACACTGACTTGACGACTTTGATGATGACCTGAGATACTTGATTGATCATTGACGTTGGAGCTGAGAACACTGAGTGGTAGTGATTCTCTGCTGCCGCCAAACAATGATGATGGGGCCAGAGCGCGCACAGAAGCATTTGTATCGACTGAATTGCGGCGTCGGCGCTTCGAAGACGAAGCAAGGGTCATGATTGAAGCATTGTCGGTAAGGACGTTATTTGCCGTGGCAGTATTATACGTCGCTGGGTGCCCGCCAGCACTAAGGTTCACAAGATGGGGAGGAATGGCAGAGGCCGGTTGCGGAGATGATGGAAATTGATGAGAGAATTGAGCGTTAGAGTTTTGGTGACCGTAAGATGATTGAGGAACGGCCAAGGCAGTTTGGCCACCTTGATTGTTTTGACCAGCTAGAAGGTTGGAAGGTGCAGTTGATTGCATTGTGGTCAACGTTGTAGTCATTGATCTGACTGACGGTGCGGGCGAGGAAAATGTACTGCCTTCGCCCCCACCAACGCCATTAGAGCTCACTGCTCCACCTACAGTGGCTGTAGTCCCAGCTTTTGATGGTGCCGCATCGGAGACAGTGTCAGGACTAGTGGACGACGTCGGTGCAGTAGACTGATTGCTGGTTGTTGGAGGCTGTTGACCGTCATGTGAGATTGGAAGAGACACTTTGCTGTGCGTGGGAGAAACATAGCTAATGCTTCTTCCTGATGGCGGAGTGTAGAAGGAAAGATGACCATTGCCGCTGTTGGGTATCGAGGTATCAAGGTTTGGTTTGTCGGAGATAGAATAAGGGTTGTTCTTGACCGCATTGGCCTTCTTGTTTTTGGTATAGGATAATGGCTGATTTCGTTTGCCTGTTCCGCTTGGAGTTGAATCGGAAGACGGGTGCTTAAGGCTTGCAAGGCGCTTCATCCAGCTCGAGAAGGGACGCCGGCGAGAATGCCTGTCTGAGGAGGGCGTCAGCAACAAGGAGATTCGGTGGCCGGACTGTGCCTTCAAGAGCACTCCAGCTTTGCAAAGCTGAGGAGATGTTGTAGACTCACCTTGTGGTCTTGGGGCCGGTTCTGCCGTCGCCATTATAGCTAAGTAGGGTAAAGACCGTGACTGCTCGAGAACGAGCTACAGGAGTGATGCAGTTGAGTGTATGGTCGGGCAAGCTCTGATTGACGGGAAGAAAGCCAGTAGGTAAATGATAAGGTGTACCAAATTATGAGCGAAGAAGTTGTGATGGGCGGAAGGTGCTCTCTCACACTCTATAGGGCTGACGCCAAGCCTCCCTACTGCTGCTATCAGCTACCGCTTTGGCTTGGGACATTACTGCCTGTTCCAACAATGGCTCGGACGTAACAGACTGCCTGTCGCTCTTCACACTTGGTACTCCACGAAGCCTAATACACTTCTCATAGACCAAAAACATTGCACAAGTTGTAGCCCAGGTTGCCCACGATACCACTACAGATGCACCTGCTGGTCTCTGGGAGCTGCATGATGGGGAAGTGGCACCCACCATGAGGTGAATCACGGAAGGCTCCCTTTTGATTTTAGATAGGGAACTAGATGCTCTAAGATATCATATCTTCAGGATGTCGGAATCGAGTATTCCAACTCCAATGCCGAACACAACACCTTCAATTTTGCCCTTGCCCCCAGAGGTCGCCGCTCAAATCGAATCCTCCACTACCATAACCTCTCTTTCGATCGTTGTCCTTGGGCTGTTGGCCAATTCTCTGGATGCAGATGCTCAGCGAATCGATATCAATGTCGACTTGCGCCGGGGTGCCGCTTCGGTCGAAGACGATGGGAACGGGATACCTCCCAAAGAATTTGGCGAAGATGGAGGCCTGGGGAAACCGTATCGTGAGCTGGACACTTGATCCCTTGTTGAGGCTTTGCTAATGTGGTCCAGATACATCCAAGAACAATAGCCTGAATGTTACCCATGGGAGGAATGGAACCTTCCTGACCTCTGTAGCCGCTTTGTCAATCCTAAGCGTCACATCCCATCACAGGAGCCACCTTCCGCATGCGACGCTCATTCTTCATCACTCAAGGCCAGCCGCAAGATTGATACCAGCGCCATCACATCAGCATCTACTCAACCGTGAGCATGGGACCAAAGTCAGCGTCCAGGATCTTTTTGGGAACATGCCTGTTAGGGTCAAGCAGCGCACTATGGGCGCCGAGCTTGGAAGTCAGGACGAAAAGCAGCTCGAGACGCTGAGAAAACAAATCGTTGGAATGTTTTTGGCCTGGCAAAAACCAGTTTCGGTAACGTTGAAGAGCGCTGAGAGTAGCAAAAAGCTGAGCATACGCGGTAAAGAGATGCCCAAAATCAGTGCAATATCTGGAGACAGCTCATCCAGGAAGCTTGACGTCCCGTTGATAAGCAGTATTTTATCTCAAGCTGGCTTCATTGCACCCTTGGACTGGGATATGTGGGTCAAGACCTCTGCTCGGACACCTTGGGTCACCATTAAGGGTGCCGTCTCCCTACAGCCAGTACCATCGAAGCAAGTCCAATTCGTATCGATAGGAATTCATCCTATAAGCTCGAAAATGGGTAGCAACATTCTCTATGACGAGATCAACAGGCTTTTTGCTTTATCAAGTTTCGGTACCCAAGAGGATATCTCCGATGCTGACGACGACATCAAAGCGAGAAAAATCAAAGACCGCCGGTTCAAGAAAGATGGCTTTACCAACAAGCAGTTGAAAGGCGGCGGCAAAGGGGTCGATAAATGGCCAATGTTCTACATTCATATCGATATACATAATACAAATATACGTCTCAAAGACCGTGTGGACAGGCTTGGGGAGGGGACTATCTCAAGCCTGGTCAAAGTTCTTGGGGCCATGATCACCAGTTTCCTTGAAGAGAATCACTTCCGACCACGTGCAAGATTGGGCCATCGCAAGCAAGATGTGTCCACGAACCCAGCAGCCATGGAAAGAAGCCCGAGTAGCCAACTTTCAGGTGCAACTATCCAGCGATCAGAAGCAGTACATTGTACGTATGCAGACCACAACTTCGGTGCTTGGAGTCGAATAAAGACCGGAATAGGGTCAAAATCTTCGGGTGCATCACCATCGTTAAGCTCCGCTGGCTGTCATACAAGCACTCCAAAAGGCGAACCTCCAAGAGCTAAGGATCTATCAAAAAAGTCGATGGGCTCCTCTCAAATTTGGGAAGCCTCAAGCACAGCGGTGGATGACCCAGTTGGAAGCCACGTTGATGAGCAGACATTTGAGTGGAGAAACCCAATATCTGGGGCTACAGTCCTCATCAATGCCCGGACAGGCCTGGTGATTCCCCCTCGGCCCCTTAAACGACCGGTATCAGCCCCTTCCGAACACTCGCCTCCAGCTTTATCTCCTTGCTATGGAAGGAAAATCCATGGTTCTTATCCCAACAGAAGACTCACCCGCAGTTTCTCTACCCCTTTCATCACGCCCAAAGAAGGGTCATGGTCTAGTGAGCTTCTCAAAAAATGGGAGAACCCTATCTTCGACATTACAGAAGAGTGTATACCTCAGGTCTCGTTCGACGGCCCCACGATTGAGACGTCCGATGTTCTACATGGCCGCCGTCATTGCTGTTCTGATTTGGATATCCAGAAAGCATTCACGCAGTCATCCGCATCTTTCTCGGCGAAGCTATCAAAACAGGGCTTGAACGCGGCAAGGGTCATTTCTCAAGTCGATAAGAAGTTTATCCTCATCTGCGTGAAGAAGTCACCAAATATTGGTGATAGAGAAGACGCAGAACTTCTAGTCCTCGTCGACCAGCACGCGGCAGACGAGCGCATACGAGTTGAAGGCTTATTAGCAGATCTGAAAGCAAGCCCAGTGTTACTTCCAAAACCCTTGATTTTCGAGATCCAAGCTCGCGAGCACCACCTCTTATCCCGTCTTGCCTCTTCTTTCGCAGCCCTGGGTGTCGTCTATGACCTGAGCGCTCCAGCTCGATCTCCAAAGTGCAAGATCACCGTGAAAGCACTACCAGCGGCAATCGCAGAGAGATGCAGACTCGAGCCCAAGGTCTTGATCGAACTGATCAGGAGCGAATCTTGGAAGTGCGAAGAAGAAGGAGGAGGAGGAGGCTTCCTAGCCACCAAGACCTGTCCACAGGGACTGCTCGACATGCTCAACTCGCGGGCCTGCCGAAGTGCTATCATGTTCAATGACGAGTTAACAAATGAAGAATGCCAAACACTTATTAGGCGGCTTGGGAATTGTGCTTTCCCCTTCCAATGCGCACATGGGAGACCGAGTATGATTCCACTGGTGGATGTGGGTGCTGGCGCCTCGCTTTGTATTGGAAAGCAGGTCTTTGGGTCGCAAAAGGGCGAGGTGGATATGAGCAATGAAAGTAAACCTTTTGGAGCTGCTTGGAAGTTTTGGAAACCTGACGGATAGGGTGGCCGTGGGACTGCGTGCTCATGCGATAAATGTGAGGGTTCATGAATTGATTGTATTTCCTTTTGCGGCGTGGTGGAATATTTTTTGATATGTTTCCTGTACAAGACTCGGGCCACAAAATCGAAGTGTCCATAGACAGGTTTCAAATACCAACAATCCTCGCCGTCTTACATCTCTTGAAACCACTCTGATCGAACGAACATATACCACCTGCAAATGCATTCCCCCTTTTCCCCTACCCCTAAATAGTCTCTAGCCATCAAGAAGAATCCAACGACGCCGCACAACCTCTTACATTCCACCCATTGAGCGATTCAAAATCTCCGAACAACGTTGGCAAGGTTCCCAGTAAACCGACAATTCGGTCCCCGGCTGGCATGATAATGTCGACCCACGGCTCAGGTTCAAAGAGTGAGAGAGAGGGGCGCATAATTCGATTTTGCCGCGCTCTTCTCCGTCCAAAGAATCAATGCCCTTGGATATCGCTCCACCGTTCATCTATCCTCTCTACCGGAACAGATCGTTCTCGCACAAGGAAGCGGGAGACGGGCAGCATCATCCTGAGGATAGTTGAATGAAAAGCAGCCTTGGGGATGACAGTGGTCCGCTGTAGGGAATGCTGCGAACAGTCATCGTTGCCCTATGTGGCTGCTTCGATGGATGGCACGTGTGGAAGTGGGATGGCGACCTAGCTTCTGTTCAACCGATGGGCCATGCAGGCGATCCTCACGCCCGAGTATTTTTCAAGTATTCTTCCGGCAAGATCTCCAAGTAGTGGTATCCTACACAGGAAGCGTCTTCGTCGGTAGGTAGACAAGGCTGGCGACCGCCATATTCAACCGGGTATTCGATCTCGTCCGGTAAAGGAGTCCTCGAAAACCGTTCAGATATTGGTCCTAATTTTCATGCCAATACCCTGCTCGTGGATGAAACGGATTCCAGCTTCACGTAACATCTTCTGGGTCGCCTGAATGGTAACTTTGGTAATTTGTTGGCAGATGCCTTGCCAGAAAAGTGGCAGTTGTAGTGGTAGAAAGCCCTTGAATGTCGACAATATGATCACTGATTCTGATAATCGATTGCCAGATTTTCTTGGCTTCTTACCCATGAGTGCACGAAATCTGTACGATGGCAGTACGGAGCACGGTACTGTTTCTGGCAGCTTGGTAGATGGCTTCTATGTCAGGAGTGTTCAGAAGGTCTGTTGACAAAAGCCAACGTTTTCGCGTTCCTTTCGTTCCAAGACGGTTGTCACTGGGGTCTACAGAATCATCAAAGCCACCGTCAGCTCCGATCATGGGACCTTCTTGCGCCGTTCAGCTGACCGCCGTTCCCTCCGCTGCACTGATCATAGCTGGGGCCTTTGGTATCCGAAGTCCGCCACTAGAGACCGAGCTGGAACTGAGCCTGGTCTAACAGAAACCAAGGACTCAGTATAATCATTGTTTATTGCGAAACAGATCGTCCGTGTACTCGTCACACTCGCGAGTCATAAGTTTCAGGTCGTCAAGCCATTTCTCTGGCATCAAGTCGAAATACCACCAGATCGCAGTATCAGGATCACCCTCCTGGGTTAGACACGGATGTCGACCACCACGGGCAACATAAGCCTCGATATCTATGAGGCACGAGAAGTCGGTATGTTTACCTTCTGGACT